TTCCCCTGTGCATCCCCATCCACTCCCGTCATCCACACCTGGGCTCGATCCGTCTCGTTGTTTCCTCGTCCAACACGCAGTCGAGACTTCAGTGTCTCCCACCCAGTTCGTTGCGCCCTTGAGTTTCTTCCCATCGCGGTCTCCCACTCGCTCGGGCAGATCAGTCCGATCACTGCATACCTACCGTCAGCTAACGTAGCTGAATACCTCTACGTACTGTACTTGAGCATACCACTCCCTTCTCTGGCTCATCACCTCATCGCTTCTTTCTTCACCACCATCTCTACCCATCTTATAGTTCGAGACTGCATCACCAGTTTGCTCCTCCCTTCAAGATTCCTACCAACTCTTCTCGTCTGGGGACACACGTCAACATTGGAAGTTGTGCCCCCGACATTGTGTCCCAAGGACCGACCCCAGAGCCAAGAAGGTTGTCAAGGTTCCCGCCCCTGGATCCTACCTATACTCGTACCCAGCCAGCCCGGGGCTCTTCAACGTGGTGTGTCGTCTTGTCACACCGATTCCGGCCTCTCACAACATCGCACAATACGCTGCCCAACTTCCACTTGCTTCTTTTTATCTTTACACCACACGCTCGTCCACCACGCTTAAGCTTACTCCATTCACTACTCACCGTTTCGCTACGAGCCGACACTCCGATATCCATATAGCTTCAACTACAAGCAAGGTCCCCTGTGACCCCTCCCACTGTCCGACGAGGCGGTGACAACATGCTACTAGAGGTAGTCGGCCCTTACTCTCGCTGCCGTGAAACTGCCCGATTCTTGATCACCACCGTCTGCTCGGTTCCTTGACGAACCACCCATTGGCCTCCCGTATTCGACTTGGAATCCCCGGATTTTGCGATTATACCATCATCTTTCTCGACTGATATTCTCGACCTCGACTCTTACATCCTCGATTCGCTGGTGCCGACATAGCTAGCCCGCCCTTGCGTCCGAGGCTGACGCTGCCGGCATCCGTCTCATCCGGTCGAATCACATAATACAACAGCCGCCGACTGTCCCAAGCACCTGGTGGCCTTCGCACTACACGGGCGCATTGTCAACCAACGGCGGCGCTTATAAGGAGACACCAACACCCAACAACACACATACAATCCACTTTGCGCCCAGCATGGTGTCCGACGAGACATACGACATTTGTCTTCCGGTCCTCGAGGACCCGGACCTTGACGATGAGGAGAAGACGGACAAGCTACAGGACCTTCTCAGGGAAAAGACAACCTTGAGCGGGCAGGCACTGGATAATGCAGTGTTAGATGCGATGTGGAGGTTTCGAGATGGAGGCGGAACGGCGACATCTCCACCATCCATACGACAGAGCATTCTCCGACGCCCGTCGCCAGCTCCCTGGAGAGGTTCTAGTACTCCCCTTTCCAGCTCGCCTCGCCTGAGCGTCAGTCCGCTTGCCCCTCCCGGATATGTACCGACAACCTTCGGCCGGGCTATGTCTTCCACGGCCTCCCCCTTTGGTTCGCCTCGGCCATCACCGCGACTTGCGTTTGCTACACCCGTCCCTCACAGTCCTAATCTGAACGCCTATCAGTTTGCCGCCAATGATGAACCCCCTTCGCAGGAAGTATTCGGAGATTACCAGTCGGACAATGTAGACTGGCTCGTTAGTGACGATGACCGTCTCAGTGTGACCTCTTCTATCGGCGGCTCGAGTGGTCTGAATGTGGCCGCTCCCGAATTCGTATCGACTCAGCAGGCCGATATGAGTCCGTTTGACATGTTGAGGTCCATCTTGGGTACGAGTAAAACGGATGACGAAATTGGCGCTGCTCTTGCTATGCATGGCTATGACCTCAGTGCCACCGTTGCCTCTATTATGGACGACCCGGCACAAGATGATATATCCCTTTCCGGCCAAAACGATGAGGCCAAGGTGGTTGTGATTGGGAAGTCAATGACGCCTGATCAACGCCCCGCGACTCCGGCCGACCAGCAAAGATCGGGTGTGATTTGCAAGTTTTACCTGTCCACCGGGCAGTGCCTGCGCTCTGATTGCCGGTTTAGCCACGATTTGAGCAATCATATCTGCAAGTAAGTTATGCCTTTTCTTGAGAACCCAGAATCTGAGGCTGACTACTGTAGGTACTGGGTTGCTGGCAACTGTCTGGCTCGTGATACCTGCGTATTCTCTCATGACCCGGCGCATCTGGTGAACAAGCTGCATATTGACGGCTCGGGCACACCACCGACGCATTACTCGACGGTAAACGTTCAGGACTACAATAGTTTCCCGTCCTTGCAGCCGGGAACTCCTGAGCAGTTGCCCGTTTTTCCGGCGTCAGCAAACACTCCCGCAGTAGGGATCACTCCGCCACCGGGCTTCAAGGGCCACCACAACTACGGCTATCCCGACCGTCCACGATCGCGGCCTGGTAGTCGACACCAGCAAAAGGAAGTTCAGCAAACGGTTCCGTCTCCTGACGATGCGGATGCATTTCCTACGCTGGGCGCCGCCTTGGCCAAGCAAAGTAAGAAGCACCATGGTAAGAGGGGCGGGCATGGCCACACTGGTAGTGGCAGCAGCAGCAGCAAGGAAATTGCTAGTCCAGGCCCGAGCACACTCGCCGATATTGTCAAGATGTCTCCCTCTCCTGTCAATATCAACTTGAGGCCTAATGGTAAGTTGGGTCGCAATGGCAGCTCCACTAGCATCCGGAATGGCGAGAACAGCGCTGCTGCTCAGGCTATCCCACCACCCAAGCACATTCCTTGGCTTGAGACTGGAGAAAAGGCAAACAAGGCGTATCTCAAGGCACGCCAGGAGGCCATTAAGCACGGAGGCCTGCGCAACAAATTCCTGCAGAGGTACGTCGTTCCTACAAAGTTGGAACACAGAGGAATAACAAATGCTGACTATGGTTTGTAGTGCTGCCCAAGCGTGGAACCGCAACGATGCCCGTGCGGCCAAGGCGTTGAGCTTGCGCGGTCAGAGCGAAAACGATCTCATGAGGAAAGCTCACCGTGAGGCCGCATCACTGCTCTACGAGGAGCGCAACAAAAACAATGGCAGCTGCCCTGAGATTTACGTTGACTTGCACGGTCTTCACCCCGAAGAGGCAGTTGAGTACCTCGTAGGCATTTTGACCGAGAACACGAACGAAAGCAGGCCTATCTATGCCATTACCGGTACCGGGCATCACAGCAAGAACGGCAAGGACAAGGTGGGCAAGGCGCTGCGCACCTTCCTCAACGAGTGGCGCTATGCCTACCGTGAGTTCTCTGTGCCCGGTGACAGAAATAGCATGGGCGGGATTTTGGGTATAGATGCGAGAAGTTGGGATAAGTCGTTGTCGCAGGACGGGGTTAGCTTGGTGAAGAAGGACGAGCCCAAGGATGATGTTGACATTCTGTCTCAAGGGGTGGAGATTGGGGAGGGCAAGGTGAAGCTGCTTGTTAGGGACCCGATGGCTACCAAGGAGATTCCCAAGGGCCCTGCTAGCCATAGGGGAAGGTGATGGTGGTAAAGGAGCGGTAAACACTTAAGAGGAGGACAGAAATTTTGAGTACAACGACCACCGAGTAGTCGGATTGAGTATAGCCAAGGGAGGAACTGAAGCAAAGTCTGCAGTGGTGATGAACGGGAAGACGGGAGCAACAAGCCTGGCTGGTTGAGTACAGTAGGAAGAGAAAAGAGAAGTATCGACTATCAATAATCATTGTGCTATTACAGCGACGTGCATCTTTGTACATCAACATCATGGATGTGTGGTGCTGGTCACTACAATGTCTCACTACTACAATGTCCCGAGTGGAAGCCCTTGCGTACATCATAGCTACGGCAAGCAAGTACGAGGGAGGCTGCTGTCCCCGATTTTCCCACGGAGGAAGATCCGGGAGTTTAAAGATGGGATGGGCGACGCTTGGGTGCAGATCTCCAAAGATCTCGGCCAGGGCAGCCAGGGGTTGTTGTTGATGGTATGGCCTGGAATCTGGACGTCCCGTCTTGGCCCGTTCTTCATGCTATCCCTGTAGCCATCAAGGGTCCTGCCCGCCCGCTGCCCCTCTCTGTTCCTCAGTTGTCATGCCCCTGTCGCTGCTCTGTCAGTTGTCCCAAGTGCATGACGTTGATGTATCGTGTCCCTACGTCAGAAGAAACGATTTGGAGAGCGGAAATGCGGACGGATCACCGCGGATTGCGATCTTATCAAAACATTGGAATTACTGAAATCTTAAAACAGTCGAGCTTTATAATCAGAAGATGAAGGGTCTTACGGGGTATATTTTAAACGAGCGAGCTTTGCCAGTTGTCATTGAACCCGCCGCCCAAAGCTCCATTATTTTCAGCTTACCTCACAGTCACATCAGTGTTATGGGACGCTAAAAAGGAAGCCAAGGAGCCCGAAACAACCAACCAAAATGTCCCCTGTGCTGGTCCGTTCCAGATTCACCTTGTGAGTGGCGGAGTTTGGGTCTCCGATTGCACCGGAGAGTTGAACGATAGTAGGGCAACTTCGACTGCCTCTCTACAGTGTTGTTGCAACACCACACCTCTTACCGTATTACTTCATCCTCGGCATCTCTACCTAGGACCAAGCCTCTTTCACGTTATTTTTTTCTTTGAACGAAGCACCTTGTTTACTTTGTTCTTCCCGATATCGATCTAAAGCTGTTTCATATTTACATGGACATTTAGACGCCGACATCTAACGGTCTATATACCTCAATGGATGCAACCAGGTAGCAGAGCAACCAACGGCACTTCACCTACCTCTATCTTTCTTTCACCTACCCATCCACCTTCCTCGACCAACGACCGTTTCAATCCCCAAAGTCCGGTGAGCACGGCACGGCGCTTACTACTCAGCGTCATCGAGCAAACCACCAGGTTTATGCCCGCGTATCAATTCCTACATCGATAATCAGCCCGACCTCGTTATCCTACGATCACTCGAGTCTTCACCGATAGACCTTTAAGTTATCTACCTGTCGTCCGCCCGAGGACGCACAACCCATTCCTCCACAATGCCAGACCACAACAACAACAACCACACGGCCCGCGACGCCGCCGCCGCCCTCTCCATGAACCTCTCCTCCTCCTCTCCCCGCCAAGCCACCGCCTCCCCTCGCTCCCGCGACTCCTCAACCTCCACCACGGCCACCCACTCACCGACCTCCTCCCCCGGTCCCGGAGGGGCAGGCGAAGACCTCCCGCAATGGGCCCGTCCCTCGGCCTCTAACATCCGCCGCCTCTCCTCCGGCCGCCCTTACTCCGTCTCCCGGCACGCTTCGCATCATCGCTCGTCCTCCGCTGCCGCCGGCGGCGGCGGTGGTGGTGGGCGCGGAGCTAACCTGAAAGCTCTAGCTCTAAGAGCCGTCTCAACCGGTTTAAGCATCGCCCAGCAAGCCGTCACCATCTTCCTCGGCCTCTCGCTCCTGCAAAAGATGGCCATCCTCGTCGCCCTCGCCATCTTTTTTAGTCTCAGCGTCGTGGCGCTAGTCTACTCGCACGCCATTTTTGCGTCGCTCGGTCCGCTAGCAGAGAAATGGCGAGCTCTGCCCTTCGGCTGGCTGATTTGTTTCGGTCTGGTGTTTATGACGGCGTTCCCGCCCATCATCGGTTACTCTACCGCCGTGACCGTTGCCGGGTTTGTGTATGGGTTTCCGTGGGGGTGGCCGATTGCTGCGGCGGCGACGGTGGCGGGATCAACGTGTTCGTTTTTGGCGTCGAGAGGCGTGTTGGCCGGGTATGTGAACAGATTGGTCGGGAGGGATAAGCGGTTTGTGGCGTTGGGACAGGTTTTGAGGAGGGATGGCTTGGGCGTGCTGGCCATGGTCAGGTTCAGTCCGTTGCCGTATAGTTTGAGTAATGGGTTTTTGGCGACGGTGCCGCGGTTGAGGGTGGGCGGGTTTGCGGTTGCTACTGCGATGGCTACGTAAGTTTTGCTCTTTTATCTCTTCGCTAACCCCCCGTTTTGGAGACGATGTGCTAACGTAAACAAACAAAAAAAACAGCCCCAAACTCTTCGTCCACATCTTCATCGGCTCCCGCCTCGCCCTCCTCGCCTCCTCCGGCGACAAGATGACCACCCGCGACCGCGCAATCAACTACATCTCCATGCTCCTCTTCGGCGCCGTCGGCGCCGTCGTCGGCTACCTCATCTGGAAGCGGACCATGTCGCGGGCCGAGGAGTTGGCGCATGAGGAAGGACTGGACGGGATTGACTCGCTCGCCGCGGCTGCGGGGACCACGGCCGCCGGGGAGGTGCATCGCACGACGGACGGCACGCTCGAGGTGGAGGATGATGAGGAGGAGGATTATGCGGATCTGGAGGGAAACACCGGCGGGAGACTGTTGGTTGGTGGTAATGGGGGTAGGGAAGGGGACTTGAGGAGGCAGAGCAGTGATAGCGATATCTCGCTTTGGGAGACGGATCGGTATAGGGATAGTTGGGATGAGGAGGCTAATCTCGAAGGGAGAAAGTGATGTTGATCTTGTTTAGGAGAAGTTGTTTTAGGTTTCTTTTGTGCAGGGGTTGATCTCTTTTGTCTTTACCTTCTGAGGTTGTCGCATAATTGCACAAAAAGGAGCGAGCAAGCGGGCGGCGTCATCGCGTATAGAAAATGGGGAAAGCAATAGGTGTTCTAAGGCGCATTTTGGGAGCATTTGCGTTTTTGCTTTGATCACATCATTTGTTTTGACGGCGTCCTTGGTTAGTAACTGGTTCCATGTCTAGAGATCATATCGATTACTAGAAGAAATAGTGAGAGAGACACAGGTAGATAGACGGCACTAGAGAACATATAAATATTGTGAAATGATATTTGCTTTATGCTATCAAGGTATCTTCCGAGAAGCCTGTCATCCATAGCGCGCCACGGGGGTTTTAGAAAACCATCCTCGGGATGTTCTGGTAACTGTAAAATTCTCCAGCCGAGTGTATGATTTTGTATTGAAACTGATCCATGGATCAGTTCCTTCCTGAATTATCAATGTTTAGGGGCCGACTTCTTTGGTAAAACGACCTTAATGATGGTCCTTTTCTTGAATTAATCCCAAATAGAAATATTTCATTTAAGGGATGCTTTTCGGGATCATTTTCCAAGAAGCCGATTTTGCCGAAGTAAAAGATTTTGGTTCGGAAAACGGTATTAGGGCCGTCTTGGAGATGATCTTAACGTTTCAAACTGATCCATGGATCAGTTCCAGGCCAAAATCGTCTCGAAATGTATTTTACAGTTACGAGAACATCCCGAGGATCATTTTCTCAAACCCCCGTGGCGCGCTATGGATTATATGATTATATGAGGAATGATGCAGCCGTTGAACTCCTCGCCATCCATTGCAAACCCGGTTAAGCCAAAACAACCACCATGACAAGTTTCAAAACCCAACCCTTAACTAACACGCTCGCCTGCTCCTGATAGATATATGACAACGAACAAATACAAGAGACTGATGCTCTCCCCCTTTCTGCTCACTTGGTGCCCTGAAATTGCTGCATAAACTGAATGGCCTGTTCCATAGGATATCCGATAAAGACCGGCCCATTGAAGTTGAAGACCACGGGGGCCTGTTGCTGACCTGCTGGCTCAGCCTTCGGCATAGGCATATCTGCCAAGTTGATAAATGTCGGTTGTGGTGTAGGCATAGGTTGTGGTATGTGATGCTCCTTGACCGGTTTGGACTGCTCGACCTTGCGATCCGTCTCCCTGTGCGCTGTCTCTCCCGGCACTGCTTCCTGCTTGGGCGGTTGCTCAACCTTTGTGCTAGATGAAGCAAATGCAGCCATCTTGGTATGATCAAAGGGACACTTCCCAGCCCCTGGACCCTTCTTGTGAGGAATCCCATCTTGAGCCGGCGGTATCGAAGGAACCGCAGGCCGAACCGGACTTGGACTTCGACTCCTCTGCCTCCGGGGTTGGTCCTCCATGGCAGGCACAGGAATGCCCCATGGTCGACTGGGTGATTCCCCCAAACGCACCTCTCGCAGAGGACGATCAAAACGACCTTCACGATCTTCCTCATCTTCTACGGGCAGGAGGTTCTGATCGTCTTGGTATTCCGGTGGCGCTTGCGGGTCACTGGCGGAAACAGACTTGGCCCAGTTCGCTACTCGTTCATTGGAGGTTCCATCCACTTGCTCAGGGTCTTGATATTGATCTCCCGTCGCTGGCGAAGGCAGCATAGGCTTGTGCAGATGGCTCAGGTCCTCGATCATGTTGGCCAGATTCCCATACTTGGCATCGAGCTTCCTTACTTGCTCTTCATTCTTCTGATAGCGCCTGACGCAAACCTCATGACTGCGCGGAATCTCGTGCTTGTGCGTCTCCACGTAGCGAGCAATCTCTTCAGGAGAGTGCTTGTCAAGAAATCGAATCGGACACTTGGAGGCAGCAGTGTGGGCGGGCATCGACGTCGAGTCCTCGTACATGGCAGCGCAGATGGGGTCAGAGGATTTGTGCGGAGTGGGGTCCATGGCGGCGGTGCCGTTGTTCAAAGCAGCAGCAGCAGCAGCATCTTGGTCTTGGGCGCCATCGCCAGTCACACTGCCAATACCAAGGTTGGGCGATGCTTGGTCTTGGACAGCGGGAGGCGTGGCAGCAGCAGAAAAGGGACACGCAAGGAGGCCCTTCTTCTTCCCCTCAACAGTAAAGTCCTTTTCGAGCACGGTCGACATGGTAGTCATGGTGTCGGCGGCGGTAACGGGAGAGGTGGAAGCCTCCTTGCTAGAGTCACTGTGTTTGCTGGCCCTTCCCATGGCAGCGGCCATGAGCTGAGCAGCCTTTCTCCCCTCTCTGATTTGCAAGGCGATCTCGTGCTGGGAGTTTCCAGGTTGGATGCGCCGAGGCAAGGGCACGACGGATGAGTTGGTCGCGACAGGATAATAGTGCTGCACGTCCGGTGGAAGCTGGAGCTTTGCGAGCGTTTCGGCTACCTCGGGGACTGCAGGCGCATATTTATCGGCTAGACACTGGTACTAAATTGCGGGCAACTGTGTTAGCCAAATGTGATCGCCATCGAAAAGTGAGATGGGATATGACAAGCGCAATTGGGTGTAAATTGGATCAGACATTAGAAGTTGTCTCCACGTGCTGTTGATAGGCAGCTGGCAGATCTAGAGCTAAAAATCATCATAAAAAGGGGGTTGGAATGGGAATAGGAAATGGAGGTGTTTTACCTTACCTGCTCGTGCGCAAAGCGAAGCTTGTGCTCAAGGATGGTCTTGCGGTCGATCAGTGATTGGACTTCATCTGCCAGGGCAATGAAGGACTCGGTTAGAGTCTGGGTTAGTTGTAGGTAATTCATCCCACGGCATTTGTTGCGACGAAGCGGGGAGGAGCTTCGTCGGTATTAAGTAAGAAGAATGGACGAGAATGGACCGCTTGCTTTGTTGCGCCGCGTGACAGGTTCGGAAAAGCAAGCTCGTTCGTTCCGCCTTTTCCAGTCTTCCAATGAATGTGAAATGCACGGGAATGGGAAGAGAAGAAAGGCTTTTCCGCAGCTGTTCGGCCGCGGTTTTAGTCATCCCACAGGATCCACTTTTTGGAGCACTGCACCGCCCAAAAGCAGAGCCCCGCCATCCCATGTTTGCCCGACGCCGGCGTCCCACGTTGACGATGGACCCACCCAGACTCCTTCTCATGCGGGGCAGTTGGGGAGGGCACTTGGCACTGTCAGGAACACCGACAACAAGGGGAACAGTGTCAGGGTGATGTGGGTATGCAGTGCAAATGTGTGTAGATTGATGATCCAAGCTAAGAACTGGCCAGGAATCTGGCTCAAGGATGCAAAGTATCCTCCCAGTGCTTGATCCACTGGGTATCGCCTTCCCCGAGTCTGGCTTGTGCCAAGCCTAGTCTGGCTTGGCCTGCCTGGCAGGTGCATGCCTGGCCCAGTGCCCTGACAAACAGGGGGACCAAACACTAACATCACAACATCGCCCGTGAGGTCATCATGAGATCGGGCGAGAAAGGTAAGCAAACATATGGCGGCTTGATATCTGCAAATATCAGGCCAGTGTGACATTGTGTGCTTGACTATATCGTGCCTCAAGGCACTTCGGAAGGGACAAGACCTGCGGAGAGTATGGGCCGGAATTTGACACGATGGGCATGTGTTAAGGCATACATCATGGTATCAAGCCTACCACATAAGGCAACCAGTTCTTGAAAGGTTCAGTTGTTGGATGCAGAGTCTGTTGTGTTGGTTGCTCCTTCCATATTTTGTCCTCGTATTGCTTCGAAGTTGTAACCGTCAGCCTACCTCTTATATAACACCCCGCGATATTACCCATGACACTCTTCTATAAGCGTGATGCCTCCGGGATGCTGTTTCGACATCATCTTCATCTTCCAAGTTATCTTTCAACTTATAAACCTCTATCAACACCTACGTCAGGGCCAGCCATCACCAAGGTTTCCTTAAGTACTGATCAACATGATGGCTGCTAAAGCCATCCGTCCAGCTCGTTTGTTGAGTCGCACAGCACACATTGTCCCTGGTAAGCAACCCGACACGAGCAGACCATCGCAAGGGCACTCTTCATAACACACATCAACAGGCCAGCTACGCGTCACAGAGCTAACCTTCGAGGTGCCCCTGAACCACGCCAACCTCTCCGCCGGAAACCTCAAGATCTTCGGTCGCCAAGTCACCAAACATGACACTCCCATCGTGCCCCGCACCGACAGCGAGCTGGAGGAGTACCATCGCAAGCCTTACCTCGTCTACCTCGAAGGCGGTCCCGGCTTCGGCAACAAAGAGCCGCAAGACCACCAACTAACCAAGACGGCCCTGGACAGGGGCTACACGCTCCTCCTCCTCGACTACCGCGGCACCGGCCTGAGCACGCCCATCAACCAGCCGCATCTAGCCACATTGGGCGGCCCCCAGGAGCAGGCCGACTACCTCAAGCACTTCCGCGCCGACAGCATCGTCCGCGACGCCGAGGCCGTGCGCCTCTGCTTGACTGCCGGTTACCCCGAGAGTCACAAGAAGTGGTCCATCTTCGGTCAGTCCTACGGTGGCTTCGTCGCGCTGACGTACCTGTCCCAGTTCCCGCAGGGGTTGCGCGAGGTGTTTATGACGGGCGGTCTCGCTCCCGTCAAGCGCACGGCTGAGGAGGTCTACACGGCCCTGTACAAGAAGGTCATCGAGCGCAACGAAGCCTATTACCGGAAGTTCCCCGAGGACGTGGAACGCGTCCGGAAGATAGCGCAGTACCTGGACGAAAAAACTCCCGTCCTGCTGCCGGGCGGCGGCGAGTTCACCGTCGAAAGACTGCTCGGCATCGGTCTCTGCATGGGAATGAACGGCGGCCTGGATTTGATCCACAGCACCATCCTCAAGCTGGCCATGGACATCGACCAGTTCGACTTCATCACGCGCGCGGCAGGCTCCGCTTTCGAGGGGCTGGTTCCCTTCGACACCAACCCCATCTACGCCGTCCTTCACGAGTCCATCTACACCAACGGACCGGGGCTGGCGTCTAACTGGGCCGCCCACCGCGTCGGCAAGACGCTCTCCGAATCCGAGCCGGGACTCAGCTGGCTGTCCTCTGTGCCCCAAGCTCTCAACTCCCCCTCCCCAAATCAGCAACCGCTGTACTTCTCAGGCGAAATGGTCTACCCCGCCCACTTCGATTGCTACCCGGAGCTGAAGGACATGAAGGAGACGGCCGAGCTTCTGGCCAAGTACGACGACTGGCCGCGGCTCTACGACCTGGATCAGCTGGCGCGGAACGAGGTGCCCGTTTACGCGGCCAGCTATGTCGAGGACATGTATGTCGCTGCGGACTTTGCAAGGGAGACGGCCAAGGCGGTTAGGGGGACCAAGGTGTTTGAGACGAATGTGATGTACCATGGTGCGCTGAGGGCCAAGACGGAAGAGGTCTTGGGGCAGTTGTTTAAGTTGAGGGATGATACGCTGGATTAGAGTAAGGGGTATCATCTCGTTGCCGGTCTGAAGTGGTTGTTGAGGATCTTGATGGTTAAGAAGGTAAATACCGTGTTGTATGAAATCCATGAGATGTTAGCGAGGATGTGTGCTTTTGGTATCGGCGATGATGCAATCTGAAGAGATGAGGTACATGTTTACTTGATTTTTCATAACCAGCGAAAGAGAGGTTTTCTAACTTGCCGCTAGGAGGCTAATACTTCAGTTGGAAGGTTGATGTGTTTCTGCGGCTTCAGATACTCAAATTCACGTTCGGTTTGCCTTGGATGACGAAGCTATTGTGACTTTTTCGACTGATCTCATCTATAGACAGGCTCGCGGTCTCGACTACTCTGAGTGCACTCGATCGATACGTCGGAAGCTTCTCTGGGACACATGTCAAAAGGTCACAGCGTAACAACATACAGTTCACCACTGAAGCAGAATATGATATTCAGAACTCCTCATAATCATTTCGCTAACAATTCCAGAAAAACCCAGCTCCCCTTCCCCCTTTCTTCCTACATCCTGGCGAACAACAATCCTGTGATACGCGTAGCATAAGCAGGTATCGAGCAGTTTCCTCCCTGTTCCCTTCTCATGCCACATGCCCTTTCCTGTGTCCTTCGAAAGAAAAAGCAAACAGCCGGGGATAAGATGATGATGCCATATTCATGCCCCTTCATCCTTCCATTCTATCAGTCCGATATCCTCTCTCTAGAACGCCTGCCGATAAGACCGGGTGTCGATATATTTTGACGTCGATAGTAGTAAAAGCCCACCATGTCGTAAAGCGCAGGTGAAATAGGGGGAACATCATAAAACAAGACTGAACCCTCCTCTTCTTCCACCATTAGCCATGTCAGATAATGACAGTCCGGATGCTCTGTGTATGATAAGTGTGATCATATCCCTTCCACCCGCGCCGACTTGATCACACTTTTAGTTATCACCGGTTTTCACCTTGCATCATATCCCCTTTTTAGTTCCTTTCTCCAACTCTTCGTTTTGTCGGCCCCTGAAACATCGTGCCTCGTCAAATGTGCAATACTCGACAAAGGGTCGAGCAATCGGGTATATTTGCTTCGTAAAGGGTGATTATGGGAACAGGAAGGCATCAAATGATTTAGTATCGTTGCAAATCATCCAGCCTCCACAACGACCAGTCTCAAACAATGGCAGTGCATGGCACGTTTGTCGGACCGTCGTTTGTTCCGCAATTCATCGTCGAATTATGGAAAAGGTTGGTACTGCTTCCCAGCCCAATTAGCTCGCTTACTGCGAGGCGCACTGGACACGCTCGGCCTGGGGCTCGTCATCCTCCTCCATAGGGCTGTTGGAGAAGCCACGGCCGGCTCCGCTGCCCTCAACGTCCTCCAATTCCGCAGGTTCGGTCATAGCGTCCTGAGGCGGTACGTTGACAACAGCGGGGGCCGGGAGGTACTTGCGAAGAGCCTCGAAGGCCTCGGGATCCTGAGTCCAGCCCTTCTCGGGGAACTTGACGCTAAACTGGATATACATGTTGCCGTAATCGTGGTGGCGGTACGAGGGCATACCCTGGCCACGGATCATCTTGACGGCGCCTATCTCACAGTTAGCGCTTGCTCATTTATGACGTAGCGGGACAGAAGAATACTTACCGGGCGCAATAGCCTCGCCGGGTTGAATGTCAACGCTCAACCAGCGCTCATCGAGATGCTCGATGAAAATGGTTCCACCGGCAAGGGCGGTCACGAGATCAATCTCGCACTTGTAAAGGAGGTCGTCCTCCTGACGGGTGAAGCGAGGGTGGGGCTTCTGCTCGATGACGAAGACAACGTCGCCGGGGAGAATGCCAGGTGCTTGGTCACCCTCACCGCGGAACTCAACCTTGGTACCGCTCTTGACGCCACGGTCGACGTGGACGTGGAGGACCTTGCGATCGACGACGGTCTTCTTGCCGTTGCACTGCTTGCAGCGATCCTTCTCCTTAATCACCTCGCCTTCGCCATTGCAGTCAGGGCAGACAGTCTGGAAGCGCTGGATCATGGGACCCATTTGCCTCATCATGATCTTGGTACCCTGGCCGTCGCAGCCAGCACACCGCCTGACGGCACCCTCCTTGCCGCCACGACCCTCGCACTTGGGGCAGAGGATTGACCGCTGAAGGGCCAGCTTGGAGATCTTGCCGCGGTAGATATCCTCGAGCGAGACGTGGTGGACGTGGTGAATAGTCTTGGCCTTCGCGGGGGCACGCTGCTGGTTCATGCCGCCAAACATACCACCGAGACCGCCGCCGAAGCCACCGCCGCCGAAGAACTGAGCAAACAGGTCCTCGGCAGCCATGCCGCCACCGGCACCCGCACCACCCTCGAGACCAGCCTCGCCATACTGATCGTAGATGGCGCGTTTTTGCGAGTCGGAAAGGATTTCGTATGCGTGAGAGATCTCCTTGAACTTTTGTTCGGCAGCCGGGTTGTTGGCGTTCTTGTCTGTAGCGTTGGCTGTCAGCAGGCCATTCGGCTGCGCAAGTCGCAAGGATGGCGGGACATACCTGGGTGGTACTTGAGGGCACCGGTCTTGTATGCCTTCTTCAATTGCGCCTCAGTGGCATCTGGGCTGACCTATTTCCGGGCGTTAGACCCCTCCTCCTGTCAGGCTGGCGGTGTCGGTGAGCAGCGGGACTTACTCCAAGAGTCTCGTAGAGCTTTGTTTCCTTGACCATCTTGACTGTCTAGTCTAGAGATGTGTGCTGGAAAGATTCGGAATGCTCTGGACGATCAGTTCCGGGGATAATGACGGATATGGGGATGCGTCAGAGTCGATAAAAATCGCGGTCTAATAGGAGGACAGATAAGGTCAGCGGCTACGAAGTCGCGTCGAGAATGATGCAAGTCGAGTCGAGGGAAGAGAGACAATGGATGGTTGGTGCAAGTTAAGAGCGGCGGTGGACAATGGAAGGGAAAGAAATATCTTTTTGCGCATAGGTTTGGGAAAGGCCGATGGGGTCCCAAGTCGGGGTTGGTTGGCAGAGTTGGGGACTTCCAGGCCTCGCTCGCCTCGGGGGGGCGGTCCAGGGCACCGAGAAAGAAGCGCAGAACAGGAACGGACAGAAACAGGGATGGACCTACCAGACGCGGCTCGGAGCTACAGCAGCAGGAAGCTTCGAGGTGGAAATAGCTGGTAAAGTAGCCGAAGGATGGGAGTGATGGAAGGCGTGAGGCGTAGTTGTAGTAGGGAAACACACTACAGAAGACGGAAGAGTGGGTATAGCGGGATGACCGATCAACTTTCTCGAGAAAAATGCGGCAGCAGGGTTCAAATATTAACCAAGGCAAGGCAGAAAACCGGAATCTTCACTGCAATCCTGGAATATAGGCGCAGAGTGAGGGATGCGACGGGCGCCTTGTTCGTTGGGGGACCCGGAACGGCGAAGGAGGCTGAAGTGGGTGAACTGGCCCAGGAAGTTCTTCTTCAGCCCCTCCTCATGGAAATCAATCGAAAGCTCTAGAGCGTGGCTGACCCGAATTGGGGGCCGATAATGAGGTACTTGGTCCCGCTTTCTGCACGGTGGGGAACTGCACACGTTGGAGAGGGGGAAGGACAAGGTTTCCCCACACTCAAAGGAGGTACCACTTTATCACTCATTGGCAGAATCTAGCCTCAGGGGATGCAGATGGAAATCGATCGTGGCTGGTGCGCTTCAAGGTGACAGTGACAAATGCCCAACTTTCAAAACTTTCGCTTTTCACCACACGCAATGCGGAACATGGTGCATACATCTTGTGAAAGCGTAGATTTGCTTACCATCTTTCTTTTGGGTGTTTCACTTTCCTTACAAGGCTGTTCTAATACTCGTGTCATTCATGGCCTCTGATTGGGTTGTTGGGGGACGTTCACGTTGTCGTCTGAATCCGAGTTGGCGCCCGCTCGAAACCCTGCAGGCGTTCTTCCTAACAACCCCACCAACATCTTGATGTCGCCTTTTGCCCCTCGATTTTTTGACCCCCTTCGACACCATCGCGGGGCAGCTTTTGGTAGGAGCTTACCTTACATCTAGAGGATTCCAGGTGAAGCCAGCGAGAATGACGTGCGCTGCTGCTTATCGATCACCAGAAGACTTTGGGCGTCTATCCGTGGTACAAGAGGTACTTGGGACCAAAACACAAGATCCATGGATTAGAATATCTAACCCCAGCATCTCTGCCGTCGGCAACAAGCTGTATCAGGACAACAAGCTCAGCAACCAGCTTCTTACCGAGGAGCCCCAGCTCAGATGCCATTCTTTGCCCTACAGTACACTGGTTCAATGTTTGGTTGTTTGGATTTGGAACTGAATGATACCCCTCGCAAACGGCACCTTATCGCAGTGAGGTGACATCTCGGAAGTGGGGGATCTGCTACAATGGCTAGGTATACACCAATATCATGGAGATACCAAGGAGATAAGGTGTGCTAGGTCACATATTCACCAGCCTGATGCTCATCAAACGTGGAAAACGGGAACTTACCGAGTTGAAGTCAAGTGACAACACGACGGTGCTGCTTCTAGAAGTTATCTCCTTCATCACTTCTCTCTGAAGAACAGTCTATGACTTCCCCGTGGTTAGTGTCTTAGCATACCCCTTATTTAACCTCCCCAAATTCCTCCATCATGGACGACGCTGCCGGTCTAGCCATTGCCTACGAGGAAGCCCAGAAATCATATGAAGAAGGGGGAATTCCTGTATGTCTTCTTGATATCCTCTTCAACACCTACCCATCTCCCTCGAAATAGTAAAAAACCACAGAGAGAAAATCACAAGAAGCAAACCATAGCAAAATAACTCCTCCAGATTTCAACATGATCAAGCCCTATTCTCACCACAACCTACCATGAACATACATAACCTTCGTGCTAATGACCCCCCCAAATCATATCCCAAAAGATCGGAGCAGCACTCATCTCCAGCACCGGCACCGGCACCGTTCTAGGTCGCGGCCATAACCAACGCGTCCAGCTCGGTTCACCCATTCATCATGTATGTTGCATGTTCGTTGTGAACAAGCAGCTCCCGTCACTTACACTTTACACTTTACACTTCTTCACACCTGCTCCAACCATCCATCCCACATTTCAATCCATGTTTGTTTAACTTAACCCCCTTTATAAACCAGGGCGAAACCGCCACCCTTTTAAATGCTGGCCGCCTCCTCGCCTCCTCCTACTCAAACTCAACAATGTACACCACCCTTTCCCCCTGCGACATGTGTACAGGAGCTATTTTGCTGTACAAAATCCCGAGAGTGGTGATAGGAGAGAATAGCACTTTTAGGGCAGCAGGGGAAGACTATCTGCGCCAGAGAGGGGTGGAGGTGGTGGTGGTTGATGATCAGGAGTGTAGGATGTTGATGGAACGGTTTATCGGGGAGAAGCCGGAGGTTTGGTGGGAGGATATTGGGGAGGTGGGGGAGGAGAAGGAGGAAAAAAAAAAAAGGGGGGGGGGGGGGGGGAAAGGAGATGGTGATGTTTTGTGAATGAGGTCGTGTTATGCTGTGGGAATATGGGGGAATGGGGATGGGATCTGGATTGTTAAGTATGAAGCGTCTGAACTAGTAAGCGCAATGCTAGGAAATATCACGTAGAACACTGATCAACTACAATGTATTCATTTTCATTTCTTGTTCTAACTCTACTGTACCTGCTTAGTTAAGTATCCTCAACTCATCCCCAAGCACCAAAGTGAAGTAGATGTAAGTAAAGCCAGCAATAGCAAGCCAAGTACTCCTCCTCTCCTCTCCTCTTCGACAACGCTATGCAAACGAGACTGCAAGCAAAGAAAAAACCAGTCCAGTCCAGTCCAGTCCAGTTATTCCCACCATCACCTAATATACACTCCAGAGGAATTCAACCCGACTTATGCACATAAACATGTACAGTGAGGTTTCCTGAAACTCCACAACAAACACAAATCGGTATCTTTGACGCCATTTCTAAACCCATATATCGAAGTCTTTTTTCCTCTTCTTCTCTCCTCTTATGAAGGCCGACTCTCTTGCATAAAGCGGGTATGTATCCCTATCCTTCTCACAGAACTCTCTCCATATCATGACATTTCCACAACCAGCTCCATTCAATATCCCATGCCTTAATGTAAGAGATTACGAAGCGACGGGCTAGAGCTCGCACCAGTCTTGATATCCTTCGGCTTGTTATCCCTCGGCGGCGGTGGCAGACCGGATACCTGTTGGTAAGAAGAGGTGTGATGCAGAGGAGGCGGCTGGTTTTGCTGCGCAGTATGGTTGTTCCAATGCCTTAGGAAGGATAAAGGGTGATGCTGCTCTACGGAAGCAGGATGAGGAGGTGGCGGCCCGGCAACGTGGTGGGGAGGCATCGGGTGGTTCAGCATGTTATGCGGCCGTAGGTCTGTTCGTAGATCCGTGGGCGGTCGGAGGTCGGGTGGTCCACCGTGGCTATGGAGAGAGCCTCCTGATAGATAGGAGCCGCCGCTCGGTGTGGTGGGCTGGCCGCTCACCCGGCGAGGCGATGGTGGCAAGCCATCCATTCTTGCATAGGCAGATGGATGTGCCATGTGCCCGTTTTGGGGTGGAGGAGGCGGAGGTTGAGCGTGTGTCAAATTCGCAATAGAGAGTGAAGGAGAAGGCCGTAGATGGTTAGGCGGTGCCAACGAAGGCATGGTATTCAGCGGCGGTGGTGAAGGACCAGTGCCGTTCAACTGCCGTCCCGGATGCAGGGGTGGTGGATGACCTGATGGCTGACGGTGCCAGTCGTCGTAAGGTCTCGGTGGTGCCGATCCAAACAGGGACTGTGGCATAGATGGACCCCGAGGAGCGAGGTTCGGAGGAAGTGTCGACGGGGGAGCAACCTGCGGGGCGACAGGTCCTGCTACAGGAACAAGAGGATGTGAGACCGGGGGACGGATAGGCGCCGGGTGAGCCAGAGGAGGCGGGATGGGAGCTGCCTGTACACGTGGTGACCAGAAAGGACTTGGGCCAGGTTGTCTACCTGGAATATCCATCACAGCTGTTGGAGCCGTTGTAACTGGGGCTGGCGGTGCCAGCGGCGGCGCCTGAGATACCTGTACTGGACGGACGACCGGCTCAACGGCAGGAATCAAGAGCGGGGCGGGAGGAGGAGGGGGTGTTGGCTCCCTCTTAGGGTGCACATGTGGTTGACGCCCTTCCTTCTTGCACTTGTGGCATTGCACGCTCCTCTGCTCAATGAACTTCTGTGCTTCTGATCCCAGATTACCGTAGTACCCATTGACAAGCCCACGCTCCTGAGCTTCATCGATGGGGTACCACTTAGGGCTCACATCAGTCCCACAAGTCAAGCATATCTTGCTGCCTGGTTGTCGACAGCCCGAGGCTGATTCTCCATGATCCCCATTGAGCAGGTGAATCGTCGAGATTCGTCTTGTCTGATGGCTTGTTGATGTCGCAGACGACGATGTGGGCCGAGTGGTTGGGGTGATCTGGATGGCCTTCCTTGCGCAACCCGTAAGAGTCAAGTCGGCCTGCTTGTAGGTTTGAACATAGAGCTGTAGTGCGGTCATGCCACTCTCGTCAACCTTCTCGTGCATTGGGTGAAATGCGCCCTTCTGAGGTGCGTGTTCCTTACACCAGATCGCAGCCGACATTGTACCGCTTTCGCTCCCGAGAGTGACGATGTTATGCTGATCCCGGCGAGAACCCTTCACCGGTGTGATGTCGAAACCGAGGACATAACCGGCCTTGTGGGCACACTCGACGTGGACTGGCGACTTGCAATGATAGCAGCTGACACAAGCTCCGCCATCCTTCTTGCAAGCTCTGCAAATCTCCGAGTACTTGGCACGGTTGATCAATGGGATGCCCTCAATAGGGGCAAGCGCTTTGGCATTGCCAAACTTGACCTCCGGAGTCCAAACCGCGCAAGTGACATGCACCCAATTGTTGTCTGCAGTCCGCTTCAGGGGTTCGCGCGGGTCGGCAGGTCGGTTCATCTCCTCTTGCTTCTTCCGATAGTATTCGGCAGCCTTGATAGCATTTTCCCGCTCTTGGCGCTCACGCTCACGCTCCTTTTCGGTCTTCTTTTTGTGGGAATTCTTGGGTGGCCCTACAAAATCATGCTCCGTCTTTTCAACCGGGCAAAGGACGCACTTGTAGCTCTACAACAGTGTTAGTAGACGACCATACCTCACAAGAGATTCGGTACTTACCAATGATACCTGTGGGCTCTTGTCGTTCAGGCACATATCGCACGTCCATTTCCCGGGAGCCCGATGCTCAAGGACACCATAGCAGTTCCGATGAACTGTCATCCGGCACTCCTTACATGAAAGGTGTTGATCGCCCATAGGTTCCATCTGACGACAGATTGCGCAGGGTAATGTTCGCGGTTTGGGGATTTCGGGGACTGGCGGAGGTGGAGGCGGAGCGGGCTTCTCGATAATGACCGGCTTCTCAACAACCTTGTCCTTCTTCTTCGTGACAACTGGCGTGGGAGTGGATGCCACACTGCCCGGCTCTGAGGCTGCTGGCTCGAGCTCCTTCTCTTTCTCCTTCTCCTTTTCTTTTTCCCTCTCTTTCTCCTTCTCCTTTTCCTTTTCCACCTTCTCCTTTTCCTTATCCTTGTCCTTGTCCTTGTCCTTTTCGCGAGCGGAGCTCTTGAGCTTCTTCCGCGGCGGCTCTTGACCGGCCGCTGGTGGCTCGTGGACAAGCGTAGGGACAGGTGTAGGTTCGGGGGTGCGGATCTTGGTGTTAGCAATCATCTCATCGGCCGCGAGCAGCTCCTTGTAGAGGTCCTCGTCGACCTTGCGCTTCCAGTTACGGCCTGCGGTCTGAGCAACCTTCTTTGCAACTTCGTCCACGTCTTCCCATTGGATAGCGTATCGGCGCCAGAGCTCGGCGCATCGACGACAGAGAGCAGGAATGAACTCTCCCTTTTTGTCCTGTTTGGTACTACGGCCACTAGTCTCGCCGATGGGTTGTGAGATGGTGGGCGCGCGACGCCATTGCCGCGACGCCTTGGTGCCGCAAAACTTGCACATAAAAGCCTTCTTTTGAGCTTTGGCCTTGCCTGCATCAAAGGCCGAATCGTCATGGTCGTCGGCAACGTCGTCGGCCTGCTTGGTGGCAGCAGCCTCGGCCTTCTTTGCGTCCCTTTTCCCCTTTCTCGCAGCGAAATTGCCCCAGATCTGCTTACCTCGCTCCGTTTTCTTCCAGGTATAGTAGAATCGGGTTACTGTTGCCGGGCTAAGGGTTTTGACGTGTTTCATAACGAGGTGCAATTCGGAGCCGTATTTTCCAACACCCTCCTCGAACTTTTTCAGTTCGGCGGGAGTAAGCTCGGGCTCCTTGAACTCCTCCTTGGGGACCTTCGGCAGCTGCTGCAGGGCCTTCTTAGGGTCGAAATCATTCTTGAAGAGGAGGTCTCTTGCGACATCCTGCAAGTTTGTCGATCGTGGAGGAAGACCCAGCTCTACCGCCATGCCTCTGGCTTTGTCCATGAACTCATCCATAGCCTCGTTGGACATCTGCTTGCCACACCTTTCAGGGGGCTTGTAGAGTGGTGTGACGGTATCATCGCCGCCTCTCTCGACATAGCCGGCAGGCTCGTCCTGTATCCACTGAGGACGTGTCTCGCGCTTTTTGCGTTCGGCTTCCAGGAGAGCCTGTTGCTCCTTGTTGAGCTTCCCGTCCTTTCTGCCGGTCTTCTTGATCTCGAGAGGCTTCACATACTGCACCGGGCGGCCATACCACGGGACCACAACGGCCTGGTGACGCGGTCCTAACCGGGTGCTAGCACGGGGGAAAATGCGATCATCGTAGTCCAGGGCATCCTCGACCTTGCAGTGCATTCCCAGGTAACGATATGGCCATAGGCTGCACTGGTATATCTGCTCTGCCGTGGCCTCCTGGTGCAAGTCCTCGGTGGCCGGACTGGTGCGACTAGTCATGCCAGTCTGGACGCCGGGCGGGTCCTCCTCGTCGTCTTCGAGAAACTCGTCGTCATCGTCAAATCGGGTGCCATTGGGATCGAGGACGTTGGGGGTGTTGCGCGCCTCCAGCTTGCGCTCCTGAGCACGGCTGCATGCAGCGCAGGACCAGGCAAAGCCACGCGACGGTTTCTTGAGCAGCGGCGGCCTTACACAGTTCATGTGGTACGTGTTTTGACACACGGCACAATCCACCGAATCATTGCTGTTGCGGGTGTCAGCGCATCCATCGCTTACTGGCTGGAATGGGAGTGGTGATTGACGAAGACAAGGGGGGATGATGCGAATGATGGGGGAGCAAGGGACAAGGGGGGGCAACTGAAATGGGGGACCGCGACATGCTGCATCGTCCTGTTCCTGGGACGGGCCCCCACGCTTATTGGCCAAGCCCAGAGCCACAAGTGGAAGCCAAGCCGCGCCGAATCAAAGTACACCGTCCATCTGGCTGGACAGTGCACTGACCACCAAACCACCGACCCGGCCGACAGAACAGCCAGCCAGCCAGCAAGCCCACTTGGTAATAATAGGCCCGGCCAGGGGGGGTGTCGCAGTTAGTGTGTTCCCGTTCCGGTACCGCGGGTGGAATCGAAAAGCAAGTGATGAAGTGAGGTGAAGTGTGAAAAAAAGGGAAATTGAAATCCGAACCAAATCTGATAACTTACCTGGCGCAGTAGCCGACGCACCGCTTGCAAGTCTTGACCGCACTGGTCAGTTCCTTGCCTCGGCCTTGCTCCACCAAAATGTACTTCCACCTCTCGTCCAGCACCTTCTTGACATGCTCGGGCACGTTGATGATCTGCTTGGTCGGAATCACCTCGTAATTCTTCTGGATGTATCGGTCGTACAGCTTCTCGAACCAGAAACAGTCGCGCGCCCTCTTATACGCCGCCAGGTCTGGGATTTCCGTCTTGTGCCGAATCTGACACTTGCCGCGCAGGGCCGTCAAAGGACTAATGTCCGAGTGCATCGTGGCGAAAACCATCCGCGTATCTTGCACTCTCCGACCAATGTCTTTTGGCCTGTAGTACCAGTTCACGCGCAACGCGTCCACTGGCTTTGCCGGGTCGTTTTTGGTGTGCAAAAACTCCATGATGCGGCCCAGGTAGTAAGGCTCCCCAGGCGGCTCACAGACCAGGTAAACGTGATCTGCAACCCATGTCAGTACACACCAAAAAAGAGACGAGAACCGGAGCCATCATTTCCCCATAGGGAATCAGGCGCCAGCCCCCAGGAATCAACAACTGAACTTACCGTTCACTTCAAGAACAGTGCCGTCATCAGCCACCATCTTGCCGTCCTTGGGCATCGCCTTGGTGTTTTCAAACGTGAGGAGATTGGTCTCGCCATAGCCATTAACCATGCCCAGGTCGCTCGCGGGCCCATTTGTCGGTGTCTTGCTGTTGCCGTTGTTGTCGTGCGAATTGGTCTTGACCCGCTTGTTGTGCGATGCCGAAGAGTTTGCTGCACTGGTCGGGGTCTGGCTGCTGGAAGCATTTGCTGCAGGATCTGCTTTTCGCTTTTTGGACTTTGTGGGGCCATTGGTAGTAGCCCCGTTTGCGGCCGGTGAGGTTGAAGGTTGGCGAGACTGCTGATCTTTTGAAGAGTGGCCTTTGCGAACATCGTCGATTGTGGGAAGCGGCTTCCGTGAGGCCGACGTCGAGGTGGCAGTGACGGTGGTTGATGCTGATGTCCCGTTTACCGCAGTACGTGGGGCTGGCTGAGATGCACCATTTGTCGGCGATGATGACGATGGTGTTGCCGCTTGCGTTGTTGCTGATGATGCTGACGCTTGAGCTTGCTTGGAGGATCCCTTCTTGGCCTCACCTCCTTCTCGACGATCCGGATACAATTCAAAAATGTCCATATCAAGGTCCCGATCCTCTGCGTAGTTGATGCGAGAATTGCCTGTGCGATTTCGTGAACGCGTTCCATAGGGATTGGCCGCCGTACTGCCATCTTTGGCGGCGGCGGCGGCTTGCGTGCTTGTAGATGTTGATTTGCCCATGGGGGCGTCGGTGGAGGGTTCAGAATTAGTTGGGGGAAGAGGTGAGGGATCCGACATCCGTGGGAGGACGTTAGATATAGCAGCAGATGAAGTACTGGAGGAGGTTGATGCGGGAGTGGTGGCTGACTGCTTGGTCGAGTTTGCATTTGCACTTGCGGTTGCCGCGCCCTCCTTCTCCTTGGCGGATAAGGTGCGACTCGCCGAGTTTGTCTGCTCCTCAGAGGGAATCACATGTTGGTTTTTTTGAGCCATGGTGCTGAAACAGTAGAAATGTCCCGCAACCTGGAACTTGGAACCTTAAAAGAGGCCAAGTGAATGGGCGACGAGTGAAGGCCAATGCCTAGTGGCACTCTTGAAAACCTGTGTGAATCAGATCTCAAAGTGAAGGTGGCCGAAAGGACTCGTGGACAGAGACGGCCACTTGACGAGAATTATGAGATGCTGGAAATGTGAGATGAAGGGGCCGGCAGATGGGCCATAAGTTGAGACGGAAGCGTGCCGGCGCCCCGTGCAGACGACCAATGCCTTTGGGATCAAGTAAGAAATCTTCCAACACCCGAACCTGAGGTGAAGCTGAGTCGGACCTGAATCCCAGGTTGACCTAGATGCTGATATGCCGGGGGAGTGAATGGGCAAGGCGAATATGCGAGATGCCGTTTGGAGCAGCAGCCGTGGGACGACCGTGACATACACGGGACTAAGGAGTTCGAGGTAGGGTCAAGTCGCAGAGGCGGCCCGTCGTCTTGGTGGTAAAGGTGTAGTATGCTGGTATGTAATGGGGAAATGCTGTCAAAGTTGCGGCGGCCGGTAAAAATCTCGTCTGGGCTGGGGAAGGTGTGGGCAACCTTAAACACGGTCCAGATCGAGCAAGTCGGAGTGCATGTGGGAGGGACAAAACCAGCGTTGTTGGCGAAAAGGGAAGAAAAGGGAAGGGAGAGAGAGAGATATGTGTGGGCAAAAGTAATAATGGAGAAAGCGACTGGAGCGAGAAACGTCAAGTGGAAATGGGCAAGGATTCATCAGAAGAGGAAAGGTACCTTTTTTGGGCAAGGTCTTGTAGGGTGGCCCGTAATAACGGTCCTAACGGGGACGGGTACCTAGTCGTTGTCTCTTGTACACAACACTATTCGGCTGGATGGGTATGGGTATGACCCATTACCTCTAGGTAGGTACACGACTTGCAATCCATCACACATCATCCTCAATTTTTCTTCCCATTGTGAGTGCCTTCCTAAGTCTATGTATGGGGGTTATTGTCGGTGATGATTGAGGTCGGGTGCCGAGCGGACAGCTCTTCTCTCGATATCTCGACGGGATGCTACCTAGGCAGACATTGCCTGCTGTCTGACACTGCACTCTTGTAATGACGGTCACGTTTGCCGAGCGCTGGTAAATCCCCCATGATATGCCCGAGCCTCGAGTTGCAGTTCTGGGGGAAAACTTGAACTTTCATTGAAGTGAGCAAGAAAAGAAACTGCGACGACCGGGTGGGCTTTCCATCAACCTTCCAGCACCAGAGCCCGCATTCGCAGGGCACCAGAACGCAGCTACCTCCTAGCCTGCCCACACAACACACATTCGGGTGGGTGGGTCCGGATATCGCTAGTGCCTGGAGGTACAGACCAGGTTTCTGCAGGGGTCTGCTTCTCCCGCGTTCAGTTAGTGTTTGGTTATAGATGTGTTAGCTTTTGCTACGTTTTGTCATACAAAATCTTAACATGCGCCGGCCATGCAGCCACCATCGTGAGACTTGGCTGATACCTCATGATCCCTCCCGTCTACCTCGCGGCGAGCCCCCGAAAACCCAGCGAGGAGTAAAACCTCTTCAACCTCACGCCGTTCTCCATTCTCCGTTCCTTTCCACTTCTCCCACCTTCAATCTCTGGCCAAGCAAGCCCTGCCGCAAATCCATCCATCCATCCAACTGGCACTTGCTCCGGCCGCTCCACCTTCAACTCGAGACGCCGACTCGTCCGACGGCCACCTTTGTTGACTTTATTACGTCTTTTGGTGTTTGCAATGAACCTAAGCTTTGAGCCTTTGCATATTCCTTCATCATGGTGGTCGGTACGCGCCGCGCCCACTCGCAGTGAGATGGCGTAAAGTCGCCACGCAGAAGAGGCTCGATTCTCGATTTTGCGGTTCGCTCGCTGGCCTGCTCTTCCACTTCCTTTGATTGCCGGCGTGCGGCCCTAAACTGTGCGCGTCCGCCTCGCCAGTTCCAGTTCCGTTCGAGTCAAGGTTGGACCAGAAGCTGAACTGTGCTGACACGCAAAGGCCTGGTCTGCCCCGGCTCTCGACACTTTTGTCTAGTTCTCAGTCCATATGCTGGCTCAAAGCTGGCTGGGTGGTCATGATGCGTGCCGTGTGCCTGGCACGCCTGGGAAACGGCGGTTCTAGATACATGGCCAATGTACCCGACAATACTGCGTGCCATTGGATGCTCTGCCTCACACTTGTATCTCCCCGCCCAGTCACCAATCGAGCCAGCCGAGCCGGTCTGGACAGGTACAGGTCAACATGTCTCCGACTCTTTGGACCCAATTCGACATCAAGGGTCTGCTCAGCGTTTGGTAACTGCGAGGACGCAATCCAACGTCCTACCATCCCAGCATCACACTTTCCGTTGTGTGTTTGCACTTCTTGGCCTCATCAGGGCAATAGGCTCGAAATCTAGGCTGGCGTATGGATGAAGAAGCTTTTAATGATGCGTCCTCCCGCTCAGGGGACGCTCACGTCTATTCATCTCTCGTCAGGTTCTTTGTTCTGTAATCTTTTTGTGGGCTAGGTCGGGGATTCCAGGTGTGGGTCATGATGGCTTCCTCCGCAAATCCCACGCTGACCCCATCATTCGCCCTCCCGGCCTCCCCTTTCCTCAACCGCAACGCTGCAACACCTCTGGCACGGCCAGCTGTCTTGTCGATTTCCAAGGCTGCCATGAAAGAAATGCCCGACGGGAAAACATTACTTGCCGAGATATACGCAACACATATCACAGCGACCAAGCCACTGGGTGAGAGAGTTGGCCTGGTCTGGCTTGCCAGGTCACTGTAAGCAACTTGATCACACAAACATCTCTCCGTTGTCGAGTTGAGTTATATCATTCCGTTCGTCTTCAACGACCAAAATCAGTGGGCGATGAAGCGTCACAAATCAGAAGCGTCAAGGAAACGGTCGGTACAGGGATTGGCTCTTTCTAATACAGTGGGATTCCTTACGCGATACAACCGATTAGTTATATCTGCCCTTTATACAGGAGCGCCCTTGACGGAGCACGCGTATAAGAGGTTGACTCGCTCGTCAAGCTCAACTCTTCCTCTCTCTTATCCTTAGCATTATTTATATCTACGTGGCGTTTCCATGTATCAATGACGCCCGTTCTAGGAAGGACCGAATACTATTGAGATTCTGTCAAGTGTTCCTTCCTAAGGAAGAACCGAACATAGGTGAGATGCTGTCAAGTGTTCCTTCCTTTAGGAAGAATAGAAAACTCTGCTGTTGCGGCTGCTGCTGTTTAATGTTTTACCCTCCGTGTTGGTTCTCTCTGCTTTTGTTCCTTTTCTCTCGGTAGTTGTCCTCATATATAGATTGGAACTATGGCGATATCCGATGATTAAGAGTAATCGTGGTTTGACCATGATAGCGACGACTCGCAAGCGCTACCCGAGACATTATTTGAAGTAAATTTAATAAATAGAGTATATACTGCTTATTCTCTATTCGCCGGCGAATGCCCCCTCTAAGTCCGGGAGTATCTCCCATTAATCTACTTACTGTAGGAGATTGTATTCTAATTGGAGATGTATTGGGCCCCCAACCTTAGAACTATATTAAAAACGTTACATCCGCTGACTTTAGAGTTGCTGAAATCCTTACCCGAGTTTAGCTATACCGATGACTATGCTTTTGTGGTCTACTTATTGATTATGGAAAAGCCGGAGCAAGTTGAAGAGCAAATACAGGTGGAGAAGTTGTCTAATCTCCAAGGTCAGACTGCAGCAATAGGTTCGGTAAGTCCAGAGAACACTCGCTTCCAGATCACCTGCAAATACGTTCTGACCTATAGATTAACTTACTATACTCCAAGTCGCTGATAATAACAATAAAACTATAGAGAGCCTAGAACTACCTTTGATATCTATTGGTACTGGGACTAATAGATATTACGGTGTATATTAAAGGTTTGAAGATTACGATAACAACTAAGCTTTGTCATTAAAGTCGATAATTGCGTATACTAACGGTTATTGAATTTTAAATAAAAAGGTTTTGGTTTCAACTCCATGTCTAATAGATATATTTTTAATCTTGCTAGCTCGAGCTCTATTTTTGATCTTGGAAACCTCTCAGATGTATAGGTTTTATGCGAACTATAATACAAGTATGATTAATATAAGGTTAGCGAATGCTCAATGGGGCACATCACTATCATATCAAGGATTATGTACCTACGATGCTTGAGGTAAGGGTATCCATCGTATGGAATGGTTATATCAAGGCTTATTAGAGGAGGAAATGGAAGAAGCTAAACGTTTGGCAAAGTAGGAATACTGGCGTCAAAGGTGGGTTGAGAAGAAGGATGAGATCAATGAGAAGAGGCGTGAAAAGTACGCCGAGAAGAAGGATGAGATCAACAAAAAGAGACGTGAAAAGTACGCCGAGAAGAAGGATCGTGAAGAGTACGCCGAGAAGAAGGATCGTGAAGAGTACGCCGAGAAGAAGGATGAGGTCAACAAGAAGGCGCTTGAAAGGTACACCAAGAAGAAGGATGAGATCAACAAGAAGAGGCGTGAAAGGCGCGCCGAGAAGAAGGAGAAGGATGAGAAGAGGCCGAGGATGGAGTAAGTCTGGATTGGTCGCCTCTCCGACAACCCACCAACCGTCACGAGCCCACCAGTCAAATATCGCACAATCAATCTTCATTGAAACGCCTGGAGTTTTCGTCAATTATTTGACCTTGATAAAGATAAAAACCTTCATCTTCTCAATCTGCACCACGCCACGCCTGACAAGAGACATTCCAGTCAATGACGACCTTTGCCTATCGTCGTCATATGCAACCTCTGCAGCTCATTACTTCAGCTTCCATGTTATCTAACCGAAAGAGCACCCCATGAGCAGCAGAAGATGGCACTAGCGACCTGTTTTTTGGTCGGACATTTGCCTCAACTCTCAAGTCACCCCTCGGTTTTCGTCCTGACTGCTGCCATCTTCTCGAACTCATCATATCCGCCCGACGGCAGCTGACGTCAGTCTCTGTAAACCACCAACCTTGAACGACTGGGGCTGGCAAGTTGGCTGTTTGATGGTATTATACCAAGTGCCACCTAGATATCGCAACGGATGAGTTCACAGACATTCTGTATCCCTTCTGTTCCCCCCGAATCAAGGATTCCTTTAGGGCGTATGCGGCTGTGGCCGTAGACTCTGATGTCTTTCAGCAGTTGGGCGCCGCTTCTTGGCGGATGCGATATCAAAATCTGGCAGAGGTCACTTCCCCAATGCCGAACAACTTTATCTCATGCCAGGGCATCACGGCAGCTCACTATCGAAGCTTTCTCACCAAAACATGCTGACCAGCAAAGTCATATACGCTCCCATTTCAACCTCCAAAACCGTCAGTTTTACTACCAATCGCAATCGTACCATGATGAAGCCTCGAGGGAAAGCGAAACTTTGCCTCAGCACAGAGACCCACCAAGCATCCATGCCAAGCAAAGACCCCATCACAGCCGGAGGTTTGACGAGCTCCTCCGTTTGGAACTTGACCTGAGATGTGCGCTCCGTTGCCCGCGCGCAATAGGAGGTTTTGCTAGGGGGGCCTGTTTGCCAAATATATCACGAGAACATCAACAGCCTCCTGAACACTCTCAATGGGCTCGCATGAAATCTCACTTCAATTGAGATTGAAGATCATCCCCTGGATGCGATGAACTGCCCAACCCACTGGATCTGAAAGGCTTGCGATGGCTAATAAGATATGTTTCTGACAGACACTAACACTGTTGATTTCCGACTTTACACACCAGCCCTAGTTTCAACGTGGCATTCGCGGTTCATCCAGAGAGGGCATCGCCAAAAATTGAGGTGTTTCAGAAGGGCGTCAACTGTGGTGATGGCGTCCGGGGTACGGCATCACTCCTAACAACCAGGACAACTATGATAGGGGCTTTCCCTCCGGCAGCATCTCCAGGTTTGTTCATCGACTTCTATGTAACTCGGTCAAACGACAAATTCTCGAGTCGTCGAGTTGAATCACATCATTCTTGTCGTCCTCAACCATCGCAACAGGAAGACTGCAGTGAGCGATGAAGCTTCACAAATCAGAAGCGTCAAGGAAACGGTCGGTACAGGGATTGGCTCTAGTTCCATGTGGGGGCTGGACTGAGGAGAGCGTGTCCTTCAGGGTTTAACTAGCGTGAACCGAATTGGACACTACGGATCTATAATGCCGTGCCGATTGGTCCACTGGTTGAACCCTTTGGACAACCGACAAACTGCCATGAGGTTGTGAACGACAGACGCTGCGACGACGACGATGAGGTTGGTAAACTGTAACTGAGATATTGGGGTCTCAAAAGCGAACCCCGACATTGAACCATCCATAAGAAGGTGGAATCGGGCTGTTGACCAAACCCACAAGGCATTGACGGAACCGATTCTGGTACGACGTTGTTAGCAGATATTTCAGGTGAAGTCGGTGAACTTCCCGCTACAATCGACAGCTTCCGTCTCTTCCATTCCCACATGACCTTTCTTTCTCAGTATGCGAAGCTACGGGAGTTTTGCGCCCACTCCGTCAGTCGCTCGCGGCTTCGATGAAGGAACGTTTGCCCCGAGCCGAGCGAGCCCCAGTTCGGTTCAGTTCTGCGTTACGTGCTCCGTGCCGCATGTTTCCCAAGCAGGTCTTCAAAAATTCTCAACACCATTGCCAAATTCTTGACGATCGTGAAATTGGAAAACGGTAGGTTTCTTTCACAACCTTGGCATTGAAAGCATTCGAGCAACGACAAGAAGGAACATGCCTCCTCTTTCTCTGTTTGCAACGATAGTCCATAAAAACACAACTGCGCAAACTCTGGACGTCGTTCGTCTACGATTTCCAGTGGCAGGCAGAGCAGACAAGGGGCGTGGGGGTAGTCGCGGGCAGAAAGCGGGCAGGCGAGCACTTCACTTGCACTTTGTGCACACGCGCCGGCACGCGCGCGCGCGCAAGACACCGTACACGGTGCTCCACTCTTTTCCAAGCGGGCTCGGCGGCGGCTTGGGCTGGTCACACCTTCCCTGCATGATGCTTCGAAGCACTGGTGCAGTGTCGTTGCCGGCGGCACTGGCTGAACCGTCATGGCTCACGAGTTCCTGGCGGAAGGCGAAAGTCTGTGGCTTGTGATGTGGCTGCCACCATACAACAGATTGAAGTTCAAGGGACTTGGAACGTCACTGCATGTTGAAGGCTTGAACTGGACTGACTTGAATCTATGATCACCAACAGGGTTTGTAGATGAAAGAGACCGAAATTAGTTCGCACGACTCCGGCTTATCTGAAATAAATCTTGTTATGTTCAAAATTGCCAACAAAGAGAGTGCAGCATGCCTCGGTGGCTGATGCACCAGTTCCCAGTTGACTTTGTCATGTGCGCGCGTTTGAACGAAATATCGCGGGACAGAGGAAAGAGGCAATCAGCATTTGGCAAAATCACAACAACCGAGTCACTGTAGGAAGAATATGAGTCCCCGTTGGTCGTCAAAATGGAGTTTGATATACATTAGCTTACGATGGAAGACGACTGAGAAGGTCCGAGCTGGTCCGCGCGTAAGTGGATATGGCATCACGGCTAATTGTTTAGTATGCACCTTGTTGCCCACCACGGAATTTGACAACGACTGGCCTGCTTTCAACACGATATCTCGAGGGGCAAAACGCGTTCAATAACTGACAGCTTGCAAATGACCGAGAAGGATTAGGCAACAATGAGCCCTTGTCTCCTTCTGGCTGACCATTATGGAATTGGCGATCTGTTAAAGCACTTTTAGATATTCAATCCAATCTTCACTTCATTTCAGTCCCATCCGACTGCACGTTGATCGTATCGCAGTAACAGCTTCATCGCGCCTCAATTCCCGTCGCTTGGTTTGTCATTTGCCCGAATTGCAATCATTCTGTCCATCGACTGTCGCGATCACATCACAAAGCTCACCACTCGCTTTCTTTTTCACGGAGCATAACAACTCACACTTGACCGATTTCATTTGCTGTCCTTTTTAGCTTCACCACGCTCGCCTTCCGGTTATGTCGCATAACTGGCAACCAAACAAACCAAGTCCAGTCGGCATATGGCATAAGACAACTCTACAAGAAGCGAGGGAGCAACAAGAACAGCAAAGGCAACAACATCAACCCTTCCAACAACGGCCGACTCTCACCACGACAAATGTTGTCGTTGGGCAAAAGCGTACCATAAATGAGGTCCGGCCTCAGTATCAAAATGGACCTCCATTAGCCAAACGGCCTACACCAGGGCCATCCAACACACCTACCCCAGGCTTCACACCATCAGCCTTCGTAAAAGCACCCTCCGGCCCTCCTCCTCTCACAACAAGCACCATCGAGTACGCAGATCCAGTTACCGCCGCCGCCAAGGGTAGCATCCCATCCGAGTACTCCCAGCGTCGAGCCCTACCCTCCACACCCACCTCCACCAGTGACCCCTTCCTCTCCCTCTCGCATCCCGCCTACAAGCTGCCCAAGCAGCTCGTAGCCAATTTCGTCTCCCTAGGAATCAAATCCATCTACCCGTGGCAGAAACAATGCCTGCTCGGCCCCGGTCTGCTCTCGGGCGACAAGAACCTGGTGTACAGCGCCCCGACGGGCGGCGGCAAGTCGCTGGTCGCCGACCTGCTCATGCTCAAAAGGGTGCTGGACGACCCGGCCGGCGAGGCCAAGGCCATATTGGTGCTGCCGTATGTGGCGCTGGTGCAGGAGAAGGTTCGTTGGTTGAGGAGTGTCGTTAGTGGGATCTCGAGGAGTGGTGATTTGGGGCAGAAGCAGCCTGATCAGAAGCTGTGGGCGAAGAGGGCGGGTAAGGATACCATCAGGGTGGTGGGATTCTTTGGTGGGAGCAAGGTTAGGGCTACGTGGGCGGATTTTGATGTGGCAGTTTGCACAATAGAGAAGGTGGGTGAACATGGATGGGTCTGGTGACTCCAGTGACTGTGATGCTATACTTTCCGTGGATGAGATTCTGACGATGGAGAACCGTAGGCAAACTCGCTCGTTAATGCGGCTATAACCGATTGCTCAATATCCAAACTCAGAGCCGTGGTTCTGGATGAGTGCCACATGATTGATGATGGCTTCAGGGGATATTTGCTGGAGTTGATGACAACGAAACTACTGTGCCTGGAGCAGCAGGTGCAGATTATCGCCATGAGCGCCACTTTGACAGTAGGCTTAAATTTCCCCTATATCTCTCATGGACTACGAATTTGCTGACTGTATATGAAGAACATCCGTCTCCTTAAGGACTGGCTAGGAGGCCATTCATACGAGACACATTACCGGCCAATCCCCATCGAGGAACACCTCGTCTACGACGGCAAGATATACCCAGCAGCCACAACCGCTAGTCTGCTCAAAACAGCTACTCAACTAGACACCAGGAATGCCACCACCACCACCACCACCACCACCACCACCACCAAGGGGCTACCTCCCTCCACCACCTCCTCCCTCCAACACATCCGTTTCATCCACCCCTCCACCCACCGAGAATTCAAAGACCCCGTCATGAACGCCGTCGTCGCCCTCGCCAACGAGACCGCCCGCGCCGGCTACGGCGTCCTCGTCTTCTCCAGCAGTCGCGCCGGCTGCGAATCTGACGCCGTCCTGATCAGCCGCGTGCTGCCCTCCTTCCAAGAAGCCGACCCGGTGATCCGTGAGCGCCGTCTCGATCTGCTCAACGACCTCCGCAGCTCCTCCACGGGTCTCGACCCCAAGCTCGAGCAGACCATCCCCTGCGGCGTGGCCTTCCACCACGCCGGCCTGACCACCGAGGAGCGCGAGCTGATCGCGAACGCCTACGACGCCGGCACCCTCAAGGCCTGCGTGGCCACCGCCTCGCTGGCCGCGGGCATCAACCTGCCCGCGCGGAGGGTGATCCTGCACGGCGCGCGCATGGGCATCGACCTCGTTGGGCCGGCCATGTTGCGGCAGATGCGCGGCCGGGCCGGGAGGAAGGGGAAAGACGAGGTGGGCGAGACGTATCTCTGCTGTCGAAGAAACGATCTGGAGGCTGTGGTGGACCTGATGCACGCGGACCTGCCGCAGATCGCGAGCTGTCTGGTCTCGGACGAGCGCCGCATAAGGAGGGCGCTGTTGGAGGTGATTGCGATCAAGCTGGCGACGAGCAGGGAGGCGCTGGACGAGTACGTGGGGAGGACGATGCTGGCTTGCGAGCAGCGGTTGACGGAGGAGTGGGAGGAGAAGATGAGGGGGTATGTGGAGGCTGGGTTGGAGAAGTTGAAGGAGATGGTGTTTATTACGGTGACGGTGGATGAGAGGTATGAGACGGCGAGTTATAGCGCTACAAAGTTGGGAGGGGCGATCGTGGCTAGCTCGCTGGATCCGGATGATGGGGTGTTTATTCATAAGGAGCTGGAGAGGGCGCTGAAGGGGTTTGTGATGGATGGAGATATGCACGTGTTGTATAACTTCACGCCGGTGTCGGATCTGGGGAATGGGACGCCGATCAACTGGAGGGTGTTTTGGAATGAGATGGAGAAGCTGGATGAGAGTGGGTTGAGAGTGATGAGCTTTTTGGGGCTAAAGCCTGTGGTTTTAAACAGGATGTGAGTGTTGACGATTTCTTGCCTTGTGACATGCCCCAAAAAGCTAACTACAAATACAAAACAGGCTACAAGGCGGTATCCTCAAGGAAACCACGGACGAAGAAAAGGACACGGCCCGTCGCTACCATCGCTTCTACCTTGCCCTCCAGCTCCGCGATCTCTGCAACGAAGTCCCCATCCACCGCGTCGCCCAGAAATACGATGTGCCCCGAGGTGCCGTCCAGACGCTCGCCCAAACCTGCCAGGGGTTTGCCGCCGGCATGATCAAGTTTTGCGAGGCGATGGGATGGGGAGCCATGGCGGCGGCATTAGACCACTTCGCTGACCGACTCAAGGCCGGTGCCAGGGCGGATCTGCTTGGGCTGTCCAAGATTACGTTCGTCAAGAGCCGGACAGCGCGAGTGTTTTGGGACAACGGCTTCAAGACGGTGGCCGTTGTCGCGAATGCGGATCCCAAGGAACTCGTACCCGTGCTGATGCAAGCGCAACCGAACAAGGTCCGGCTGGAGGCCAAGGACGAGCAGAAATACCTGGATAAACTGCTTGCTAAGGCGAAGATTATCACGGACTCTGCGAACAGGATATGGCGTGAGTATTTCAGTACACTTATCTCACACACACGTGTATGGGAGCTAATGGGGTGCTATGTCATAGAAATCGAGATGCAACAGGAGTTGATGGAAGAGGAATAGGGGCCCTAGATTCCTCAACTCATGAGGCCCAAAACGAACGATAGACCCGCGAGTGGGCTGAACGTATGCCTCAGTTAAGGGGCCGGATAAGGCATTCGGCCTTGTTTTGTGATCACCTCTGGCCATATTCACCAGGGGTCCTGTCTGCGCTCTCAAGATCGAGATCCGTTTACATATGTGATACGATATTTAACAGCTCGAAACAGTAGTCTACGCCACATCCCGGACCCAGAGACAGAAAGATGCCTGTTAGAAGCATGGGGGTATGTACATACTATGTATGTATGGTCGCAGTTTAGGCCGATCAACGGCCTGTGTGAATTCCCGCGAAGACGACAGAAGAAATAAGACCCTGGTCCCAACACACCGGGGAAGAATGGATTGGCCTGGTGCGCCGAATACCTATCCTACAAATCTAGCCTTCTCATCCGGCCCGGTCAAGTCAAACAGGCCCATATTGTATTTCTCATCATACCTAACACGAGGGCAGGGACACATACAAGGGAACCCCGCATTGATATCAATCTCTGCTCCAGCGAGGCCTTGTAAAATCCCCAGGGAATGTGGTTGCCAAGCCAGCCACAATCACTTATCAGACCCTGCTTTGGGAGAGACAAAGTAGGTAAGGAAGTAGAGAAGTAGGGAAGTAAATGTGTGAGGCATCTTCCAGAACACACATTCAGTTTTCTTATCCGTCCGTCTGTTACACGCATAGCCATAATCAAAAGCTTGTGGCGTGTGTGTGCGTGTGTCTCACTCTGGGTTTGGTGTTTCCTTTGAAGTGGTACGAGGGGCGGCGCTATCTCAGCTGCTATCCATTTCTCGCTTGATACGTAGTTGATGTTGAACAAGACAAATGAATGAGCAGCAGGGAAGGTTTGGAAATTTCAGCTGGGATATTGAGAACCATACCCATCCATTAACAGGGCTCAAGGTTACATACAGGGGGGCCTGTTGTGTGTTCCCTTCTGTCTACCTCTATCTGCATCACATCAATCTCAATCTTTCTTCTTTTTGTTCTGCTGCATGCAAGAGAACGAAGATGCGCCGTGTCGTGTCCGATGGACCTGTAATCTTGCATCTCTCTCATTTCTTTCTCAACTTACACAGCATATGCTACCAGTCCCTTCTTGTAAATCTGTCGAGGTCTCATTGGGCCATCAGCGCAGGCTGGATCCAAGTAGACAGACCGAACGAGCCGCCATGATCCCCGATGGTCGTCGGCTCGAGGACAAGTGAAAGGACTGTGAGAGGGTTGGTGTTGGACCCTGCTTTGGTTGCTCATCCCAGCCTTCTTCCACAACTTCAGGTTAATAGAGGATTGGTGTGTGAGGGTATTCGGGATGGGATGTAGCCATATACTGCCACATACGGAAGGAATCACAAGAAGAACATGAAGTATTTGTGCCACAGACCACCAGCATAACTCAAGCAACGAAAAATCATCTGGTCGTGTGCCAGTATGCCGTGGGGACTCAGATAGGCATGGCAGGTTAAGACAAGGCAGAAAGGCAAAGACCATGGATTACCTAGTAGTGAGTCACGGCCCGATGCGCAGCAATAACTGCACATAGGCATCTCCCACCTTCCTACTCTTCTTATTCTGTGCCAGCCACCGTTTCACGTTCCACCGAATGACGGGAGAAGGAAGGAGGAAGGAAGAAAGAAGGAAGGAACGAAGGAGAGAGAAGTGGAAAAATTCTCATGCAGTACGCCACATACCTTGACTCTTAAGATAGTCTTTTATCCAGAATAACCAGGTAGGCATCTTGACCAAATTACACCCTAGCCAGCCGAGCCAGTCACACCGCGACCCCTCGTCTAACAACCCTTGGGGGCCATCCCATCACATCGCAGTCAGTCATTAGATGTCAAATGATGTGCGCCATTGTCGGGCAAGCGGGAAGAGTGTGGGAATCAGTTGTTGCCGGTGAGACCTCGACCCCGCGAGTGATGATGGGACGGCCTCTTTGATCCGTTTGTGGTGTGTTTGTGGTAGCCCGAGGAAGATGAATGCCACAAGTAGGCATCGGCTTACAAGGGGGTTGTTTGAATGATGCACCTGCATACCGAAACTCGATGAGTTTATCGACCAGCGGGTGGTGGGTGGGTGGGTAGGTATAAGTCGTAATTCCCAGATTTCCCGATTGAACACCTCAATCTTCCTTCCCTTTACACCACATTTCTGATTTCTCAGACCGGCAAATCAAACGTGCTGGTCTCGAGCACACTCACATTACCGCAACCCTATTCTTTCATTGGGTATCGCTCAAAGGACTTGACCACCAGTACTACACAACATTCCCGTTTGTGGCCGGCGGGCGCATATAGACCACTGATCTGACCAGCACACGCAACTTACACGCACAACACAGCTTTGCGCCAGCCGAACCGGAGACCGGGCTGAGGGGTTCTAACTCAGGGGCCTACACTGCCTACCTACCCTGGTGTGTGTCGTCTGCCTTCATGCGGAATTTTAAATGAACAAAACCAAGGTGCCTTGCCTTTCTTGTTAGCTTGTGTAAGCTACTCCCAGTCACGTACGGTCTAGTCGCGGCTGTGGCGTTCCGTCATCAATGCTCTAGGAATCCCAGTCCCTTTCTTTTTACTCTCGCTGCGCGCCGCAGCTCTCCCACTTTCCGTTGCCCCTCCTCTCTTTCGTTCTTTGCTTCTTTCTGTCAGCTAACCTCCATTTATACGACAAGTGACGCTGATGAAAAAGAAATACCAACCTGTCCACCTCTTTTCGACAACAACTAGAGCATAACCTAGATTTCATCTCCGTCTCACACATGGATCAACACAATTCCCCAGGCTCTGGTGGTGTCTCTGCCACCGCAGAGGCCAGCTCGTCGAATTCTGAATTGAGAGTCAATACGATCAACGGCGAGAGTAGCAGCAACAGTATGAGAGATATTGAAGATATCCTCAACGAATATGGCCAAGGAAGCAACAGCAATAACAACAGCAACGGCAACAACAGCAACAGGAACGAAGAGTCAAGCGCAAATGTCGAGGAAAGTGAAGACCAAGGCCAGCAAAATACAAGGAGACGTCCGCAAACTCTGGGCGATGTGATGAGGGAACCGGGATCGCGTGCGCCTGATGTCATGGTTTTGGAGTCGATGCCGGAGGAGTCGAGTAGCAGGAACAGGGTGGCGGCGCTGAATCCGAAGGAGGATCTTTGGTTGAGTACTGCTGATGGGTGAGTCAGGACGCTTTACTCGATTTTCATTTATATGGGTTTCGTGACGGCTGGCGGTATAATTCATGAGCTGGTCATGTCTCTGGTGTTCGAAAGGTCGAACTCAGAGAATTGGCTTTCCTGGAATCAAATGACAAGAGAGTGTTGCTAACGTGAGAGGAAATACACAGACGCTATAACTCAACCATTGTACCACTTCGGGTGGGAGAGGCACCTCGGGCGCAAACCTTCTACGTATGTTAAAGTATCAATCTTGAACTTTTCTGTGGGATAACTGGCTGATCGCGCAAAAACAGGTCCATAAGCACATACTCCTAAAAGTCGAATACTTCGAAAAAGCACTCTGCGGCAACTTCAGAGAATCCGAGACCCAGTCGATCGAGCTACCCGAAGAAGACCCAGCAATTTTCCATTACCTGATCGCCTTTTTGTACGAAGGGAAATACGAGCCTATCAAGCCCGCCTCATCAGTTCTCGTCCCCGACCAACAAAAGGGAAAAGGTAAAGACAGCTCCGTAGAAGCCAACGGCGGCGGCGGAGTAGATTCGGAGAACAACAACTCGGAAGACTCCGAGCTTGACACCGACCTCAGCGCCGCTCCCGCTCAACGCCGGCGCGAGCGCCAACGCCGTCGTCAACAAAGAGAACGGCAGCGGGAATGGGATCGCGTAAACGGGAAACATCCCGGCCGTCACCGGCCCAACTGCGGCTGCCCCCGCTGTGTCGTCGAACCCGGTCCTCCTTGCTGGTCCTGCCATGCGCCCCGATCACCGGTACCGCCGCCCGGTATCGGGGCCCCGTACACTCCAACCGGAACAAGACCACCGTTCCCTCACCCTCCCGGCCCCGAATACCACCACAGGCCCTACCTCGAAAGACTTTTGCAGGGCGATGGCCTAGGAGCAGCTGCCGATAGGAGACGTGGTCGCGCAAGACTAGCAGCTCCACCGCCACCTCCTCCTCCACCGCCACCACCTCCTCCTGCCGCCAACCAAACCCTACCCCCCGCGCCACCCGCTCAAGCCTCCTCATCTTCCTCTTCCAACCAGCCCCCATCATTCTCAACCAACTCCGACTCATACCTAACAGAAGGCAACACCCGCCTCTCGACCCCCGCCGACCTGCGCACCTGGCTCCTCTGCTACGAACACACTTTGTCGGTATACATCCTCGCCAATAAGTTTCTTCTGGACGACTTCAAGGCCGAGATCGCGCGGCACGCAATCGACATGCTGGAGAGCGCGGGCACGGACGCGGCGGTGCCGCAGGTGCTATTCCTGTGCAAGCGGCTGTGGGAGGGCCTGCCGGAGAGCGACCCCTTGTTGAAGATGGTGTTTGCTAGGGTGGGGTTTTTGCAGCCTTGGAGGAACAGGAGTAGTGGGTATGTATATGGGAGTGGAAGTGGAAATAGGGGTAATGGTAACAACGGGGAAAGAATTAATGACAATGGGAAGAGACCTCGGGGAAGGGATAGTGGTGGGGAGGGTATGACAACTGAAAAGGAAATGGGCGAGGAGGCAGGGGACTGGTTGCACCAGAACCCAGAGATCGTGACGGCGGTGTTGATGGAGATGGCGGCGAGGAGAGAGGAGGATTTCTACCAGACCCAGTACCAAAGTCCCGGGCTTCAAGGGCCGCCTGGGATGGGTGGTTATATGGGGATGGGAATGGGAATGGGCAGGATGGACGCAGGAGGCAGGTCGTTGCCGAGCATGGAGAGACCGTGGGCCGCAGCGGGAGCTGGCGGCGGGGGCAGACCGAATGGGACGGCAGGAGGGATGGGGGATCCTATGGGAGGAGGAGGAGGAGGAGGCCCATTGCCGTGGGTGAATCATTGGGATCCAAATAGGCCGAATACATTGAGACCTGGACCCATGGCACATCATCACCATTGGCCGTTTGGTAGGTGAGAGAGACTGGAGGAGGGGTGGGAGCTGAGGCTCTTTGATCAAAGCGGATAGGTGCGAAACCAGAGGTAGATTGGGTTAGGCAGAGAGATGCCAATGAGCGATCAAATCGAGAGGAATCCAGCGCATACGATGTAGGCTTAAAGTGTACTCTAGTCAATTTTATCTATCCGGTGATTTCTTCCAAACTTACTCGTCATCCTTATTCGTCTTCCTCAAGCTCTCTGTGGTATACAGAAGCTTCTGCAAATCTTGGGGAGTCAGGCTGCTCTCGTCCTCGGCCGCTTCAGTAACCTTGAGACCACCGGTAGTCACCTTCCAGCTCGACTCGGAATCGTCAAACGACAGAGCGAGGATAGAAGATACACCGCCATTATTGGCCTCTTCTTCCTGGGTTTCGGACGACGTGTTGGGATCAATGGACACGAGGAGCTTGGACTCGGCCTTGAGGTACTCGACATCTAGCGGGTTGCCAAGGAGGGAGAGGGTTTGCGTATGTTGAAGGGTGTTGGCGGAGGTGAGGGTATAAATTAGAAGAAGGGGGATGCTATTTGTGTTAGCCGTTACACCCACCACAACATTTTGCAAAGGGATGGATGACATACCGTTCGCAAATCACAAAGATCTGCGTCTTCTCACCCTGCTGAACATCGAAAATCCTCGTCACAGCAACCTTGGTGACCTTCTCCGCCTCCTCGGGGGCAAGCGCCTTCTTCACCTCCACCAACACCGGCGCCTTGCCCAGCAGCTTCCCGCTGACCCAATCCCACACAAACAAGTCATCATCACCGCCGCCGCTGATCAACACATCCCCGCGCTTCTCGGGGATGCACACCCGGCTCACAAACTCGTCATGGCCCAGCAGGAAGCTCTCGATCACGTGCGCCTGCGGAATGCCCCGGCTCACGCGGATGTGCTCGTCCCTGTCGGCCGTGATGATGTACGTCCGGCCGGGGTGGCCGGGGTGCACGGCCACGGCCACCGAGGTGAGCATGGAGACGTGGCCCAGCTGGAGCGTGTGCTCGAACTGCGAGGCCTGCAGGGCGGCGGCGAGCTTGGCTGCCTTTTGGCGCGCCAGGTGGCGCTTCTGGTTCTCCAGCGCCTTGAGGTTGCGGAGCGTGTGCACCGTGAGCTCGTTGGCTTGCGGCTTGACCGAGAGGGATTGGGCCTTGGCGACGTCGGTGGTGGGAGGAGTAGGGACGGCGGGAGTGGCCGGAGCGGAGGGGGTGGGTTCGGGGGTGGCGACCTCGGAGGTGGTAGCAGCAGCGGCGGCGGCAGCCGTGGGCTCAGAAGGGGTGAAGAGAAGAGGGAGGGAGAAGACGTCACCGAACTTGTCGGCCGAGAGGATGGTCTTGTTGTCCGGAGTAAGGGCGAGAGCACAAGGACGCTTGGGCATGGCTCTTTGGCTCAGCTGCTTGAGGTTTCCGGCTCCATCGTGCTCAAACACCCAGATGGTCTTGTCGGATCCGGTAATGGCAACAAGATGACGGCCGTCGGTGGTGAGGTACATGCCCTGGACAAAGGGCTTCTCGAGAACAGCCTTGTTGTTCTTTGCCCAACCGCCCTCGGTCTTTTGCTTCTGCTTTTGCCGCCTGCTGCGTCTGTTCACTTCTTGGGTCTGGCCTTCAGTCTTGGTCTCAGTTTGACCTTCAGTGGTTTCCTCCTTGGATTCCTCCTTGCTCTCTTCCGTGACAGCTGCCACCTCGCCATCTTCCACTTTCCTCTTCTTAGCAGGGGGTCCTTCTGGAGCGGGTGACTCTTCGGCCTCTACGGTAGGAGCCGGGGTCTCACTCTCGGCTTTCTCTCCGTTGGTCTCTTGCTGCTTGACGGGGTACTTCCATACTGAGATGGGGTTGAAGCTGGAGTCGAATGAGTGAATGCTGCTTCCGCGAGCGGCAAATACGATGCCGTCGCACACCTTGAGGACGTGGTATGGCAAAGCCATTATAATGATGTTGATGTTAGAGGCTGTGGATGACGGATATCAAACTTTGATGTTGAGGTTAAGCAGTTGTTTCCTGGATCTTCGACTATGATGCTGTGAGATTGTTAGTCAAAGAGCTTTGATGCATGATTAAGGTAATACAAACTTGATATTCAGAGTCGTGATGCAGCCTCACTCCGGGTAGTCACTGCAGTGCTTGATGAGTGAGAGTGAACTTTGAGAAAGTCTCGAACTGACTTATTTGCTGAGCCACATGTGGCTGTACAGCAGACGAACCATTCACTGCAGCTTGATTGAGGCTCATGCCATTTTGACGATTTTGTACTGGGGTACCTGCCAAGACCACATTCACAGAAACAATGCGGAGTCGGAGAGCTTGTTTCTGACTGCCTGATTGGCCAGCCCCACCCAAGCCCTAGCACCCCGACGGCAGCACGGGCCACACTCACCCCTCGCTTCCCACAGACGGATCAACGAAGTCAATTGCGCGCGCCCGAAATTTTGTCCGGCTTCCAGAATCTCTCCTCCGGTCCATACCAACTCCAATTTCACCACCAAATCAATCAAGAGAACTCCTCTTGCCCTTAAACATCCTGCCTTCGTGCTAAAAAGAAGATATGGGGGGCAAGTCTGCTAACAAGGCCGGTTACTTCGACAAGCTGAAGGGCTTGTTGGAGGATTACCGGTCCATCTTCATCGTCTCCGTCGACAATGTCAGCTCTCAGCAGATGCACGAGATCAGACAGTCCCTCCGCGGTGAGGCTGTCGTCTTGATGGGCAAGAACACCATGGTACGTTTACCGTTGTCGCAAGACTGTCGCGATCCCGGAAAGCCAGAAATTAACACGGTTTGCTTTGTAGGTTCGCCGTGCCCTCAAGACCTTCGTCGTCGACACCCCCGAGTACGAGCGTCTTCTCCCCTTCGTCAAGGGCAACGTTGGTTTCGTCTTCACCAACGGCGACCTCAAGGAGGTCCGTGACAAGATCCTCGCCAACAAGGTCGCTGCCCCCGCCCGTGCCGGTGCTATCGCCCCTGCCGATGTCTGGATCCCCGCCGGCAACACCGGTATGGAACCCGGCAAGACCTCGTTCTTCCAGGCCCTCGGTGTCCCCACCAAGATCGCCCGTGGTACCATTGAAATCACCACCGATCTCAAGCTCGTTGAGGCTGGCGCCAAGGTCGGCCCCTCTGAGGCTACCCTGTTGAACATGCTCAACATCTCTCCCTTCACCTACGGTATGGGCATCGCTCAGGTCTACGACCAGGGCAACACCTTCCCCTCTGATGTCCTCGACATCTCCGAGGAGCAGCTCCTCAAGGCTTTCTCCACTGCCATCACCACCATTGCCAGCCTCTCGCTCGCTCTCAACTTCCCCACCCTTCCCTCCGTCATCCACTCCGTCGTCAACGCCTACAAGAAGGTTCTTGCCGTCGCTGTCGAGACCGAGATCAGCTGGCCCGAGATCGAGCAGCTCAAGGACCGCATTGCCAACCCCGACGCTTATGCTTCCGCCGCTCCCGCCGCTTCCACCGAGGCTGCCCCTGCCGCTGGCAAGGCCGAGGAGAAGGAGGAGGAGAAGGAGGAGTCTGATGAGGATGATGGCGGCTTCGGCGGTCTCTTGTGCGTATTCCCTGATAATGTCCCTTGTTATATGACGTCCAAGCTAACTGTTTCTCTAGCGACTAAATGTCTCCCTGACTTCTTGATTGAAGTGTTTGAGGGGCGGCAAAGTTGGTTTAGGTTGGGTAAAGAGACGAATAATCTTGGCCCTCAGCTACATAGATCATTTGCTGCTCAATTAAGCACATCATATTGGTGGTCTCCTTCTGATGAGTCTGTTTGCAATCTTGATGAAACTGTGCGGGTACATGTGAAAATGTCCTGCTTGTTTTCTCAAATCCATCAGGTTAGTCTTTTCTTTTCTCTCATTCCCAGCACCTCTCCTGCCCTTCCCTTGGAGTGTCGATGATTAGAAAAAATCAAAGAGCTTTTTAACCCTGATTATCATTGATGAAAACCCATCACAAACAACTACTTTATGAGACACTCCTAAACACCCCCGATTTTTGTCCTGCTCTACAACTATCATACAAATGGGGTATACAGAGGCTAACTCTACTTTTCCAGATGCATCTAGATCCTCTCAGATACCCTCTCAATAAAATCCTTGAACAAACCAAACTTTTTCCCATGCTACAAGTTTCCAACCGTGACTCTAATGAACCTTTTGTTTTACCGTGACTCCGAGGCTACAACTCCCTGAGCCGCCAACACTTGCTGAGCGACCTTGATGGCCGGCTCTGGCAGCCCAGCCAGGCGAGCAACTTTCAGAGCATGACTCTGCCTGTTCATGCCCTTCCGCAGCTTGTGCACATAGACAAACCCACCGCTCTCATCCTCCTCCACATCCGTGCAATACATGGCCACGCCCCCATTCGCACTCGCACTGCTCGCACCATCCTCAACCATCATCCCCTGCTCCCTCACCATATCCCCAACCGCATGAAAATGCGTCGCAAACAACCCCCGACACTTATTCACCGTCAACAAGTGATGCAGACTCGCAAACGCCACAGCCGTACCATCCTCCGGCGTCGTCCCCCTCCCAATCTCATCCATAATCACAAAGCTCCTCGGCGTCGCCTGCCGCAATATTGCCGCCGTCTCCATCATCTCCACCATAAACGTGCTCTGGTCCGCATACAAGTTATCCGCCGACCCGACCCTGCTGAAGATGGCATCAACAATACCCAGCTCCGCATAATCCGCGGGGACATAACACCCCATCTGCGCCAAGATGGTGATCAACGCGTTCTGCCGCAGAAAGGTGCTCTTACCAGCCATGTTCGGACCCGTAATCAACCAGATCCGTCCTTGCCCCGGCGACCCAACCAAGCAATCGTTTTTTTGAAACGTCATCCCGCGTGAGAGGAGGGAGGGTTCGACGGTGGGGTGGCGACCTCCCACTATAACCGTCCTCGTCCCCGTCCCCGTCCCTTGAGAACCGTTGGTAGTGGTGGAGGAATCGTGCAGAATGGGGCGGACGAGGTTCTGCTCCGTTGCCAACCGTGATAAAGAGGTGGCGATGTCAAGCTCGTCAAGCACCAAAGCGTTGCGACGGAGTTTGATCAGCAAGGTCACCACGTTGGAGCGAAGGGAGGAGAAGAGAGCGGTTTCTTCGGAGCGGATGCGGAGGCGCACGTGGTCGAGCGATTCGCCGAGGGAGGTCCAGAGGGGGTGGTGGAAGGTGCGGGTGGTGCGGGTGGCGGAGAGGGTGCGGAGGGTGGAGAGGGATTCGGGTTCTGGGACGGGCTCGGGGTTGGGGTCGAGGTCAGCATCGGGGTCGGTGAGGTCGGCGTCGGTGGTGGTGGTGTCTGGGATGGGATCGGGGATGATGAGGTCTAGTGGGTCGGACATGCTGCTACTGCTGCTGCTGCTGTTGGTGGATGTTGTCGTAGCAGCACTTGTTCCTGCCGTGCGACTACGATGACTCGTTCCTCCCGCTGCTGCCAGTCGAGCATCCCTCCCTCTAACAAGGCAAACATGGCCCAGTCCAGCTTTCCAATTAAGCGTAAGCGACGGCGCCGCATACCTTGCGCGAAACTCCTCGGTAAGCTTCTCCTTTTGTTCCTGAAGCGACTCCAGCTCGGCGTGAAGCTTGGCCAACGCCCTGTTGGCCTTGGGCTTCATGATCCAGACCTGGTTGTCTTCGCCGTAGTAAGTCCTTAGACTCATTTTCTTGTTGTTGTCTTTCGACATATCCTTTTCCTTTTGATTTTGGTTTTGGGTCAGTTCCGCTCTGGCCCTATTACTCTTTGCCGTCGCCCCCTTGGGTAACAGCGCACGACCATCCTCCTCCGTCCCTTCATCTTTAACAATCTCTTGCGCAAGAGCAAGCATCTCGCCTGTCTCGCTGTCTTCGAGCTGATGTTGCTGGACGAGTCCTTCCTCGTCGATGGCGTCCCAGATCCGCTTGGCGAGCTTGAGCGGTTGCTCGAGGCTTATGCGGTCGATTAGCTTGGTTAAGCAACCGTTGTCTGGGTTGTCTGAGGAGATGGTGGACTTGAGGTGGTTGACAATGTCCTCGGTGGCTTTGATGGTGCTGGCGAGCCGGAGGAGATCGTCGGCGTCACCGCGGTTGAGAGCAAATTTTTGGACGAGACGCTGGGTGTCGTGGGAGCGACGGAGGAGGACCGTGATGGCGTCGCTGAGGTCCGGGTTCTCGATATAGCGGGTTATGAGGTCGAGACGGGAGTTTATTACCGAGAGGGACGTTGAGGGGGCGCCTACGTCGGTCAGTGAGTTTGTTTATCGACGTAGGTAAAAGGGGTAAAGGGGTATCTTACTGAGCCACTCATTAAGCAGTCTCGCGCCACTCTTGGTCACCGTCCGTCTCATGGCATGTAACAAGCTTCCTGCAAAAAGGCCGTCCCTTATGGTCTGCTTGATCTCCAGAGATCGCATGCTGTTCTTGTCGATAGCCATGATTTGCATGTTATCATGGCGTGTTGGCGGTTGAAGCTTCATGCTCAAGCCCTGAAGTCGGTCTCCGACATAGTGAAGCAAGATGTTGCCTGCCTTGATCTCATCGTCGGTGAATCTGATTACTGTTTCTGCAGGTATTTTTGCGTCCAGCATCGGCGCCCAGTCCTTGAGGGTTTGTATATCCTCGCCTTGCGGTGAGTAGGTGAAGGGATATCTCTCCTCGTTCAAGACGGACAAGATATCGTGTCCTTCAGCAGACTCCAGTGACTTGTCCAGTACTATCTCTCGCGGAGATACCCGCGAGAGGACACTGCCTAGGGATATCAGACTTGTCTGCTGGGTGTAGAAGTTGCCCGTGGATAAGTCTAGCCATGCTAGACCTATAAGGGACTCCTTCTTTTGGCCTTGTCCCGAGTTCAAGGCTTCTTGAGAACTCGTGCCTTCCTCCAATTTGACCGAAGGCAGGTGTATGGCCATGATGTAGTTGTTTGCATACGGGTCCATGAAGTTCTCGTCGATCAGAGTGCCCGGAGTAATAATACGTGACACTCTGCGATTGTGTATCAAACCACCCGATTTGATCTGCTCTGAAGGTGAGTTCTTGTACTCCTCCGCTATGGCTACATGGCGATTCAGGTCTTGAACTAAGACTTTGAGGTGACGTTCAAGTTGGAAGAAAGGAAACCCAGCCTAGAAGAAGGTCTATGATCAGAACAAAGTGCAAATAGGGGAACTAACTTGAGAGCCGACTGGGAAGCCACGGTGGGGAGACATAGTAGACACACATGGATACAAGGACAGACGGAGAAGATTTACCATTGGGACAGGGCCGCCGTTCGTTTTCTTTTGGGAGACTTTGAGGTTCAGAAGCGGGCCGACCTCCTCGGCATGCTCAAAGTATATCTCGTAGAAGCCTCCCACGCGCGTTAGCAAGACGCAGTTGTCAAACTTTTGCATATTTTGGCGATGCTGTTGGATTACTGCTGGGTAAGCCGGTTCTTGGTCTTCCTGCTGCGGTGACGGGAAAGACTCGTCGGGAAGGAGGGCACCCTGAGGGATCTCCTTCAACCTGACCGTCCTCGTCTTGCCTCTTTTACGCTGGGTTGATGGCTCATCTTGCTCTACCTCGTCTGCTTCTTCAGTTGCTTCTTCGGTTGCTTCTTTTACGGGCAGTAGAGCCTCGTCGACAACAGCAACAGGCGTAGTGGACAAATCGTCCAACTTGACGATCCTCCGCCTGCCCCGTTTAACCTTGGCAGATTCTATGTCCAGATTTAGCTTTTCATCTCTCTGGGCATCCAGGATCGGATCCGAAGTTAGGGTAGTCTGAGACACGGGTAGCTGATCCAGCTGCAGAATCGTCCTTTTGATCCTTTTGCGGCGAGCCGTCGAGGTGCCTTCTTCCTGGACTGACTCCTCCACCACTAAAAGAGGGCCGTTGACCGCGGATTCAACGACGGGCGGAAGGGGCAGATCGTTCAACTGCACAACGGTCCGGGTCTTTTTGCCGCGAATCTGAAGCTGAAACAGTCGAGGACAACACGGCGTGATGTCGATGACGGGCCGGGCGGGGACGGCGAGTAGCACGCTGGGGGGTCTAGGCCCGGCGGAAGGTCGCGAGGTCTGAGTGGTCACATATCTACCGACACTGACAGCACCACGACAACGTCCAACAGTGGTTCGGATGTTATTGACAACGCATGGGCGACAGCTTTGGCCGAGAGACGCTATCCAGAGGCGCGGAACCTGTTTTGGGCGCGGGGGAAGCATCAAGAATCGGCGATTATGGCCTGTTGCTTTTCGATGGTTCCTGGTTGGCCTTGGAATGCGAAGACGGGAAACGTGCGGTACTGACGCGACCAAGTATGAGAGTATGCACAGGATGGCGCGCAGTTCCGAGAATACTTCTTCAAATACTTGCCGTCAAGGTCCGCGATCAACGTGACGAGGCGTGATCAATGTCGTGAGAGGGGGTTGTAGGAGGGTGGGAATAGTGACAAAAAAAGAGACAAAAATGGCATGGAAATCATCAACAATCAGGTGCAAATGGCCGAAAATGGACCCCTCCAGCACCTGGCAGTTGATTCTGAAGTGCAAAGGTAAAGTGGGGACAATTGTTTCTCCGCTGTCCCGTTCGGGTCGGGGTGCCATCGCGCCATCCAACGCCCATCCCGTAAGGTTGTCGCTCCTCCCCTGTTTGTGGGGATGCTTGCGCTGGGACCTTCCCTGGTTGTGCCTGAAAACCATTCGGAGATCGCTGGAGATGGCCTGGACCTAAGCTTCCTGATTGCAGGGTTTGGTGTTGATACGGAGGACGACGACGAGCCCGATGTTGATATCCCAGCATCACTATGTAACAAACAGTCCACCAAACAGGCAACGGAGAACCACTAACACCGACACCCCGATCTCGGTCTCGGCTCAGTGCTCGTGGACAATCCCCGGTCAACAACGCTACTGTAGCAGTTCGTCTTTTTCAAATCTGGCCGCGACTTTTACCGATTTTGAACGACATGATCTGGGGAACCTGGTTGCGTGTCGCCATTCAATGCATGCCGATAATATTGCTTTAATATGGAACTTGCGAGGAATCAACTCGGCGATAAACGGGGAGCTTCAGACTGGGGCCATGACTTGTCCTTCCCCCGGTTTGTTTCTTCGCTTTTTTGCCTCTCCCGGAATCCGCTCCCGCAAGACTATGTCACGATATAACCCGACTGACTGGGAGCGATTCCACTTTTGCGAGACCGGTTCCTTCCATGTGGCATTCAACGACAGCTCATCGGCCCATCTGCCAGCACAATCAGAAGGTCGCCCAACGAAGGAGGGAATTACATATCCGATTCATGCTCTGGGAGAAGGGCCTTTACAAGACGTCTCGCATTACCATTTTCCGGTTCATTTCTCCATCGGGTTGACGCCCGTAACAAGAAGCAATGAAGCGAAACAGATTCAGCGAGATGGGTAAACGCGCAAGCCACACCCGTCGCGCACCCTACTGAATGTCCGAGTCTGGGCCACCCGCGCCCCGTGCTCACAGCGTGTGGTTTGGTGATTCAAGTCTCGCATTATTAAGCGACACCATGTTTTACCCATCACTGATCTGTTCGGTTTCGCCTTTGAGAGTAGGACACCAACGGACGAACGACGGCTTGGGACGGGGACAAAGGAGATTACTGGAAGGATGTTGTGCCTCATCTTTGATTACATACGCTTACCATTTTTGATTACGGACACCGGCACCAGCAGGATGGTCACGGCTGAATCTACGATCCGACTAGACCAGCCTTGACCACCAGAGACAGTCCAGGTGTTTTGGTTTCTCATTTCCAGTACCTGATGATGCGTTGTTGATGACGCTCGGATCTCGCAACGATCTAGACGCTGCAACCAAACGGCAGTCTGTTCCGAAGGACGATGATGTGTGCGGACGGACTCCAACAGAAAAGAGACGAGTTGAAAACGACCAGACCAACAACGCCAACGAAACAACAACGTGTCAGCCGAAACTGGGAACCGGACGGGAGTCAACCGCAGATTACCGGAACCCAATGATGCGAATCGAGTGGAAATGTTATCTGATGCTCATCACCATGGGAGTCCGAGTAAAGGAGAAACCTAAAGGCCGGGGAGGAGGGGTGCCGGGATGAGGCCCGGTATGCACTGCTGCCACTAGCTGCCACTGCAATGCCCGCGTCTGACTGAATGTGGCCCGATTGTGCCCCTCGGCCTGGCTGTGAATGGATGGGCCTCGGTGGCCACTGGCCGGCAAGTAATCGGCATCGACCGATTTTTGCCCATGTTGACCCCATGTTGTACCAGTTCTGCCACCATTTCCAGCCTTGCCGAACCCTTTCTCAGACCATTTTCATCAGCTCCGCCTGCCCGACCCCCGTCCACCACACCTTATCTCCTACCCTATTCTCGGCTTCTGGCGAGCACCAGTTAGCTCCGTTGGCAGAAGTCGTAGCGGTGGTAGCGTCCCAAAACAACGCAGACTCTCCCTCGGGCCTGGGCACTCGGCTAGAACCCTCCCTCAGGACCCTTCACTCCACCATCTGCACCAGCAACATCATGGCCAAACACACTTCTCTTGGGACTGACAGTCCGCCCGTCTGTCACCCCCCCTTTCCAAGTTCAAATCCCGGAAGAAAAAAAAATATGATGAGCCGTCAAAATAACATGAACCCACTTAATCTAGCATGCGCGTCGTAGGCGGCCGTCCGGGTCCAGGATGCGGCCCGAGGGACGTTTAAGTCGTGATTGTCTTCAAGGTGCCAACCATCAGGTGTAGTCAGCCTGAGTTATAAATCAGACCTCCTTTCCTTCCCCCACCCTCCGTAGGGCTTCACTCAAGACTATTTCTGTTTGTTTTAACGTGGTCAACTCTTCGTATCCCTTGTTCAAGGTTTATCTTATAAGATCAGCTGTCCATACATTCTGCCAACGACGTACGATAACATTCCTTGGTATTAATAAGCTTCCACTATTATTACCAAACATCGCCCCAGCTACTCCAACATATCTGTATCACCAACGAACTTGGCGACGAGTATCTCAAACGAGCAAAATATCACTCGACGACATTTAACGAATATTTGCACATACTCACCACTTAAATAATAACCGTGATGACGGCACCGATGCCGCATCCGTTCCAAGCCCACGTTCCGGCGACACCTCCGCCGGAGCTGCCGTTGTTCGGCAAGGGCCCAATGTCTCCCGATATGTCCAAGACAACAACCACAACAACAACATCTCAACAAGAAGCTTTCTTCAACATGTTTGCCGCGCATGCCCAACAAGTACGGGAACAGCAACGACAGAAGCAGCGACAGCAAGATGCGCAGCAACAACAACAACAGCCAACCCCCGTATCCTCCCGGCAGTCCAGCAGCAGCGCTCCCGTACCACAACAACCACCACCACCACCACAGACACAGACAAATCTCCCATTTTTTGGCATGAAGACAACGTCCCCAGCAGTAGCATCAGGAACAGATGATCCAACACAACAACCCACAACATTCCCCACCCTCGACCCCAAATCCCTCGCCATGGCCTCGCGCATCGCCGCCTACTACCAACAACGCTGCCAAGCCATCGCCAACTTCCAGCAGCAGCGGTGCCAGCAGTGGGCCAACATGCAGCGCGCCAAGTGCCAGGAGATGATGCAGGCGACCATGCTGGTGGTGGCCTGGTATATTCGGGATCGGATCCAGCGGCGGCGGCGCAAGCAGAAGAGGGTGTTTAAGCGCGGGTTGGAGCAGAGGGAGAGGCAGCGCCTCCGAGGAGGAGGAGGAGGAGGAGGAGGAGGAGGAGGAAACGGGGGAAAAGTAACAAAGGGGAAGGTGGTGAGGAGGTGGGTTTTGGATGTGCCTATTGGGATTTTACCGCCTACTTCTCCTGCTGCTGCTATCACCACAACAACGACGGCAACAGAGAAGGGAAAGGTGGTAGTGCCCCAGCCATCACCAGAAGTCCACGATCCCCTCCAGGACCAAGCCGAAGCCATTTTTGCTCTGGGCGGCGGCAACGGGGACGAGTTGCCAGAAACCAAGACCGAAGACAAAGATTCGCAGATGTTCACCATCGCGGATAACCTGATCAAGTCGCAGCTGGCTCGGATCGACGTCCCGCTTTTGGGGGTGTTGAACCTGGATGAGAGCGATAGCGAGGAGAGTTCGGAGGAGGACGAGGAGGAGTACTATGAAGATGAGTATGAGGATGATTACGAAGGAGAAGAGTATGACGAAGAGGAGGAGGAATATGAGGATGAAGAAGGCGGAGAGGAGGAAAACGTGGTGTATGAGTGCGTTTATGGTAACGACCAAGGGCCTAAGATGAAGGTGACTGCTGTTCCGTCTTTACATCAACATCAACAGCAGCAGCAGCAGCAGCGTACAAAGGTGGAAGATGCTGTTGTTATGTCGCCGGAGGGGATGGGATCGGAGGAGGTCCAGTTGGGCACGACGGAGTCGGGAAGCGCGGGGAGGAAGAGAGGTGCGAGCGAGATTTCGTGAAGCGTGGCGATTTAGATATCTCAGCCTTTTCTTCTGCTTGTTTACTTTTCTTGTTTTTATGTACTATGGTGGAAGACATGTTGGATGGATGGATGGGATACCATATAGAAACACGGACTGGAGCAATATTGGTCTGTTTCTTTGAGAATTTTGTTAGCCAGCTCAGTCAGTCGGTCGGTCGGTCGGTCGGTCGGTCGGTCGGTCGGTTTGCTTCGAGGTTCGGTTCAGGTCGGTACGGTACGGTACAGCGAAGGGAAAGGGGGGGAAACACCGGGGTGTTTTTGGGAATAATGGGACGGAGTCACGGTCAAGGTCACGGTCGGGGTGGCGGAGTTGATTCCGGGGTTTCACAGTTCACACACACACACACATAACACCTTTCCTTTCGTACATTGCTTGGATGATAGCGTAGCATACTTCTCTCTCTACCTTACCTTAGCTCACCTTTCACTTGCACATAGTAGCAATGAAACTACGCTACTTTATGGACACAACACAGACGAAACCACACACACACACACAAACACTCAACCCAGCAGTGACGAAAATCAATTTCCCTTTGCCTTGTCTTTACCTGCCCACCTACACATGAAACCTAGTCGTAACGAAAATCAATTTGCCTTTTGCCTGCCCTTGCCTGCCCTTGCCCACCTGTGATTCCAACAATGAAATAGATGGTGTCGTGGTGTCTTGTGACAGGTGGTGGTACTACCCCCATTCCCCCCCCCCCCCCTTCGTCCCTTTCATCCCCCCCAACAGACAGAAAAAAAGTAAAATTGCATGGTAACACGGACTTGTACTCGAGTGACCGAGTCGTGTCTGTAGTCGTGTCTCTGGAGTCTGTCTGTTTGACAACACAGGACAGGCAGGCAGGCAGACAGACAGACAGACAGACAAATCATGCCGGCCGGGGGACAACAATTCGAGGTGGTGGTGGTGGCGTGGTGGTGATACAGAAGAATCTGCACACGCACACGACGAACGAGCGAGGCGAGACACATACGAGACAAGACAGCATGCAGAACCCTTCTAGATCCATTCTTCCTACTAGATTAGATTGAACCCTTCCGCTTCCCTACTTTTTCTCTGTTTGGTCCATTCTGTGTTCTCTGTTCCTTGTCTCGTTTCACAAAAACATTGATGACAGGACAATGAGACAAAAAACAGCGACAGCGACGATCGGGTCTGGAACCCACCACTGCAGACCCAAGACCTCAAAGACATCGATCTGTGTTTGATGGGGGCGACTTGGCGATCATGGATCTTTTTCAGTTGTAGGATGGAAGCACTTGATCAAGGATGACTTGAAATAGTTATCGTTCTCTGTGTGTGTGTCAATGTGTCATATGTTGTCAAAGTTCCATTCCATGTCTTGGTTGTCTGATCTTCGTTCCGAAATATCCAATATCAAAAACCAAGCCCATGATGGAGATGGGGGCCAAATGGGGGCTCGGGGGGGCCAAATCCTCGGGACGGATACCTGTATGTAGAGAGAAGAGGCGAGAACAAGGCTCGTATCAACGAACGGAGGCGTATCTGATCGGCTGTTTCGGATGGAGAGTTCGCAAACCTTACCTTGAAGAGGTAAGATGGAAGAAAAAAGATCATGTTAGTTCAGAGAAAATGTAGTGTGTTTCACCATGTATGGTCGGCCAACGCGGTTGCTGAAACGGGACGGGAACTGTCGACGGCTAGGCGTGTTGTCGTGGTTCCTCGTCGTTTGAAGGAGCTGGATCGACCGCATGCGTGTAATGCGTGTAATGCATCGACATTTCAAAACTTTGTATAAGTTACGACATGTTGGGGTCCAAATTGGCTGTTGCTGTACAAGAGGCTGTTGCACTCACTTCATCTTTCTGCTGCAGAGTGCAGGCGCCTTTGTTCCCCCGCCACCTCATAGGCTGGAAGGAAGGAAGAATGGAGTTGACTGAAATTATCAAAGTGAGGGCATGGTGAACATGGCTTCCCCGCATTTGTCCCCTTTGCCCCCTGTACTTGCTGTTTTTCTGGTGCATGTTTCAGGCGTGGCTTGCAGTGGATCTACCCCGGCCACAACCCTCAGCCCTGACAGCGAGACGAGGGAACAGCTCAGCACTGCGCACAGGGCAAGCGACACCTCAGCGGATTGGACACACCACCGACCCTGACCAGCAGCCCGACTGCGCCAGCCTGCCATTCAGCACTTCACACGGACCCAGACAGCGAGGAAACATTGGCGGGCAGATTGGGATCCGATAACCAACCCCCCGGTCGGTCGGTCCAGGTCCGTCCTTTTGCAAGCATTTCCTCTTTTCCTCCTTCCCTTCCTACTTGGGGGCTTCTGGGCGCCAAGTAGTTGCTCCTCCTCCGCCTCGACCCTCGACCCGCGATTGACCCCCCCGCAGACTTGTTCGCTGGCCGTCACCTCCTCTACCAAAGACAACACTCGCGTCCCGAAGCCATACGATACCAATACCAATACCGTCCGTTGGCTCCAATGTGTACAGCAGATTCGTTAGTTTCGTCAGAAATATAGCCGTGTGCCAAACAGACGCTTTTAATCTTCTTTTTCTTCATACTTTGTGGATGACTTGTCGTGTTATGACCTACGCTTGACCATACTACATTACCTACCGACGACCTCTAAGCCTACCTTGTCTAGTTCCTCTCTTACGATCACTATCTCACCAGCTTATATCTACGCTCGCTCTCCCGGCAAGATCCTAGAATCCTCGTCCCCCCATCCCCCTCTCGACTACTCGACTCCCTACCAATCACCATACACCCTTGGTATATCAAGATGGGCGGGGAATCAGCAACCCAAAACAAGCCTATCTCGGCCTACCCGATACGCGCACCCAAGCCTGTCGGCCAAAACATCACCAACATCTACAAGGATCGCATCAGTCAGTTCTACGCAAAAGGACAATGGGAAAACAACAATCTCAATGCCATGATGTACGAGGGCGTCGCCTCGGGCGAGCCCCATGTCAAGTTGTCCGTCTGGGATGCCCCCGACCAGGATCGACCAACCTTTGACGAGGCCGTCAAGCACGAGTTCAGAAAGACAGAAGTCGGCGCCCATTTCGGTCCTGCCTGGTCCACCCACTGGTTCAAGGTCGTCCTCACGGTCCCCAAGGACTTGCGCGATAAGAGGCTACTCGAACTCCACTGGGACGCCAACAACGAGGGCATGGTCTGGACGCATGATGGCAAGCCGCTCCAGGGCTTGACGGGCGGTGGTGAGCGTACCGAGTGGATATTACCAGACTCGTTCCGTGACGGAAAGGAACATACCATCTATATCGAGATGGCCTGCAATGGCATGTTCGGTGCTGCGGGAGGGGGCGATATCATCCAGCCCCCTGACCCGAACAAGCACTTTCGTCTCGATAAGGCCGAGATCGTGGCCGTGAACCCCGATGCCCGGCAGCTATACATCGATATCTGGATCATTGGCGATGCAGCACGCGAGTTCCCCAGTGAGTCGTGGGAGCAGCATCAGGCGCTGAAGACGTGCAATGAGATAATCGAGGCCTTTGAGCTCGGCAATAAAGACTCCCTTAAAAAGTGTCGGGAGATTGCTCAGCAGTACCTTGGTCCGGACGTCGACTCGGCCAGGGTATACGATACGAAGAAGGGAAAGGAGCCGCTTGTCTTTGGTATCGGCCATTGTCACATTGACAGCTGCTGGCTATGGCCCTGGGATGAGACCAAGCGCAAGGTGGCTCGATCTTGGTCCAACCAGTGTGACCTGATGGACCGCTACCCAGAGCTCAACTTTGCTTGCTCACAAGCACAGCAATACAAGTGGTGCAAGACGTTATACCCCTATGTCTGGGAACGTGTCAAGAGGAAGGTGTCTGAGGGCCGTTTCCATCCTATCGGAGGTAGCTGGGTTGAGCACGACACCAACATGCCTAGCGGCGAGTCTCTGGTCCGGCAGTTCTTGTACGGCCAGCGCTTCTTTGAGAGCAACTTTGGAAAGAGGTCACAAACGTTCTGGCTGCCCGACACTTTCGGCTATTCCAGCCAGCTACCCCAGCTCTGCCGCCTTGCTGGCATGACTCGGTTCCTAACCCAGAAGCTGAGCTGGAACAACATCAACAAGTTCCCCCACACAACCTTCAACTGGGTCGCCCTCGATGGCACGCAGGTCATCTGCCACATGCCCCCTTCAGAGACATACACCGCCGAGGCCCACTTTGGCGACGTTAAGCGCAGCATGTCACAACACAAGTCTCTGGACCAAGACCATACGTCTTTGCTCGTCTTTGGCAAGGGAGATGGAGGCGGTGGTCCTACGTGGCAGCACCTAGAGAAGCTTCGTCGCTGCCGCGGTATCAGTGACACCGTTGGCCTCCTACCGCGCGTGAACTTGGGCGGCTCGGTGGATGACTTTTTCGATAGTCTCGAGCGGAAGGCTGATTCCCTCGTTACCTGGTTTGGCGAGCTGTACTTCGAGCTGCACCGCGGAACATATACCACGCAAGCGAACAACAAGAAGTTCAACCGGAAAGCTGAGTTTGTGCTGAGGGATATCGAGCAGCTCGCAACGATTGCCTCGCTCAAGGATAAAGACTACAAGTATCCAAAGAAGGAAATCGATGAGATGTGGGAAGCAACGCTGCTCTGCCAGTTCCACGATTGTCTTCCTGGCAGCTCAATTGAGATGTGCTATGATGATTCGGATAAGGTATGTCTAGAGTTGATCAGTGTTCTTGATGAAACATTACTAACTTCCTTTTTAAAGCTATATGCGCAAATCTTCAAGACTGGTGAAAGGCTCTTGCAGGATGCCTGCAAGGCATTGGGCGTTTTCCAAGTAGAAACCACGAGCATGGAACGCGGCATTGCCCTCAACACTCTACCATGGTATCGCGAGGAACTTGTCGAGATTTCCAAGGGTGACTTTGCCCTTGCCAAGGGTGTAGGACCTCTCCTTAAGCTCCAACAGTACGAAATCAGGCAAGAGGAGGATGGAGTCAAACTCCACAAGCTTTCCAACGGAGTTTTCGTCCTCGAGAATAAGCGACTCAAGGTCCGAGTCGAAGCCGGCACCATCACGTCCCTCTACGACAAATACGACAGTCGCGAGATCATCCCCGAAGGCCAGCGCGCCAACCAATTCGTCATCTTCGACGACAAGCCGCTCTACTGGCAAGCCTGGGACGTCGAGATCTACCACCTCGACACGCGTAAGGAGCTGCAGTCCAGCGAGACCCAAGTGCACGAGGAGAAGACGTACCGCGTCAGCGTCATCACCAAGACCAAGATCTCCGACCAGTCCCACATCTCCACCATCATCAGCCTCTCAGCCGCCGTCAACGAGCTCCAGTCCTATGTCGAAGTCCAATCCACCGTCGAATGGCACGAAACCATGAAATTCCTCAAGGTCGAATTCCCCGTCGACATCCGCAACACGGAAGCCTCGTACGAAACCCAATTCGGCATCGTCCGCCGCCCAACCCACTACAACACCTCCTGGGACATGGCCAAGTTCGAAGTCTGCTGCCACAAGTTCGCCGACCTGTCGGAACACGGCTACGGCGTTTCGATCCTCAACGATTCCAAATACGGCTTCGCCACCACCGGTTCGCTCATGCGCTTGTCCTTGCTCCGCTCCCCCAAAGCCCCCGACGCCCACGCAGACATGGGCACGCACACCATCCGCTGGGCCGTCTTCCCGCACACGGGCTCGCTAGGCGCCATGACCGTCCGCAAAGCTTACGAGTTCAATAACCCGCTTAAACTCCTCGAGTCCCCTCATTCCTTCGCTGCCCTCGACGAACAGGAACCACCCGTCTGGTTCACCGATAACTCCAACCCATCCCTCATCCTCGACACCATCAAGCGCGCCGAAGACGACGAGGACGTCTCTGTTGAGGACGACGACGGAAGTCCGCTGAAGAAGAAGAAGGGACAGAGCGTGATTTTGAGGATATACGACTCGCTTGGTGGACGCGCGAGGGGAACCATCGAGACGAGGTGGCCGGTTAAGAGGGTGAGTAAAGTTAACTTGCTGGAGGATGAGCTGGAGGAGGTGAGCGGGTTTGATGTGGCGGAGGGGAGGTTTGAGGTTGATTTGAGGCCGTTTGAGGTTGCTAGTTATCGGTTGGAGTTGGCTTGAGCTGTTGGGAGTGTGTGTCTGTCTGTTGGAGTCTTTCGACTTCTGTTGGCTGGTGAGGAGGGATGGGGTATGGAGTTGTGTTGGGTGAGGGGAAACTAAATGGTTGGAGTGATGTGATGTGATGTCTATAACGATGCGATGATTGCTATGAAACTTTTGATGATGACGGGAACCATGGGAGTCAATTTAGTAAAGAGGTGGGAGAACAAGTAAGGGAAATGATAGTGCCTAGGAGAGCTAGAGGGAAAAAAAGAGGGTGATGGTGAAACCCCATTAAACGGCGTGGAAGAAAGAAAAAGAGTAGGGGAAGGCGTCAGCCATGGTGAAGTAGGGCCAGATCAGGACTGTTGGAGATTGTATTTTTAGGGTATCTGGAGTGACGATCGATAGTATCACTAGCCATCAGGTTCCATGATCAAACCAAGTGTGTTGAACATTTTAAGTTCAAAAAAATTATCTTCTTCATGTAACTGTGTCTCGTAAGCTTGAACTGTTGTCACCATATATGGCTGCCTATTTATCAGTATGTGTAGGCACTTGGCACATTTTCGACTCGAAACACTTGCAATGGCATAGCAAAAAGTGGAAGATGATGGATGATATTCAACGCTGAGAATGTTTACGACCTGTACAGAGGATCGAACGCTATACATCTTTCGCATGATGCCACGCTAATCTAATTCCAATTGCCCCCATGTCTCGTTAGAGGTCATACTTCGTCAGAACCCCAGGCCAAGAACCCTCTCCTCTTCTCAAAAGCCTCAGCAGATCTAAGGGACTGCCAATCCTCCCCCTCAGACCAAAACTTCTTGTCCTTGTGCCATCTCGTAGCCCTTGCGCTCATTTCGATTACCCTCCGAGTAGTCGTAAGAATCAGCCGAATATGGACAGTTCAATATCGTTCGCTTTGGTTAAGAAAGGCCGTTGCAAAACTGTGATATGCCTCGTAATGAGTTAGAAGTACGTCGGCTAGAGTCCATTAGGGATTATTTGATCCTGGAAATGTTTCGAATTTCGATCCACAGGTGTCTTGAAGATACTTGAATGCGTGCAAGTATATCCCGAAGGTGTAATGTATCTCTTTGACCGGTCAAAAAGCCAATTTTTGAAAATGCCTTCCACCTCGGTCCCATTGCCTTCCACCTCCGTACCTTGCCTGCTTTGAGGCTCTGGACCATCAGGTCGTCCGACGGCACCGATGAACACCCTTTCGCTCGGCGCCCAGAACAAGCCCACCAAATAATCGAAGCAACACTTCTACTGCGACTTCTTATCTTCCGCCTGCTGGGGCTGCGGCTGCTGTTGCTGCTGGCCACCATTCTTCTTGTCCTTCTTCTCGCCCTTGGCAAAATCGTCCTTCTCCTTAGACTCGGCGTACCATTGGCCAGCCTGCAAGACAAGGACTCCGACCAGCACCATGGCCAGAATGGTGTTGCTAGCGCTGAGCACCTTCATGGTATCCTCCCTGCCGAGAATGACCTCGCCCGAGACGGGGCCGTCGTGCTTGATACCAGCAAAGTCTTCCATGTCCCAGATGCCAGCAGTGATGGTGCGCATTCCCTTGACGATGTTGCTTGTGTAAACGCCGACTCCAATGACGTACAGAATGAGCGATGCGCCGTCGAACAACACGTTGGATTCGGCAGGGCGGAAGAGCTTCATGAAAAATCCGAGGAGGCCAACGAAGATGACAATGTTGAGGATGCGCGAGATGATGGGAGGCGAGGCGTGGAGGAACTTGACGTGCGTCTCGAGGAAGTCGTAGTACGTGGCCTGAACGGGCTCCGAGGTCCAGAGCAACGGGAAGTCATAGGGAAACTGCGCGAAGAGTATGCCAAGGAAGAAACAGACGGCTGTTGTAGGCAAATGTTAGCGTAAGCTTCCGATCGCACGATGGGGTTAAAGAGCTATTATGCCCATAGAATGGGAACCGTGACGATCATGGAGGGGGAGGGGCAGCAAATTGGAAGCAAAGAAAGTTGACAACATACGACCGATGATGATGAAGGTTGAGAAGGAACCAGAGCCACGATAGTCCTTGGACTGCGTGTTCTTATTCCAGTCTACCCAGTGACTCTCCGACATTGTAGCTGATGCTCGTGAACTCGGACGGTGGCTTTATTGGGTTCGGTGTCTGAAGCAGAGAAATGCGAGTGTTCGGCCAAGGATGTTGCGCTTGTGGAATAGGACAGAGATATGGTGCTGGGGTAATCCGAGATAAGTGTCGCTGTAAGAGATGAAGTAACCTGAAAGGAAGGGAGGAATAATGAGGAAGACAATCGGGTGCTCAAAGCTGCTCTGTGACGAGGGAGACGTTGGCTTTTGAGTTGCAGCTGTCCTCCAAAGCCGAGCTCAAAAAGTTGGGAAGAACGCGCAAGGCTCTTACGTGTTTGAGCCTAGAGGTAGATAAGGCTTCGGGGCTCCTGCCACTAACGGCACTAACAGGGACAGCCGCGCCGGACGAATGACTGACAGCGGGAAGAGTGAGATGCACGCCAAGGGACCCATCAGATGCAGAAGGAATCGATAACACTTGGGGGTCACTGCTTCCTTCCACTACTGCTATCCGGATATTATCCTCGAGTCGTTCTTTCACGAATTGAACTGTACGAGTAGTGTAGATGAAGCAAGGAGAGGAACCTCGACCGTCTTAATCACATCTTGCAGACAGAGTGTCACAGTTACCACAGTGGGATGTCGCAATGTCATGCGTTAGTGCTACCAAGAAGGGAAGGAAGGTCTATTGCAGGGCGTTGGATGTCATTTCCAGGTGGCTTTGTTAGCGTTTCCAGCGATCGAGGGCCCGTAGTATAACCGAACAGGCCCGGACACAAAAGCACCGGCGTGGGGATGGGCACTGCAGTCTCTTGTAGCGAGTGATGCACGCCTTCATCATTCACCTTTCGTGAACAGTCTTCACGATTCTTATATCAATGTTTGTTGCCTAAACCTTGGGTTTAGTTGTCGAGAAGCTCCATGCCATGCTTGTGGTATCTGTCGCCAACCGGAGCGAATTCCTTGAGGATCTTTTCAACATCAGCCATATCCTCCTCCGTCAGCTCTATCTCCACAGCATTCTCCCGAACACGCTCCGGCGATGAGGCACCCGGGATGGGGATAATCGTTGGCATCCCAGGTCGTCTAGAAAGGGCCAAAACCCAGTTGACGGCGAATTGAGCTGGTGTACATCCCTTTCTCGCCGCGAGTTCCTCTACCTTCCGAACCAGCCGAAGATTGGTCTCAAAAACTTCAGGTTGGAACCGAGGCAACATCCTCCGGAAGTCTCCCTCGGGGATATCGTCAAAGGACTTGACTTGCCCGGTCAAGAAGCCCTTGCCAAGTGGGCCTGTGGGATATCTGTGTTAAAATCGACAACTGACGGAAAAATAGCAGGAGGCATTCATGAGAGACATACTGTATGCGAGGACAGGGATATCAAGCTCAGCGCAAGCCTCCAGCACGCCGTTCTCGAGCGGCTCGGTGTTCCAGATGGACAGCTCCACCTCGACAGCCGTGATCTTGGCCACCTTTGCAGCCCGGCGGATCGTTTGGGCGCTGACCTCGCTCAACGCGATGCCCCTGATATCTCCGGCCTGAATGTGCTCGCCCATGGCCTTCATGGTCACTTCAATGTCCACCTTGGGGTCCTTCCGGGCCGCCTCAAACTGATCAATCCTTCCCTTGCCCCCAATCAGGCGGACCGAGTTTTCGATGCTGGCCCGGACACCCTCAGGCGAGGAATCAGCAGCCAGCAAGCCCGGAAGCATGCAGCCCTTAACATTGAGGAGGATTTTGTCTACATCCCCCGGATACTTGTCGTAGTAACGCTTGAGTACGGTCAGGGAGTTGTGTTCTGGAGGGCCGTAGAACTCGCCGCCGTTGAAGTAGTTGCAGCCGGCATCGAGAGCGGCCTTGATGACGGGAAAGATCTCATCGTCCGATACCTTGGACGCTCGCCATGTCAGGCCTGGTGATTCTTGTCAGCATCTTACTGCCCTCAGAGGTTGGTTGTGCTCAGGACATCATACCCATCAGGCCGAAGCCTATGTTGCCGACTTTCTTTCCTTGAATGGTCACCATGTTTCCTGTTATGTGTAAGTATGATGGGGCCCAATGTAAAGTTCAAAAGAATGGAGATGCTCAAGCTAGTTATGTATTAGCCGACCTGCCAAATCGGCGGCCGCCCCGATGTCGCCTTGCCGGCTCACGTAGATGTGGGGCCCCCGGGCCCGGGCAATGGGCGGGGCAGTGGGGTAACTAGGAGCGGGAGCAGGCGGGCGGCACGGGCCCTGTCCCGGATCAAATCCCATGGTCGGTATGAACTTCAGGAGCGATAACGGATGAATAGTATCTCCATGTTACTAATTACTTCAGGTATATAGTTACGTGTGTTGAAGAGCAGCCATGAACTTCCCAGCCATGCTCGTAGGTGGTGGTCATGCGTAAACCTCAAGCTTCCTGCAATACTTTCCTCTGGAGGATATGATTCCGGGATCTCGTGTCATCCTGTCACTTTCCAAAGATACACTACAACCTGAGAGATGAACTATATGAGCTATCCTGTGAACACTCTGGAGGATGTCACGACTGATATAAACCGAATATCAACGGGAAGTTACTATTCCGGGCCCGAGACGGAACATGCCTGACCGGGACCCACTGAAGGGTTCGGTTTCTGCGGGGACAAGGCCGAGTGCAGGATGACGCCAACAATCCGGACCCTTGGCCTGGAATCGCAGCTTCCCTGGACCAATGCATCTTGGCTTCCCGTGCGTGCCATTCCTCGAGTCGCAAATCAACTTCTTCGCCGCAATCTCTGCGCTGTCCTCCAAATTCCAATAGATTAATCTTCTAATCGAATCGCAATCCTTGGCCCCGTTGACACCACCGTCCGACGTCTCATTGTCGCGTTGAAACTGCATATCTGCTCGTACGATCGCTCAAGACCACGTGCAGTACAATCGCAATATGGCCGACGACGACCAGCGGCTTGCGACCTCGAGGTCAGCGCCAGCCCTCCATGCCTCCCCTTCCACAACCGAGGTGCCTTCTGAGAGTACCGAACCAGAGCCATACCTGGTCCGCCACGGCTCTTTAGCCTTTCGGGCCCCGCGACGAAAATCAACCCAAGACCGTCTCGATGAGATTCTCAAGGTCAGTGACATCCCAAACACGCGCAATCATCAGTGACCGGGGCGTATTTCGGTGGCTGGATCTGGATGCCAAGAATCCAGACTAGGGACCCAGACGAGCCAGACACCCAGCGAGGTTCTCGACGGACTGTTCGCGAAAGTCACAAGCTTCGAACTTGTCTCCACCAATGATCGACATTGCGATTCCGGACAGTCAGTCATTCAGCTCGTCGAGTTTGAATATTTCTTCTTGAGCCACAGCTGCGTTGCTATAGTCAGTGCCACTGCTGGCATCCTCGCCCGAAGTCATGCTTAACCGTACTGTTCGTAGCCTGTCTGTCCCCTTCAGTCATGCCGGGCTCGAACCTTTTCCAGCCGGAGACAATAAGACGCCGCCAGTGATCTCAGCGCGAAGACTGATGCCGTAACTAACATTCGCGATCGCACACAGGCTGCCCGCGAGAGGGCCGAAGCACTCGACAATGCCAGTCCCGGTCTACAACAACAGCCTTTGCTATCACCGCTATCGCCTCGTACAACTGAGATCACCGGAGTCGGCGAAGGTACACAACAAGGAATCGTAACAAGCCAACCACTTAATTACCAAAGTATGGTACAAACACCAACATCCAACTTGTCGGCGCGCAAAAGACAGACAGCAAGCCAATCTGCCGCTCATAGTCCGGCCGCACAAACACCATTGACGCATTCAAATAACGAGGGCGAAGCTGGGAACGGGGCGGCCGAGCATCATCAACCGAGTAAATGGAAGAAAAAGCTGGAATATTTCCAGAGCATTGAGTTGGAAAATAAGGGCAGCGTCGCTCGTGACCATCTTGCTTTAGGTGAGTAGAGGAAGCCAAAGCCTTATGTTGGGCCGCAACAGGCTGACTTCTTGTGCGCCTCAGAACGAACATTCCTCGCATGGCTACGAACCTCATTAGCGTTTGCCTCGATAGGCATTGCCATCACTCAACTCTTCCGTCTCAACACATCATTATCGGACGGTAACGACACTGCCCACCAGGCGGAAACACTAAGGCACCTGGGCAAACCGCTTGGCGCAACGTTTCTGGGTATCAGTATCTTGACGCTGTTTCTTGGATATAAGCGCTATCTGCTTGGACAACATTGGGTGATAAAGGGCAAGTTCCCGGCCAGCAGAGGGACGATTATGCTGCTGTCGTTCATTGCCTTGGCCGTGATAGTAGCATCGTTGATAGTGGTGCTCGCGGTGCAGAGTGGCGTGGACGTACGAGGGTAGGAAGAGGTGTAAGGTGAGGCTTTGCTACGGGCAAGCTAGGCCCGTAACAAGAGCTGTGAATCCCTGGACCGGACATTTGCCAATGCTGTCAGCGATGCAACACCATAACCGAATGGCGAGGTGACACCGCTAACGACAGCCGCATCATTAAAGTCGCTAAAGTTGTAGGCGGGGGCTCGGATTCACGGCAACAGAATGATTTGCCTTTCGTTGATCAACGAAAGGCAGAAAAACAACAGAAATATGATAAAGTTAGCTGAACACGAATGACCGGATACACCTCGGCTTGTTTCAGACCAAGCCAGCGGGAAAGCAACGATGGCCTCCGGAGAGTTCTCTTGGGCTCTCCGACTCCCCGTGATATCATCGGGATATTCCCGGATGTGCTCCGCTGAAAACGTGTTAAGTGGGGGCTACTGTCAGGGCGCGCAGGGGGAGCACGTTCAGGCACCGTCCAGTTCGCAGGCCGGGCTGGACTGGTGTCGATCTTCAGCCAGGATGTAATTAAACCACAGAATCTGAGTGCATTTGTTGGGTAGCTGAGAGGTGCCCAATGGCGACTGCGTTCTCACCAGTAATGGAAAAGGGGGGGGTGCATACTTTTCTCCTTCGTCTTGAAAGAGAACAGTTCATGAATCTCACTGGAGGATGAATGGGCATTGCCTCTTGACGGCCCTCCAAAGCAACAACGAATGGCTTTGTTTACATCCAGGGGCAGCGAACGGATGGGCTGAAAGGACATTGCCCCTGGGGCTGTTTCTTCCTAGGCACTATCCGCTCGTGCAGGAGGAGCTAGCCTTAAGGGGGTTACAGTGACAGTGACAATGACGCCTCACCGGCGACCTGCCGTCAACATCAACGAAGCTGCTGTGCCTGTTTGCATGGTTCGATGAGATGCAGCAGGCCGCTGACCAGACGAAAAAGGGGCGTCGGGACGGTACGTTAGTATTATGTACATACTTGGTTGCTCTTGCAGCTGCAATGACACGATGTTTGAAGTTCCTTCTCGCCAACTCGGCCCATGGTGTTGTGGTGTTGCTTCCTTGTTATGTTTGTGCAGGGTCCTTGGTTGTTGGACTGGTAGAGAGTACTTGAATAATGGGAAGGAAGCCCATGATACTGAACAGTCGTCATCCTTCTTCCATCTCTTCTCGTTGCTCTTTGTGCCCATTCTCCCCGTTTCCTTCTCTTTCTCATCGGTTATTTTCGCATTCCGGTGTGACTGATCGTATCAACAATTCAGCATCGGTGCTTCTTTCTTCTTCCATTCAGTTCACGGGTTCACAACAATTCACCAACGGTACGTGCGCCTGTGGCATGCCCTCAGCTCCCACCCCTTTTCCAGGTCGGGGCTTCTCGCTACTAGCCGCGGGACCATACCCGTCTTATCCTGACTCAAATCTTGATTTAAAATGAGCATCTTTGACGGCTGACAAGTCTTTGGAAAGAACCATAGGAAGTGTGTCCCTCCCCCGCGGATCCGTAAATTAAACCCTCTTGCTCATAGTGGGGGGAAGACACCCATTCTCCCTCTACCGTCTTCTTCTAAGAGACCAGGAATAACCTATCATCACCCAAAAGCGACATCAACGCATGGGAGGAAGCCGGCGCATTGACGAAAACAGATTCTTGACCGAGAGGGCCTTAGATATGAAGGGTGCTGGAAAGAATAAAAGAACGAACGATACGGAACTTGAAAGGCGGATACGCTACTACAGGCGGTTCACATTGTCTCGGTCTAAAACAAAACTTCTCCGAGACCATCCGTCTCTTCCACAAGTTTTCTACCCGTTGGGGAGAGTGGAGCAGTTCCTGTCTATTCCCCAACTCTGCTAGGCAGAATTGGTCACAAAACCACCGGACATCACAAAACCCCACCGGACAGCAAAATCGGGCATTTTCTGTAGGGATTTTCTGTAGTATTTAATTACACAACAACCAATAGTCCAAACATAACCAAAACTTGTATATAGGTTTATAAGTAGTTATATAAGGTAAATGTAATTTTTATTTTGGCATTTCACTTAACATACAAGTTTCATCTCCATTATAAGTATGAAAATTGGATATTTATATTAAAAATTCTGTATAATTCTAGGATGCGTGCAACCGTTTAAGGTATTAATATTAGTATATAGATTAAAACCGTTGTATTATATAGTTAACGGTATATATATAGTGTTATTAAAATATATTTTAAATATTTATTTACTTTTATTATTTATTTCCTATAAAATAAAACGTTAAATAATTATTTCAATGTAGGGGTTTATATTATATAATACTATATTAAGCTTATTAGATTCTCTTAATGATTATCTATATATTTAAATTATATATATTTCGTATTCTAGATGGTTATTTATATTTAACTATTAATTTTAATAATTGAAATTGAATTAAAATTATATATTAATCAATAAAGTATAATTATCATTTTAGAACTAAATACTTATACTATAGGAATATTATGGAGTATTATAAGTAATATGATATTATGTTTAAAACGATAGTACTAATTTTATATATATTACAACCTTTTATTTAATTTAATTTATATTTTAAATATATTCTTTTACATTTTTAAAAGGATTATTCTATTTATATTAACTTTATTTAGAAATATTCTATTTATTACTTTATATTTATATTAAATATTCAATTTTATTAAAACTAACTACCTTACTTCATCTTAAAACTACTTTATATATTAATATTAATTAGTAATTTCAAATTAATTATTTTCTTTACTTCTCATTGAAATTGAATATTATACCGTATTTAAAAGGCTTATTTTAAATATATTAATCTCATTTTATAACTTCTAATATAATTATTATAAAGGGTGTAATATAATTAGTATAAATATCAATTAAAAAATTAAGAAGGTTTTATAAAGTGAAAATAGGAGAAAGAAGTATTTACAAATTAAATATAATTAATTATCCTTTTCAAAAGATATATATATATACGGGGTAAGGAATAATTAGTAGAATCAAGTACGTAATTAATTAAATTTTATATATTAATTAAAGATTTTAATTAATAAATATTATTAAATAATTTTAATTATAACTATTAATTTCAAAATAATTATTTTATATATTTTATACCTAAATTAAATACTCTAACTTATATAGAAGGGTTATATTATATATTTAAATCTTACCTTTTAACTCTAAAAGAATTATTTTACTTATTTATATTTAAATTAAATATTTTATTTAACTTTGTAGTACGGGGAGAGTTGGATTGCTTTAAGATATCAAAATTTACAAAGAAATAATACTATTAAAAGTATAAAGAAGGTTTGTTTTTTAAAACAAAAAGGAAAGGCTTCGAATTAACCGTTTATACGTAAAGAATATAAGTATAAAGTATTAGAATATAAGCTACAAAGTAGTTTAAATACTATAATTTTAATCTTTAAATTAAGTATAATAGCCTTTATAACAGTTTAATTAAATTAACTTATTATTACTAGTAAATATTAATATACGAAAGATATAAAAATTTAGGAATTTTCTTATTACTTTATAGAAAAGGATAATTTTCTTTATAATAATTATAATATATATATAAACTGTATTTATGGTTTTTAATTTAGTTATTTTATTTATTTTATATTTAAATTAATTATTTTATTACTTTATTACTTTTCTATTCTATTTATATTTTACCCGTAATTATTACGTTTATAAAATAGAAATTAATTTAATTATTTTATATTTAAATTTACTACTTTTTTATTTTACTATTTTATTATTCTACTATTTTAGAATTCTGTTACCCTACTTTTATATTAATTATATTTACTACCTTTATATAAGGAGAATTAATTTATTTACTTTATATATAAATTAATTAGCTAATTACTATAAGATTTATCTGATAAGGCTTATTATACGTAATAATATTTTAATTTACTCTTATAATTAATTATATATTTGTATAAACTATAAGTATTTCTTTAAATGCTTAGAGCCTAATTAAATAAACCACCTTATAATAAAGTATCTTGTTTAAAGTTAATTGTTTAAATATAATTTACAATTATTTCCTTCATCCTTTATATAATAATATATTTTTATATTAATATTATATTTTAACTTCGTAATACTATTTATTTTACTACTTTATTTATATATCGGCTATAATTAATACTTTCATATAAAGATAATTAATTTACTTACCGTATATTAAAGTTAATTACATTATAATTTAATTGTTTTACGATTCTATTTATATATTAATTACGACTATTTCTTTAAATTAATATATATTAATTTACTAAATTTATATTAAAATTAATTACTTTATTATATTATTACCTTATTTAAATACTAACTATATTCGCTACCTTTATAAAAAGGAAATTAAATTATTTAGTTTATATTAAAATTCAACGCTTTAGAATATAATTATTTTACTATTTTCTTTGTATATTAATTATAATTATTATTTCTATATAAAAAACTTTATTTTATTTGTACTATATTGAAATTAATTACTTAATTACCTTATTACTCTATTAATATATTGATTATAAATACAATTATTTATAAAAATAAAAACTAATTTACTTACTTTATATTAAATACCTATTGAATATCTAATTTAATTATAGTACATTAATAATTATTAAGATTTATTTAAATTTATTAAAAGGTATTTTAAGGAAATTAAGTTTTATAATTATGAATTAGTTTTATATATTTATTACATAAATTAATTTCGTAAGAATTAGAAATTATAGTTTTAACCATTAAGTAATATATTCTTTAAATTAATAGTTAGAAAGTATACAAAAAGGAAAAGTAAAAACAATTAATTAAAATATGATAATTATTTAAAGAAAAAATAAACGATTAAAATAAATAAATGCGAATAATTATACAAAGGATTATTTAAAGGATTTAAATATAGGATTTATATATTAAGTTAAATATTTTGGAAGAATATTTAAAACTATATATTAAATCGTTTAAAAGGTTCAATTAAAAAGTCTATGTAAAATGTTAAATACTATAAGATAGTATTTGAAATTATATAAAATATTATATAAAAAGTTGAATATTATAATATAATAGTTAAAATCATATATAAAGTTATTTAAAAAGTTTTTAATAAAGCTTATAAGAAGACTATTTTAGTATTTTTTTAATAGTCTTTTATAAAATAGATTATTATTAATTTTAATCTATATATTATATAATAAATATATATATATAATTAATTTAACGGTTGATATTATATTATCGTAATATATGGAATATTATAATAGTAAGATAAATTATATATTATATATATATAACCTATATTTTAAATTGAATATATTCGATTATATTCGAATATATATTCGTAATTAAAATTCTATTTTATATATATATAACCTATATTTTAAATTGAATATATTCGATTATATTCGAATATATATTCGTAATTAAAATTCTATTTTATATATAATATTTACTTCTATATAAGTTATAAAAATATTTTATACTATATTAAGTAATTTAAAATACAATCGTAGCGTCCGTAGCGTATACAAATAAGTGAAGTAAATAAAAGCCTTTATAAAATAAAAACCTCCTTTATTATTTTAAGAATTTAAAAACCTTTTAACTTTGAAATAAATTCATTAATTTACTTCTAGCTTATAAAATTAAATAAATTTATTTTTAAAATGTTTTAAATATAAGGGATTCAATTACATAACCCGGTTTTTAACTATATAGTTATATAGTTTAAAAGATTTATAATAGGAAAAGAATTCTTCGAAAGAAAAAGAATTTTAAAATAATTAAATATTATTTATTGATATTTTTATTAATCTTTAACCCTTCTATATAAGTTATATACTATTTTACTCGTTATTGATTCTTTGGTATATTTATAATATCTTTACCCTCGAAAGCCTACTAAATAACCCTAATTTGTTAATATTAGAAAATTAAAATTTATTATACCAATTATTTACCCTTTAGAATACTTTATATAAATAATATTTGCGCGGCTATTTCGTAAACTTTTAAAAATAATCTTATAAATATTCTAAAGAATATTAAGTTTAATTTATAATAATTAATTAGTATTAAATTCTAATTTATAAATATAAATAAAACTATATATACTATCTTAAATTTTTATTAATGAATATTAATACCTGTTTTATACCTTATTTATAAAATAGTTATTAGAATTCAATTTTAATACTTTTATTGTAATTCTTTCCTTTTTCAAAACCTTTTATTAAATTTAAAAATATATATAATTATATATTTCTAATTAAAAACTACCAAAATTACCTTCGTTTAAGTATTTTATAGAGTTAGAGTTGTTGAAGTGGAGTATATATGTCCTAATCTAGTAGATGAATTAAATAAAGATCTATAAAATAAAGATATAAGTTCCCAAATCGGACCCGATTTAGTAGAGTTATAATACTTTAAAGTTAGTAAGAAACGTTATAACTCCAAAATAGAGTATTTAGTTCTTTAGCTCATAGTAGGCTGGGTATTATAGTAGGATACGTGCAAGTAGGTTTATTAGATTGAGAGAGAAGAGAGAAATCAAAAGAAGGTCAAAATAAATTTTTTAGTTAAGGTTTGGTAGACTTATAGTAATGCAAAGTTGAAAGGTAGGGTTTTGGCCTTTTCCGGGCTGCATTTTGCTGTCCGGTTGGGTTTTGTGATGTCCGGTGGTTTTGTGACCAACTCTGCCTAGTAAAGTTGGGGAACAGATAGAAATGACTCCACTCCCCAACGGGTACCTCACTCCCAGACTCCCGTCCCGCTCGCGCATCTCACCGTCTCAAGCAGACGCAGTCACCGAGGCCCGGTGGGATTCCCTGTCCGCACGGCAGTCGCACTCACCCCTGGACGAGAGGCTCCATCCCGCTACTTTTTAGTGGACGGTACCACAGACGCGGGTCACACAGGCAAGGCAGGCGCTGTTAGCGAGCCCACTCCCGTGCATTCCTGTGCACCGCGAGCACACAAGTGCACAAGGACCGGTCAGGGGCGATCGCTCAGCAGATCGCTCAGCAGCTCCGGAGAGGTGGGCTTAAGTGGGGTGTGTAAACAAGACTCTCACTTCTGACCTGAACCTTGTTCACCTCCCGCCAGACGCACGCTCGTGACTGGCCTTCTTTCGGCATCTACTAGTCCACCTAGTCCTGCTAGTCCACCCCCTACCCCTAGCCCAGCAGACAGGCAGACTTCGACCGCCTTTGCAGGTCGGTGGCCGCCACAAAGCTGGTCCAAGATGACCTCCACCACCACCACAGCAACTTCCACCACCTACACGACCACTCCCAAACCTAGACTCGGACTCTCGAGACCAGCACGCACCGGCCGAGGCCTCAGCGGCATAGCTACAGCATCAACCCCGAATCTCAACCAGCTCTACTCGTCCCAGTCGCAGTCACAGTCCCAGTCTCCTCCGTCTCTGTCATCGCGCCTTGTCCCGCCGGCGCTGTCGCGCAAGGCCTCCCACGCCGCCCTCACGCAGAACTCTCTGGCTACCATCCCCGATGATACCGAAGCCTACGCTCTGAATTCCGTCCTAAACACCACCGACAACGACACGATGCCTCTTACTATCAACCCCGGTACCATGACCACCGGCGATGAGATCACTATTGGTGACATCGTCGAGGTCCCCGGCAACATGACCGGTACCGTTCGCTTCATCGGTTCAGTCGATGGGCGCAAGGGTATCTTTGCCGGAGTCGAACTTCACCGCGAGTTTGCCTCTCGCGGAAAGAACAGCGGTGATGTCGATGGGTAAGCAGACAATCCTCTAACATGCTTCTTTTTGAAGGGGGCCTGGACTCGAGCTAATGCGCAAACCTTTGCCAGTGTCTCCTACTTCAACACCAGCCTGCCCGGGGCTGGCATCTTCCTCCCCCTATCCAAAGCCGTCAAGCGGGATGCCGGCAGTAGCTCCCTCCCTCGCACGCCCACCGATGCTGTCCCACCCGGACCCGCGTTGAAGCTCGGAGGCCGTGCGTCGACTACCCCCTCTATACGAAAGTTCAGCCAGTCTGTTGGGCCCGGTGCTGTTCGTCCGGAGTCGCCCATGAGGCGGCTGCAGATGACGCCCGGATCGCGCCCTTCACTTGCCACACCAGGCCCTCCTGGACGATTCCCCAGTCCACAGCCTAATAAGTTTTCTCAGAGCGTTCGCGGAGTGCCAGGAGACACGGGCAAGCGGTTGCCCTCCCATACGAGGAAAGGTAGTGTCGGACCTCGTAGTATCTCCTCCCTCGGCAATGCCCACCAGCCAAACTTTGACGACGACGATGCCGCTTCCATCAGCGGACACAATGGAGGTGTCGCTGCCGGGTCTATACCAGGAATGAGGTTCCGCGGCCCCTCGCGGGCGGCCTCGCGCCTTGGTAGTAATGCCCACGAGGAGGAGCTAGAGAAACTCAGAACTCAGCTTGAAGACCGCGAGAGGCAGCTGAGGGACCAGGCAGCAACACTGGTCGAGATGGAAAGCAGTCTTACTGAGCTTCAGGCTCTCATCGAGAGCTCGGAAGGCTCGTTGCGCGATCGATCACGACACGAAGAGTTCGAAGATAAGGACGTTGCTCAGCTTCGAGCATTACTGCAAGAAAAGAACGACAAGATTGCCCTGCTGACTGCCGAGTTCGACGCACACCGGGCCGACTTCCGGAGCACTATTGATACCCTGGAGCTGGCGAGCTCAGAGACCCAAAGGATCTACGAGACGAAGATCGAGGAACTCATGCAGGAGAATCAGGAGCTGAGGGAACGAACCGAAGATGTGGATGCCGTTGCTATACAGCTTAAGCAACTGGAAGAGTTGGTTCAGGAGCTGGAGGAGGGCCTTGAAGACGCCCGTAGAGGGGAGGCAGAGGCCCGGGGTGAGGTTGAATTCCTCCGTGGCGAGGTAGAAAGAACGCGTACCGAGCTCCGCCGGGAAAGGGAGAAGGCGCAGGCCGCTATTAACGGCGCAAATGGCTCCCCGAACAGCGGCCCTCTTGCCAAGGAACTGGAACAGAAGGAGGATGAGATCAGAGGCCTTAAGGCTATCATTCACTCACTCAGCAGAGATTCTGCTCCCGATGATGATGATGATGCCATGACGCCAACCGCCAAGACAGGCGAGTGCATCGAGGATCGTCTCGCTCGTGAGAAGCTTGAGCGCGAGGTCGCCGAGCTTCGCGCCATGCTCGACAGCAAAGCCAGCCGCGAGGAGGAGCTCGAGCGTGAGATTGAGATACTGCGGAGAGGCAACGCTGCAACCGAGTCGAACCATCGTTCTAGCACCATGACGATCGGCAGCAACAACGAGCGCAACTCGCAGCGTGATTCGCGAAGCACTGTGGTACCTGTTCCCCAGAATACGGACAAGGCTCTCAGGAGCCGGGGATCAACTCTCGAGGCGATGCCCGAAAGTGACTCCTACAGCACCGCAACCGACAACAGCACTCTCTGGTGCGAGCTCTGTGACACTTCTGGTCACGATATTCTTACCTGCACCAACATGTTTGGCTCTACCAACGAGACCGAGAACGCCAACCAGAAGCAGCAGCAGAGCAAGTCGCAGTCTCTTGCCTCCGAAATCGAGGACGATGATGAGGAGGCGGACGAGGACAAGGACGATGATGAGGAGGCGGACGAGGACAAGGACGATGATGAGGAGGCGGACGAGGACAAGGACGACATCGTCAGCGCCATGGGCTCCATGACCATCTCCACCAAGGACGACGACATCAAGCCGGCGCCCCTTTCCCCTAGCAGGGCTCGGACCCAGCCCCTGACTCCTCAGCTTGCCTCGGCTGAGCTCGCTGCCCGGTCTACTACTCCCTTGGAGCCTATCCCCACGGCTCCTATCGTGCCATCTGTCACTGTTGCGAAGGCAGCGCCCCTTCCCAACCTGATGGAGTCGGGTCCCGTAGCCGGCAAGGAGAGCGGAATCGTGGATGCGTCCAAGTGGTGTGCCTTGTGCGAGCGTGACGGTCACGATAGCGTTGATTGCCCCTTTGAAGACGAGTTTTAGGGGACTGTTGGGTTAAGCAAGGCTATCGATGACCATAAGATGATGATGGGGAAGATGCCGCCGCCGACGACGGCTTGGAAGAGGAGTGAGAGGGTGTAGCTTTGGGTGGTAACATTTCATTTGAACTGCTGCTTGGCGTAGCTTCTACCTTACCTATCTTTCTGTCTATCTATCTACCTACCTCTACCACCTCATTCCTCCTCGAAGATGGACGTTGCAAACTCATATACCTGTATTCTTAGTTCCTTTCCCACCATTGATCGGGTCTCCATCACTACCTACCTACCTACCTTTATCATCAGCGTTCCTTATCATCATCACATCAGCTCCAAGCAAGTTAGAAAGGAAAGAGCAATGTACACCCGCCATCACTTCGTCATTATTTGCAGTGTCTTGTCCTATACCGCAAATCTTGGGTTCATACCAGTTAATGCAAGCAAGCAAAGCAAAGCAAAGCAAAAAAATGTCCAACAAAGACACAATTTCTCAAATTTACTCGTCTACAATCAAATCAAATCACTGGGGGAAATTTGGAAGTGAAGGGAAGGAAGGGAATGGTTAGGGTTAGGATGGGCTAGGAATGGATGGGATGGGTTAGGAATGGATGGGATGGGGTGAGATGGGAGGTTAATGCATCAAGAGGGCATGCGGTAATGGATCATCACATGTTGGTAGGAGAAACTGGCTGGGAGGTACCTGTCTGGGTTGGGTCGTTGGCTTTGGTGATGGGATGGGAGAACAGGACTCGGAACAGTCAGAGGTAGTAGTAAGTGGGCGGGAGCGCGTGTATTGTAGTTTAGTGTATCATGTAGCATGGAGTATCATGAACGATGATTTGGGAAATGTTCCTTGTATGTTTCGTTGGTTGTATGGAAGTTCAAGGTTCAAAAGGCTTCTTTCGTCGTGGTATGCAGTTCGTGATCCTAGCTAGCTGTACTGTCCTGGTTGTGAAGTGATTATACCTGGGGGATTATGTGACAACCAGTTGGTGTGAGCAGGGTATGGTTAAGAAGGGTAGGGAGGGTGGTAATATGTTGGAAAGTCTTTGGAAGACATGTGAAGAGAGGTTAAAGGGACCCGTTACGGCACGTATATTGAGGGTGAAGTGCACCAAAAATGGGGTTTTTCTTTCTTTTCTTTTTCTCTTCTTCTTTTCTGGTATAGGTTTTGACAAAATTTTCTCCGAAGGGGTGAGCGTAAGTTGACTTACTATTTCGCTATTCGTTGATGACACCTTGCGTATGGCAACAAGGTTTGTGAGTTTTGGCCCTCAAACCTTCTGAGAGATGGTATACTATGTCCCAACCAGGTGCAGGGAGCGACGTTCGTGTGTCATTTCAGACGAAAGCAGTGTTTGTTATTATTTTATCTTGCTCGCCGAGCGGGTGGTGAAATCGTGAAACCCGCAACGGCAGACAACGCAAGGAGCAAGGTAAATAGCCACCGAGAAGGTACAAGAAGACCATTTTCATTGGGAGCGGTATCTTGATATAGAAGACATAATAACTTTGGTGAGGATAAGACGACCGACTACTAGTCCCGAACCAGGACAACGCGATTGTCCTCCTTAGGCTGGTCGAGACGAACCTCCATGTACTCAGTCGCCTTCCTCATATCTCGCAGGTTCTTCACATGCCCGATGGTGTCCCTAGCTCCATCGTCCAATCCGTGGTACAAGACAGCGAAGATCGAGTCTTTCCAGACTCCGGCTGCGGTTCTGGGCCTAAAAATGATGTAGAGTAAGTAGCCCATTCCCATGATCTCGATGCTGAAGAGCACCGTCAGCCATTCCCAGCGCGCTACCAGGATGGTCTCGCGCACGACATAGCTCCCCGTGATCCTCTCGTTGGTTGCGGCATAGTTCATGTTGTTGAGCGCTGCGGTGATCGATGTCATGACGGCAGGCAGTGTTCGCCGGGAGATTCGAGAAGCAGTCATCTGGTCAGGATCTTCGTCATCCAGTCTTGGATTTCCCCACTGCACGTTCCATATCTGCACATCGTCATCCCCTTCTGCGCTTGTGGCCTTCGTCGCGCGAAGAATTTGGGTCAGCCAGGCAGCCGGGTCGGTGAAGAACTGGAATACTCCTTTATATAAACAGAAGGCGCCCGTCGAGTTATCCGCTTGGTACCTCCGGGGCCCAATCTCATCTGGAGAAAAAGATCCAGTGGGGTCCTTTGTAAGGACTGAGAACATGGTTGCATTGTTTTTTATATGGTCTTCGGGGGCCCAGAACGTGGCATTGTATTGCTCCTCGGCGATGTTAGTATACGCAGGTTGTAGGTACTTGGACGCCGCGACTTTGGAAACGGTCGTCCCATTCACAACGCTTATCTTCCTCTCGACCTGGCAGAAAGATAGCGCTGACCATTCCGTTAGATTGACTCGTAGTTCGATTGGTGGCCGATACCAGTCGGTTACATTGTACGAGAAGGTTATTGAACGGTAGACCTCGGGTACCATATCGTACCGAGTATGAGCCATGATTGTGAGGGGTCCTGGGATTCGCACGCCGAATTCATTGGTGATGTTGTTCTCCTCTGGTGGCACCGATGTAATAACCTCCGTTGGAAATCTGGTCCATAAATACGGGGAAGGCCCTTTGTTGGTATAGTTCCTGTTTCGGTAAGCCATCTCGAATCCAGTAGCAACCGAAGTTTCTGACCCGAAAGATGGCAAATATGCGGATTGTGAAGAATTAGGAAACATCGATTTTCCGCCAAACTCGTTGTCCCGAAACGTATCCACAACAACAACCTTGGGTTTTTCCGACCACTTTGTAATATTGAGAGGACTGATCATATGCTTGCAATCCTGGATCATGACCCGATGTTTTCCGGTGTCGTTGTAGTATCTATAAGCTTCATTGAATTCAGACTGGTTGAAAGATATGTCACAGTATCCTGTTGGAGATTCAATGACTCGATTGTCGAGACAGTACTCAATCGTATGGAATGGTTCCCATTCACAGTTTCCGCTAGGACAATGAGCGTGCGATGGAGGCTTGTAAGCCTCGGGGTCAACCCAAATGGCGGCTTGAATGGCGTCTTGAAAGATCTTGGCGCAGTCCATCGACCAAGAGCCATAGGTCTGATATTCGAAATTCCGATAGCAGAAGAACGGAGCGCTTGGCCGAGCTGCCCAAACTTCATCAGACGACACCAGCCTTTGACGTTCCCTAAGACTAACGACCTGTTGCGTGAAGGGATCAACAACAAGCGAAAGGATAACCACGAGTGCTCCTAACGATGTTGGCGACAATGCCGTGCGACGACTGGTCAAAATCTTGACGGCCCCAAGTGGCCCCCTGCTCGCCTGATCCAACGTCTCCATATCCTTAAGCCTCCTCTCTCTCCCATGACTCATCTTGCTCTTGCTGTCATTCATGAATGTTTGTTGTTGTAAGCCATGAGTACCGGTATCGTACCAGTCCCATTTGTCCTGTCCCAAAGCAGCACATATAGTGTACAAGAGGCTGGACTTGGCCACGGTGGAGAGAACGGAAACGACGGCGTTGAGCGAAACATCCCACGGTAGCTTTGGGACCGGGTTATGGTTGTAGACACCAAGCACGACAGGTATGGCAACAGCGCAGGCAAAGGAAACCAAGACGGCCAGGATCTCGGTAAACCAGCCATTAGTGAACCAGTCTTTGAAAGTTTCTGAGACATCCTTGAAAAGCCTATCGCTATCACCACCACCACTCCCGCCGTGACCGCTGATGTTGCGTTGTTTGAGGAGGCAAGAGTCACTGTCGTTGATTTCTGTGACCGCCACCTGGTGGAGGAGTGATCGAGTTGGTTCCTCGGATTCATCCGCTCCCATCGGTTTGAGGTTGATAACCTCTTCAGTGATGTCGATGGGAAAGTATGCTTGCGACGGCGAATCGGAAATATGAGGCGGGTATCGTGACCGCGTGGAGTCGTCAAAGACACGAGTATGAGATTGTGCCATCTTCGAAGTCTTGAATGACGTTAAACAAGGTCTCCAACGCAAGAGCTTAGCGTAGTAGCCAGCCAAAAGTGTAGTAACCGGAGCTCCACCAGAAAGAGTGGTGCCAACCATGGCCAGCGCACTTCCAAGATTCGTTCGCGCACGACGTAACTGCCTGTCGCTCGGTTGTCGCTCGTTGCCAAAGTGAGGTTGTTGAGCGCAGCGGTGATGGAGGTCATGACGGAGCCCAGCCCTCGCTTACTGATGCGATCAGGAACATCAGAGAACTCGATGAAGTGAGTGCTTCCGCCACCATTGTCTCGTTCCCAGTGATCGTAGACAAGACGGTCGTCAGCGTGTTGTCCCGTTGCGTTATATCTTATGGTCCAGCGCAACACAAACGCAATTCTTTGATAGAGTTCGTAGTCCACGATGTACCCGTTGAACAAGCAGAAGGCGCCTGTCGAGGGATCCGCCCTGTAAGGGGATCGATGTAGATCTGAGAGTGGTGGAGGAGGTACGGAAAGCCACGCCATTGATGGGCTACTTAGGTTCACGTTCTCTGGACCCCAACAATCCACGTTCAAGGCTTCCGGGAGTAAAGGGTTTGACTGTTGAAGGCGCGTGGATGTAATGGTTGACGAATGGAGCGTCCCATTCTTGACAGACATCTTTCTCTCAACCTTGCAAAGAGATAGCGCTGACCACTCCGTGATCTCTGGCCGTAGAGTTTCTGGAATCCGAGTGAAAGCCCCTCCCTCGAATGTCTCCAGGGCGAAGCGTGTATGAGCCATCACCAATGTGGGCTTGGTATATGAACATCAGATACATTGTTCACGTCCGCGTTTGCTAACCCGTCAGTTGTTAAGTACGAGTTTGGCAGCCATGTGATAATCTCGGCTGGGAACCTAACGAACAGGTATGGCACCGGAGTTGAGTTGTAATAGGTCAAGTTATAGGGGTCCATCCTGAAGCTACTCTGAACCGCCTTGACTGATCCTATGTTGTTAAACGTGGAGCCCCAGTCACTGCCCCAATACTCAAACCTCTCTGGCTCGGAGTAATTCCAGACACCTGGGAATAAATCGCAAGGCTTAGACCACGCCATACTGGCCTCTCCTTGAGTTCCATTGTAAATGTTATAGCCTTGATCGAAATGTGTCTGATTGAAAGAGATATCGCAGTTTGCGGTCGAAGGCTCGACAATCCCATTATCCACGCAGAATTCAATCGTTTCGAATGGTTCCCATTCGCAATCGCCGGTAGGGCAATGAGCGTCGAATTTGTATACCTCAGGCTCAACCCAGATACCAGCACTGACAGCGTCAGAAAACCTGGATTTACACTCGTTTGGCTCGACGCCGTACCACGATGGGCAAAAATAGGGAACAGTTGCTTTAGGTGTCCACACTTCCTCGGACGGCACCAGGACCTGCCTTTCGGCCCAGCCCACGACCTGTTGAGTGAAAGGGTCGACAAGAAGACAGAGAATGACGACAAGTGCGCCTACAGAGGTCGGCGACAGGGCTGTATGTCGGCTGAGCAGAACCTTGGCGGCGCCGAGTGGTCCTCTACTGGCTTGGTCGAATGTCTCCATCTCGTTGAGCCTCTTGGACTTTTGAGCGTGGCAGTACCAGTCCCATTTGGCCTGTCCAAGAGCGGCAGAAATGGCGTACAACAGACTGGACTTTGCGACGGTAGAGAGGACGGCAATGACTGCATTAATCGATATGGCCCCAGTGAATTGCGGGATGGGGCGGTGATTATAGATGCCGAGAACAACGGGTATCGTAGCGGCAACTCCTGCAGACACTATGATGGTCACAATCTCAGAGACCCAGCCGCCAAGGGGCCACCGCTCAGTCCTTCCTGGTTGACCAGTAGTGATTTCCTGGGCAGAGCATTCGCCCTTGCTGCCAACCCCCACCTCGTAATTGAGCGAGTCGGCTTGTTCAGACTCTTCTTTGGCCGTTTTGCAATGAAGAGAGTCAGTACTGTTGCCCAGAGTTGGATGTGAAGCAACAGTCCTAGCTTTCCGTGGCCTCTTGAAGTCACCCTGAAGAGAAGGTAGAGATTGTGGCATTGTGGCGATATGAGACTCTTGATTTGGTGTACAACACGCCCCTGTGAGGATCTCAAGGTAACTGATCCGTGTTGCTGACAAAACGAAGTGTTCAGAAAAGATCTGGCTTGGGGGTTTGAATAGGCCTGGGTATGAGGTGTGAAAGCTTGACTGTTATATATTTCGGGATCGTCTTTGTTCGGAGGTGGATATTCTCTTGATCCAGCGTAACGTCCAGTCTCTTGATGTCAGAAACACTGCCGTTCAAGCCCAGAATGCCGACGTATGTGTTTGCCCCTAAGAAGTCGCACCATGCAAGCTTCCACAGGCATCCTCGTGATACCAGGCGTTCACAGCGGATGTTTGTCGTACACCAAGTCGGTTGGTGTTTATATCGAGGAGGTTGGAGATTCCCATGCGGGAAGGTGGTCATGGCTGTTCACGTTGACACTCTTCCACTACGTTTCTCAGACGCCGGTGGCCATGTTAACTGTTCGCTAGCAACCTTGAGCCTCTGATGAGAACATCCTAGAGTGTGTTGTCAGTCTAATCTGACTCAACTACCGTGTAATGCAATTACTTACATGTGCTCTTCTTCGTCTCTGCCAAGAGCCGCATCTCTCCACCTCAACTGTTCACGACATGCTTCAAGATGTCTTTGATTTACGGCACAGCGCATCTCCTGTAACTCTTGATGCGGCCGTCCTTTGGCTGATGGAGTACGTGTCTGATCTTGGATAGAAAACAAGAAGGCAAGAGTCCAAGAACCTAAGTATGACTTTGAGGCTGTTCGCCATGACCTAAACGCCTCCCTCGTATGTCCCACAGTGACGTTGATCCGTGAAAAACAACGGCCTCTTCGGGCGTAGTATCGTATCTCCGTTTTTTCGAATTGGTCGCTCACCCACAGAAATCACTTCGTACGCATACACATGGTGTAGACGAAGTCATCGTTGTGATGTGAGCCATGGGTGGCTCCGTCCTCCCATGAGATAAAATCCGATAGCCAGGATATATGAGGCCTTGAAGAAAGCATATTAACGGACGGTTAAGGTTAAGGCAATGGATAAACCGGAGGCAGAGAACAAGACGTTTTGGCGGAAGATGCTGGCGGAAGATGGCTGGCGGTCATTGACCGGAGAGATTTGAAGCGCGCGCCGAGTAACAACGGATGCGAACGGGTTGACCCAGACCCGACTCTCAGAGTGACCAGTGTCGATTGGGGTGAAAATAATTTTCCCCGTCAAAAGACCAAAGGGCAAGAGCTGCTCGCCATGCCCACGGCCACTGCCTCGATGAGTGGATGTTGAGCAGTCACGTAGGCCAGTCAGACTGGGAAGGAGCAGTCAAACAAACGACTGCTGGCCCGGGGGTGAGTGGGTTGTGGTAGGATGTCACTCGCAATTGCAGAAGAATGACCACAGGATGCCATCGTTGTCCGCAACTTCCCCGTGGTAAGGCAATGAGCATTGCAAAATGGATATTGGCGGATTGAAGTAATCGTCAGCAATCCGGAGTGAGAAGAGCCACGATGCTATCTTCTATTTCGGGGTTCCGGGGCCGTTGAGGTTCCTGGGAGAGTGGAGGCGCTGCGGACCGGACGATGTGGTGCCCGGGCCCCCGGAAGCTCAGCGCAAGGGGGGCTCCAGTTGCTGTGGCGCGGAAGCTGACTTGTTTCGTCGGAGCAATCCTATAACAAGAACCTCGAATCTGTTAGTGCGCAGCTTCAACAAGTCAGGGTTGTGCTCTAATTTAAATTGTAAATCGGGAATTAAACTCTCAAAAAAGCCCTCAAGAGCCAAAGCTAACTCTCCCACTTGAGCCAGAGTTTACTAGACTTTATCAGAAAGCTGGAAGACATTCCTGAGCTTCATAATGGCGGGCTATAACAGCAATCGCAGGAGCCGTACTAACAGGCCAATCAGCTCAGGGTTCTTGGCAGTGGACATCGCGGGCTAGATCCGGCCACCTTCAATCATGGCTGTGGTAGCTTTGGATGAGTTGATTGACAGGTACCTTCCCTGAGCGTCAATCGCATCTGACATTCGCATACGTTTTAACTTTAGACAACATCTTGGAACACATACCATACGACAAACTTTCGAGACTTGCCTCTCCACGATACTGGGCGCAAACATCGATTAGTGTCGTCATCACAAAGAGGAAGCCATTCCCAAGGCGACGGCCAATTGGGCTTAACCACTCGATCTCAAACAACTATACCCAAGCGCAGCGCGACCAAACAAGCGGATGACATCGCGAAGCTGAACACGCCTACATATCGCTCTCCGTCACCAAAGCAGAATCGTACAGGTGGTTACTCGCAAAGCAGTTCGAGAAACTCGACAACGATTCCGCCAACGCATCACCACAATAACTCAGACATAGCCCATTCCCACGAGTAGCCCACCATGGCGCAAGTAATTTCAGATCTTATAGACTGGCTGGGCAATTGCATGGTCTGCTTTCCCGGCTCGCCCACGCTCAAGATCAACAATAGGAGTTTCAAGATCTTGCGCTTACTAGGCGAAGTATACCTCTCCCATCTCTTCCCATCTCTGTTGCTTTTCCCTTGCTTCGAGCTGTATTAACAACTTGTCTCATCCAGGGCGGCTTCTCCTACGTCTACCTCGTCCAAGACACATTCACAAACGACCTGCTCGCCCTCAAAAAGATCCGATGCCCGTTCGGTCAAGAATCCGTCGCCCAAGCTATGCACGAAGTAGAAGCCTACAAGCTCTTTGGCAACACGCCGGGAATCATCCACCATGTCGACTACAGCATCGCCACGGAACGCGGCAGCGAAGGGCAGGACAAGACCGTCTACGTCCTGTTGCCGTACTACAGACGCGGCAACTTGCAGGATATGATCAATGCGAACTTGGTGAACCACACACGCTTCCCGGAGAAGAAGCTCATGATGCTTTTCCTGGGGGTGTGCAAGGCGTTAAGAGGGATGCATAAGTACAAAGGTGGCGGAGGGGACACAAGCGGGGAGGCAATGGAAGTGCCGGGAGCAGGGAAAAGGAAATCAAAGACGAGGCAGACGGCAGTGGGAGGTGCGGATGAGGATGATGAGACGGAGCAGCAAGTTCCGCTGATCGAGGAAGAGGGGCGCTTGCCTGGCGCGAACGAGACGAGGAGTTATGCGCATAGGGATATCAAGCCCGGTACGCTTTCAGCACCACCTTTTTCATCCGTCCATATCATCACTGACTCCTTTTTACAGGCAACATCATGATCTCCGACTCCGGCCGCGACCCAATCCTGATGGACCTCGGCTCCATCGCCGTCTCTCCCCTCCCTATCACATCCCGTTCCCTCGCCATAGCCACCCAGGACACAGCAGCCGAACACTCCACCATGCCTTACCGTGCTCCCGAACTCTTCGATGTCAAGACCGGGACCGTTATCGACACCAAGGTGGACATCTGGTCGCTCGGCTGCACCCTCTACGCCTGTCTGGTCGGCAAGTCGCCCTTTGAGATGCGCAGTGACGAGACCGGTGGCAGCTTGAGCATCTGTGTGCTGAGCGGTGACTGGAGGTTCCCTGACGAGGGGCCTGGGCAGACCAAGGGCAAGGGTAAGGCGGGCGCGGGAGGTGGTGCAGGTGGTGATAATACGGCAACCAACAAGGACGACGAGAACTATATCAGCGAGCCGATAAGGGATGTGGTGAGGAGGTGCTTGAGGGTTGAACCCGCAGAGAGACCGGATATTGATGAGCTGATCGAGCTGGTAGAGAGGGTAGTGGAGGAGTTGCCTGAAGATACCGCTTAGAGGACAGTCAAAGAGAACAGGGGAAACCGGGAGAGAAAGTCGACAAAGTACAGAGATGTTATGCTTGGCTTTGGCGGGTTATACAACGGCGTTTTGGGTTGGGTTATTTTGGGTCAAGTCGAACATATACGCCTCGAGGGGGCAATTGTTTCTTGTACGATATACCATTCCCATTGATTACATTGCCTTCTGCCTCTTTCTGTTCACTGCTTGCCATGTACATGTATGCATTCTTCGTCTGCTCCTTTTCCACTGGCAACTTGATTTCACTTAGTGCAGGCAAATAGTCCATGAAAATACGTCAAGTTCAAAGCTGTGTCAAATTCAAATTTGCCAACCCACCCAAGAAAAGATGCCAAGTGCTAAATAATGCCAAAAAAAAAAAAAAAAAAAAAATTTTAATTTAAATATTACAACAGAGGACGATAAGAGAGGTTGAATCAAAGCGCTGAACAAAACAGTATCAAAAAGTCCATTCCCATGAAAACAAAATAATCCCAATAACACCTCAACGATATATGCAAAACCGCAATCGAAAGCAACGGAATCCAACTACACCACTACCACAAAGGGTATCCTATCATGATGTGTCCGCATCTGCAATATAATAATCGTACACGTAACAACGTAAAAATCAAGGCTATGCCGCTCCATCAATGAGACAAAAATATCAACTGGAGGTAGAGTGTCGAGCACAAATAGAGTATGTATGGGTGAAATGTTGAAGAGAGATTTGAAGTTCATGCGCATGCTGGATGCGCGCGCGCGAAGTGAAGATACTTTCGATGAAAACTGAAAGACGAACTGGTCGTCCTTTCTGATGTGATAAAACGTATGATAACGTGAGATTCTTCGTATTGTGGCCCTGGGATAAAAGCGGTACATAGAAGGCTAGAGGTGGTGGGTATGTGCGAGAAAGGTGTACTCGGCAGGTTGAGGTAGGTAGAGGGTGAGTAGGTAGGTGATACGGTTTCGTCTCATTCCTTAGTCATGTGTGTTGTATCTGTTTGTTGCCAGTCCGGGAGTCCGCACAGCGACTCACTCACTGACTACTGACTGAATCGATTCGTGATACCCGATTCGGCCGAGTGAGTCGTCTTTGAGTTCCGTGACCGAGAAGTGTAACATGCGTGACGTCAAAAGACCCTGACCAGGCAGGAACGATCTTGCTGCTGGTGAACTTCCTTCTTCGTTCATGCCGGACAGACAATATTTCCGCCCGCACCTTCCCCGTTGACACAAGAAACAGACGTGGCGGGACAATTGCAGTGAGGGAAGGCAAGAATGGAGATTCACCCCCGCTCAATCAGATCCTCTTGCCCATCGTCAACTGACTCAAACTCAACGTCCGAGCCGCCGGCTGGGGCTTCTTCTGCTTCTTCTCCGCCCTGGCATCAGACGAGTCCCCGCCAGACTCCGCCTCATCACCACCACTCTCAACCTCAATCATATCAGGGCTGAAAGCCCCATAAGTGTAAACCGGCGTCGGCGTCATCGGCGTTTGGAACTCTTCTCTCGGCGTCTGGAAGTCTTCCGCCTCGTCGTCTTCCTGACCACGACCGCCGCCGCTACCTCTAGAGGTAGGTTTCGCGACCAAAGCCAACTTCGCTCTAGAAACGACTCCAACACTGTGATGTCCGTGTCTCACAGCTGGACCAACATTGTCGTCGATATCCTCCTCCTCGATATCCTCCTCCTCGTCGTCGTCATCGTCTCCCTGCCCATGATGATGGTGATCGTCGTCATCATTATCATACTCGAAAACACTCGGGATGTGCGATGGTGGATGTCCTCTGCCTCTTCCTCCTCCACTTATAGCCGACCGGGGACTGGAAGGATCAGGTGCCCCCCACGACCCGCTATCCCTCACCAAAGCATACATGGTACTCGACAGTGCGTTCAAGCGGTCCGACAACTTCTTCACCTGTCCCTCGAGCGCTTGGCGGGCCTGCCGCTCCGCTTCTAGCTGGCCGAGGAGGGCGTGGTACTGGTTGTAGTAGGTCGGGTTGTGGGCGTTGGTGGAGGAGTACTCGCTGATGGAGGCCGTCGTGGTGTTTTCGTGCAAGGAAGGCATGCTGGCGACGCCGCGGACGGTGGAGTTGGAAGTTGGCCGGTCCCGGTCTGTGTCGTTGGGGTGCTCTGGGTGAGGTGGAAGGCTGAGCGTCGCTGCTGTGGTGGGCGTGGTAGCGGTGGTCAAGGATTGTGCCTGGGTGGCTGATGAAGAGGGCGGGTGGAGAGAGTCGATGAAGGTCTGGGCTTCGCCGAACGATATCTGCGAGTGTGTGTCTGAATCCATCGACTGTCGCTCGCTGCTGGCGCGCGGGGAGCGGCTGATGTCGGACCGGGAATGAGCTGGTTGCTGTCCTTGACGAGGTGAGACGGGGGAAATCGGAGGGGGCGGCGGCGAGGCAGCCGTGTATGTGAAGGAAGGCCGGCCGTCAGAGACGGTTCTGATGGTCCCCGGTCCTCCAGTACCTCTTCCTCCTCCGACCGCCGAGATATCGCTCAGCGGGCCCCTGAACCCGGGAACTACGTGACAAAGCTGGTCGACAACCCGCTCCAACTTTCCGGTCCGCGTCTCGAGGGTCCCGATACGGGTGTCGATGCTTGCCGCTTGAGTGATCTTCATTCCCACCATCTGCTTCGATATCGATCCAAAGTTGAACGGCTGCGGAGGCGTATCCGGTGGTCCCTCGACTGCGGGGCTTGCGGGAACGCTGAGATCTGCTACACCGTCGTTGTCAATATCGGCATTGACGTGCGCATCCGATGATAATGTCGAGAGCAATCCCGCATTGTAGGACTCACGCCAGTATCGAATTTCGTCGCTGCGGCGGCGCTCCGGCGCCCGACCAATTCCCGTACCCAAGATATCCGGCAATCCAGAAAGGCTCCGTGATCGGCGTCGCATACCGCTATCGCTGGTGATGGCGCGCCCAATTTCACTTGGGTCGTCATGCTCGCCGCGTGATACCCCAGCAAACAGTCGGCTTCCGCGCCCATGGCTACTGGTAGGCCGTGGTGATAGACCGGCACCTGGTTCGGCTTCAGGAAAGCGCGGCACAAACAGGAACCGGCGCTCATTCGCATTTGCCGCTGCAGCACGTCGCCGTGCAATAGATCCCGAGTTTCCGCCAATATCGGCCTGCAACGAGTTCCGAGCACTTTCGATAGCCCGGATGTCGTCTGGCCCGATGGAATGCGAACGAAGTGGCCTGTCAAGCTCACTGATGGGAAGCGAGGCAGATCGCTTGGGCGACATTTCCGTCGTCCGATGAAGCGCACTTGGGTCCTGTTTAACAGCCTGTCAGTACCACTTGAAGTCACGAAAAGATTGATGACACTAACACTCTTGTGCTGAGAAGACTCCATAAGGACAGACTCGCGTCCCGAATTAGGAGGACTCCTCTGCTCTCCAGCCACCAATCCATTCTTCTTCTTTCCTCGTCCAAATAATTTACCCAGTGCCGAGCGCAGCGTGGACTGCTTCCTTTGTGGTTGCCCCTTGCTGTTATTCGTCTGCCCACTCGGAGTATCGCTGATGGTCGAATATCGCAGGACAGTGCTCTGAGGGGGGTTCGTGATCCGTCCCGTTGTCGGTGTCGTCCTAACCCTCACCGGCGTCGTTCTCAGTGGCGATGACGTCTGTGGTGGGGAGGTTCTCTGCGGCGTCCGTTGTCTTTCAGTAGATGAAGATGCAGCACCCGCAGAGTTAGGTGGCAACAGTGGTGGAGGGTCTGATGGCGCTTTTGGTCTTTGGAAGACCGGTTGGGAAACTCCATCTCCGCCCATGTTCTCCCCTGGAACCTCGGCAGTTGCTGAGTTGATTCCCTGCCTCGAACCTTGGCTTCTCTCTCTGTCGCTGTCGCTACTATCATCATGATGCCTATTATCGAAGAGCTGTTCCTTCAGCGCTCCTCCTTCGGCCGCCTCAACTGCTGCTGGTGCTGATGCTGTTGGGCTTGCAATTCCACCAGTCCCTGGTCTCTGGACACCACTAAACTTGTCTTCGGCTTTTGTGGACCTGATTGCGCCCAAAGATCGAACGGGGAATTCGTTGTCGTCGTCTAGGGCGTTCGGTATTGGTATCGGTCCCGATATCGTCCCTCGGATGGACTTGCTGCCAGCCTTAACTCGGCCAGCGTTTGAGCCCGACTTCCATATGCTCGGCATCTCGTCTGCGCCGCTTTACTTTACAACACCTTTGGTTTGCGAATGACCTCGGAAGGAAAGTGATGTTGGCGCTGTCGAGAAGGCGGAAGAATCGGATTGGTAATGTTGGTATATGGGCTATCGGAGTCCCTCCCGAGCCATCTGGTACCAGCCAAGTGTAACCGAAACGCAATACTGAGTCGTATATCTTCCACTCTTGGTGTTGCGCCTGCTTGGATAATCCCGGGGAACACCTAGTTTCGCCCTTCTTTTACCACGTTTCACCGTTGAGCCTTCCACATGGCCAGCAATGCGGCTCCTTCTTCCTCCTTCTGAACCCCTAGTGGTCGACTAGGTTGGGGGTAGCTATCGGTAGGTTGTCGGGGATTCGATGAGGGGGATGTCTTGGGCAGTTCGAGCCGTGCGCCGGGGTCCTGCAAATCGGAGGTCGGACCCGAGTAGGCAGTACAGAAGGTGTGCTGCTCACTGCTTTGCCGCTCGAGCTCTCTCTGGTGGCTGCGGGGGAGCAGACCACTACTTGGTGTTTGTACTCCTGTGCAGGCTGACAGCCTGTTGCTGGATGAGGAGGGGGGGTCGAGTATCTGGGTAGGTCCTGGTCGTGTAGGTTTGACACTTTTGGAGTTGACAACGGCTGGTATGTGGCGACAAGACTTGATATTCTCGCGGCTTACACTCAGCTCTATGGCAACACAAGGAATTAAGTGGACAGCAGCAGGTTACAGAGCAAGCTGGCCCACTGCATCACATATCAGAACACTGGTTGGTTAGACACGGAAACCGAATCAACGAAAGGAACGAAGCTGCAAGAGCAACGACGAAACAGAGAAAAAAAGATAAACAGCTCGCGCAAGCGGAGTCCGCGAGACATGCAAGCAGAGCGCCAATGGCATGTATTAATGGTTGAAGGCGTCCCCTCTCCTCACCCACCAAAGCCTGGCCGGCTCTGCTGCAACCACGGGCAAGGATAGGCCGGATGCAACGGTGATGGAGAGGAGAGAAACTCTGGTGAAGGGGGAATGTCCACAGGGTCCCCATAGGGGAATGGAACGGTAGGGGAAATGTCATGGGTTGCCCACTGATGCGTGGTCCAGGGCTGTTGTACAGTGGAGTTTAGGGGAGCCATGAGACCGTCACGACCGTGAAGGTTCACCAGCTTGTTGACAACCTGACTCCTTTTTTCGCTTCTTTTTCGCCCTTTTCCAACCTCAACCCTCTCTCTCTCCTTGGGGTCCTTGGCCGTTTGGAGACCCTGCAGCCATGTCTTAAGTTTTTGGGCCGCCTCACATGTCTGTCTTTAAGGGGTTATTGGTACACCGTAAAAGTTGTGGTGTTCGTTTAAAGAACTTCCCGTCTCTTATACTCCTTCGCTAAAGTGTATCGGTGTAAGGATAGGCAGCTGGGCCAGCAACTCTCCAGTTTCTTGTTTTTCTCTCTCAGCTTGTCGATAAACACCATCGATCGCGACGGCCATCGTTAGGTCTTCTTTGGCCAAGTCTCAAACCGCCCATCAATTTTTTTCAAGATGCAGAAACGCCGACGCTAGATGGTAGTTACATACAGCCTGCCTGCGTAGTAGTACTACCGGTATCATCTCTGCAGCTAACGCTACTAGAGGCGCAGGCCGCATGACTTTTCGCCATGTCTTGGAGGGCAACCACCACGGCGCCCGCTCGACTCGGCAACCATTTCAAGGATGTGGGAATACCCGTCTCCTGTTGGCAAAACAGCCGCCGACGCCGCCGATGCGCGCGGGGTCGTGCAGCCGGGACTGCATTTACAATCCTCAAAGGATTGTTGTGTTTGGCGCACCTCATGTGCAAACCCTTGAGGTTGTGAATGGTGGTGATGAGAGCTGCGAAGCTGCAAGAGCTGTGAAGATCCTCCATGCTGTCAGCGTCCGTGCCGCGCTCTGACATTGTTTATGCCTTGTGCCGTCTGGCACTGGTGGTTTGAACCCATAGAGCCGGAACCAGTCCAACACCGAGGACCAGCATTGTTCTCCTACCTACGTCGACTAGGTATGTTGATCTTTTTATGCGCACCGTGAGAAAATCAGGAGCTTGTCCTTGGCTGCGTTTTCTGTGGTGGTAGTGGTGCTGGGTGGTGATAATGGTGTGGTCGCCGTCGTCGGCGGCCGGATGGACTCGTAGCCGACGTAGCGACGTTAAAACTACCGCCTAGAGTCTTCATGCTGCAACTCCTCACTTTCAGCCGTCAAGGTACAACATCAACGAACAACCTACGGATTCAGGTCGCCGTCTAGCGGGTCCCTCTTCTGAATGGCGTTTTTCAGGGTGTCGATTCGAGAGTCTCGAACTGACTCGTCTACAGTCAGCGCTCCTATCGAGATCTACCCAGGACCTGGATAGGCGATGAGCAACCATCGATCGCTTACCCAACTCTGTTTAGTCTAGTGTCTAGTCTTTTTCTCGCTTGAAGAAGAAGAGATCGCGAAGTAAGGTATTGGAAAAACTCCGAGCGCATCCAGGGCATCCAAGTCGAACGAACAAGCGATCAACAAGCAGTTGGTAAGCAAATCCTTGTCCCTTGTTTACTTGTTTTAGGGGCGATCCGGCCCTGCTGGACCGTACGGAAACCCAGCCGAACAGAACCGAACCGGGATACGGCGAGACGGGAGGAATGATTGATGGTGACGGACGCAAGTGCGCAAGTAGGGAACTGTTGTTGCTGTCGTTTTGGTCGTTCGACTTGTCTGTCGTATGTTCGTCTGTTCGTCTGTTCGTCTCGGCTGTCATGTGTCGTCACCACGGCTGGTTTTCCCCTTTACCTTTTGGATGACAGAAACCCTGATCAACCTCCGCCGATCGAGTGCTGTTAGTCTGCAAGATTAGGATCTCGCTCGGCTGCTGAAGAAGAGTGGGACTCACGATTGTTTAGTTTTGTTTTCTTTGGACGAGGGGATGTCGAACTTGCCATTTTCGTCGCTTGCTTGTGATTTTGTGAAGAATCTCTGGACAGTGCAGGACACTAACAGTGGGGTATGTAAGAGCTGACTCCACTATGAGGTAGCTGTACGCAGTACAGGCGGACTAGCGCAACTCCCCCCCGTAGGTGACCCCCGTGATCCCGTCTAGGCATGTGGTTCTGTAGGTCATTGAAGCCATTCGGAGTCCGACGTGGGATATCACCGATACATACCGAGAGCGCGCGAGCGTGTCCGAAGAGACGGGAGTGTTGAGATGACGAGAAGCTCTGAAATGGCGTTCATAATACTTACTATGACATGATATGATATGGTCGAGGTTCGACGACTATGATTTTCCCGTGCTACAGTAGCTTACAGTAAGTTCCTAATAGTATCTAAGATCTTGTCTCCTACTTCACTAAAAGGATCCGATCAGAGTCGTGTTCCACGGAAAGTTTTCCATGTTTTTTTCATGGCGACATGGATATTGTCTCGAGAGAACATTTCCATCTTGGCTGAGGAGCTGAAAGGTCCGTGCGATATCTACCTCATCCTGGAAAGACATTGATGATTGAAGACTACTATCGATGTCAGACATGTCCAAATCGAGTTAGAAGCCATCATCCATCTCGCTTTCGCTCTCTCTGACAATGGACAATTGACATTTCGCATTGCGAAACAACACTGCCTTCCTCCGTCAGGTCCCCATCCCCGAGCTCGGTGTTTTCGTGCGCGGGCGTTCCCTCTTTCGACACTCGACACTGCAAAGACAGTGCAATGCATATGCAAGCCCAAGTTGTGGGCGAATTGCTTTTGTGATTCGCTTGCGAGGGATGGGAGTCCCTGAGCCCTGACGAGAGAAGATGAGCCTCTTTGAGCCTCCATGGCGTCCCGGTGCCTCTCCGGTGCTTCTGAGAGGACGGATTCAACTGGATGAGAACGCGCAACTAGGGCGCAACTATAGAGGTGGTGCATGCATGCTGCATCACAACAACAACCTCTCGCAATGGTAATGGCAACGGCTGAGACGACGACGGCAGCAGAAGAGTGGCGTGAGGAGCCAATAGATGGTCAACGGCAGGATAATAGAGCGCGGCTATCTAGCATCGGATGACACTCCATGGCTTCATAGTGGTTGACCATCGATATCGATGTCTCGAGAGGGAGGGAGGACCTTTTCTTTTCTTTTGCTTTTTGGGGGAGCATGGCGTTCTGGAAGAGTGTACAGTAGGTATCAGGCCATCCATCATCTGTCTTTCATTTTCCCCCTTCGGACACGGAAAGTCTGTGAAGATGAAGCGAGATGTGACGAGGCAGGTGCCGTGTATGTGATTGATCTCTCGATAAGTACATGGGTAGTCTGATAGTGTAGGCGCACGGGCATTCGATTTGCAGACAAGTTGGTAAAAGTAAAGTGAAAGGGTCGTCGCAAAGACATGAGCAGGGCAGAAAGGCTGCATGGGGAGAATCGTGGAAGCGGAGAATACGAGGTTGGTGATACTGTTGGACGAGAAGTTGGATGCTACCGTGCTCATGAATCAAGTCGAGTGCGACAGATCACAACAAGCTAACTCCACCCAAAGGGACCATCGGCATCACGGGGACCTCCAGGACCTCTATCTGAATGGAAGGGAAAAGGCTTGGAAAAACCTCCGGTGGTATATACTAATCTTACCAAGCCCCTCGTGCAAAGGTAGGACAGCTCGGTCGAGATTGGTGCAGTTTTGTTCTTGTCAAGTTGCACTGCTGATGCTGTATATAACCTCTACCTACCTTGCCTTCCAATGGAACATTGGAGGAGCTCACGAGGTACTGAAACAAGAGGGGGCAAGGCCAAGGATTTCTTCGGAGGTCATTCAGCAAGGTTCAGTTCAGGTTGTTCGACGAAACCGGGAATGGGTAACACCCCGCCGCCGCAGCACGTGGTCGTCGTCGTCGTCGTCGTCGTCGTTGTTGCAGTGTCTTCGAAAGATATCCCTATCGCGATTCCTACTCTGCACGGATGGACTTCACGGAGTAGGTAGTAAGGTACTCACTGTTCTGGATGCACAATTGTGGTACAAAGCTAAAACACGGCGGACGATTGAATGCACCTGAATCTCATTTTGGTCAGTCCAGATATATGGCACTTTGATACCCATTTACTGGCACCTGAAGATGCCTAAAAAGAGGGGACGTCCCCGCTTTTGGTCAGTGGTCACTGCGCTTCGACAGGGGTCCAAAGTGCAGTGTGAGAGTGTGTGGGGCCATCAAAGGCTTCCCGCGAAAAGAGAACTGCCCGCAATTGCCCCACACCCTTCAACCTGAAACAAGAAAGAGCCAGAGGGCTTCCTATTCGCTCCTTGCACTTCCAACATCCATCTCTGGACTTCTCACTTCGTTCTTTCTCATGCTTCTTCTCACCTTGCACAGCATGGAAAACTGGAGTGCACAACTCGAATTCGATTGACAGAAAACGATTCATCAGAGACATCGCAAGAAAGCCACTGAGCTTCCACCATTCCCCTTTCTGGCTTCTTTGTGGTTCACAGTTCGGGGCGAGGCACTGCCCCCCCCCCCCCCCCCCCCGTCCAGTTTCAAAGACCTCAACCGAGTAACCTCAACTCATCAACCTCACATTCTTCTGACTCTGCACAAGCACAACATATACTCTATAAAGAACAAATAGGAATGCCAGGCACAACACAGATAGTAATGGAGCACAGACCGAGGCAGAGCCGGTAGGGGAATATCCCCGAGTGGACAAAGTGTGCAAATTAAACTGAGGTGTCCAAAAAGAGCCTCCTGCCTTTGCCTCCTTTGCCTCCCAATACGAGGCATGCCGTGAGCGCACTCGCTTACTCGCTTCGTACATAGTATGCCTAGATTCCGTAACCCTTTTTCGCTTATGTCACGTATACTATAATAGTATCACTATACTGCCCAGGTACAGGGTACAGGTAACTGTTCAGGCACGCAGACATACGTTTCCGTCAAGCTTTTGTCGGCCCGCTCTTCTAGAAAGATTCTTACTCGTCTCCTTTCCTTTTTCAAGCCCTGTCCGTGAGATCCGTACCTGGTGCCTGACCTGAAATTCATCTCTCGGGCTGGCTCCGTCCCTTGCTTACGTTGTGTCATCATCATATCATGACTCCAACGCCAAGCTCGAAACGTCTGGATACCTCAAGTCGGCATTCTCCTCCAGAAACTCCATCCACCTCTTGAGAAATGCGCTACCCCTGTCGTTGCGAAGAGTCAAGTCAGTCATCAAGCCTAAGTAGAGGGTGATGTATGTAGTACAAGTTCTTGATGTCCTGTCATTTTTACTTACTTCTTGACCGTCTCCGAGTCTCCAATAACCGTCAACGACCGCTTCGGCCGTGTCATGGCAACATTCAGCCGTCGTTTCTCGCCCAAGAAACCGACTTCGCCTTCGTCGTTGCTGCGGACAAGGCTGACGATGACTGCCTCCTTCTCTCTGCCTTGGAATCCATCTACACTGCCGAGTTCGATGCCGGGAAACTCATCCTTTAGGGGTGCCAGGATGGAAAGCTGTGAATCACACAACCACAAAAGAAGAGTTGGTCAGTCAGTCAATGCCGTGTAATGCGTTTTTTATGCCGTGGCCTGGGCGCACACAACACGTTGTTTCATGCAAAGCATACGAGGCTGCCGTGGTAGGCTTGCTTTTCTCTTCCAAAAAGAAAGAAGACCAAGGAGAGAAGAAGGGGAACAGGCAGAAAGAACCAAGGGAAACGTTCGTTCGAACATACCTGAGCATTATACGGCGTCACAACCGCAATATCCTCTGGTCTAACTCCCGCCTCGATCAGGCCACGCACATGCTGTCTCACCAACGCCGCCTCCATCTCATTGCTCTTACTCTCGCCGTGAAGACTCCTGATGACCTTCTTTTTGTCTGTCGACCCATTGCTGTCCAGCTCTTCCTCGTTCTTCTCCGGGAAGTCGCCGCCCTGCGTATCAATGAAAATCAGCGGCTCGGTGGTGTCGTCATTAGCCTCCACGCCCTCGTACGACAAGTCCTTGAGCAAGCGCTCCCTGACATGCTCGGCCGCCACCAGTTTAGACTCGTAAAGCTCGTCTGACGGAAACCGCATGATCTTCTCGTGCATGCGGTACTGCGTGGTAAGCATCCTCTTGATCTCAGGGCCATGCAGGGCCAGTAGTCTGTCAAACAGCGTCGTTTCCAGCGTCTGGCCCTCTTTCTTCTCCTTTGTAGTAGTGGCAGCCTTGGAGTTCAACGACTTGATCGTCGGCGGCAGCTGCAAGTGATCACCCGCCAACACCGCCTTCTTCGCCCACAGCAGCGGCACCCAACACTGCGCTTCCAGCGCTTGGCTGGCCTCGTCGATGATCACCACGTCAAACTCCTCGTTCTTGAGCTGGTATCCCCCCGCACCGTGCAGTGTCGCCAGCACGACTTTGCTCCTGCCTACCAGGTCACTGACGCACCGCCGCTCCCGCTCGCGGTACTCCTTGCGCAGCTCCTTCAGCTCCGTGTATATGGCGCGGCGCTCGCGCCCGTTGCGCGTCTTGCGGATCGAGGCTTGCTTGGCGTCCATCTCGGCTCGCACGTCTTTGACGATGGCGCCGGCGTCCGAGGTCGTGGTGAGGACGTCGAGCGAGTGCGAGAGGACGGAGGGGAGGAGGCGGGCTGGGTGGCCGAGGCGGAGGATGGGTAGTTTGTGTGGTGAGAGACGCTCGACGATGTTGTCGACAGAGATGTTGGAGGGGCCGCAGACTAGGATGCGGAGGTCGCGGTGGAGGAGTTGGAGGATTAGTTCGATTAGGGTGTGGGTTTTGCCGGTCTGTTGTCGTGAGTTAGTCAAACATGAAGTTGAATAAGGGGGGAACGTGTAAACGTACGCCTGGAGGACCATGGATGAGAGCTATCTCTCTCGAGGCCAAAGCAAACCTAATAGCATCCTTTTGAGAGTCGTTCAGCGTAGGATCTACCCATTCAATGTTGCCGACCTCCGGATCACTAGTTAGATCCGCCGGGACGGGTGAGGGTGATGACTGTCCAAAGAGGACCCTAATGAACATGGAGTGTTCCGACTCGCTCATCTTCTGGAGCTTCTCCATGGTCCCGTTCATCCTGTAATTCTCGTGTCAGCTGATACTTGCTTGTATCATCAAGTCCCCGTCGCACAGCTTCTCCCCCCTTTTTCTCATCCACCAACCCTACTAACCCTACTAGCCCTCCTTAATCTCAGCTCACCCACATCAATCATCAAAAACTCACCTCCGATAAGTAACATCATCAGCCAACTTAACCATCCAGACCCTCCCACTCCCCCCCAACCCCCCCGTCCCAACCACGTTCTCCTCCCCCTTATCCTCATCCAGCGCCACGCCCACCACCCCCCTCCCCACCCTCGTCACCACGCCCTTCGCCCCCTTCTTCTCCAACTCTCTGACCTCTCTCTTCTTCGCGCTGCCAGCCGGCTGCTCAGACACTAACACGATATCGCCCGTCCGGATTCCATGTTCTGGTAGTTCCGGTCCATCATACCCTCCCTTTTGATGAGAAGTACTAGTGGAAGCGGTAACAGTAGCAGAATCGGGACCGAGCTCCAACACGGTCTTGCCGCCGTAGCCGGTCCGCTGGGCGTTGACGACCAGATTGGTCAGGGCCAGACCGGCGCGCTGCAGGGCGGTGGGCGTGTGCAGCCCGATGAGCTCGGAGGTCTCGGCGATTTCGGCGACGAGCTCGGAGGAGAGGAGGGTGAGCTGGGTGGAGGCGAAGGAGGGGATGTCGATTGGTTTTGAGGAGGGCATGTTGATGGGTAGATGGATGGGAGACAAGAGTGGTGATGAAATCCGGACACACGGGGCGGAGGGCGGAGGTTGAAGGGGTGTTCGGAGCGGAGCGGGGCCGGGAGTGTGGAAATGACGAACGGCCGCGCCACGGTTTTAGTTGAGGTGATGCTGTGTATCGCTTGGCGGGGGCGTAATCTACGAATGTGCTCTGGTGCGCTGATCTTTCAAAAGAACGAAAAGTCAATGGTTCTGGTTGCGGTTTGGTTGAGTTGAATCAAAGGTAATGTGAGCATTGCAGTGATTTGTTCTGTTGAGGTATCGTTCATTCCTTGTTAAGGATTTTGGTGGAGTTGCTCCAGAATCGTTAACAATTGAACGAAACGATGCATGCATATGACTTTTTTTTTACAGAACAAACGCACACCATCTTATCCGCCCAAACGAAGCTTTTGTTATTCTGGATCCTTGGATCGATGGGAGTATTCAATGCTTTAAACATTCCTATCTCTATTTTCCGTTTCCCTTATGCGTCCCCGTTTCTTCGCAAAGCATAATTCTACTGCGATGATACAACGACTGTGGTTTCTAAGACTGACCAGGCTCTCCCAAAACCCGCCACTCCGTGTCTCGGTGAATAATATCGTCCCTTCCGATCGGTCTAGTCCCATCGTTCATCACAATTGCCTCGCGATTCCGGTGTCTGATCCGCTGCTCCTCGGCACTCGTCTCCTGGGCCCGCGGGGTCCTACCCATGTTAATAGAGAGCAGGAGGTTATACCGCTCGCCGCTTGTGTCCATGAGGTTCAAGTTATCGGCCTGCTCAGCCGCGAAGTCGTCAGCCCCCTCTTGGGACATGAGACCACACTTGACCAGCACCGATCTTCCCGACTCGGTTTTGCGCACCGCATCCGCAAGCCTCCTCATCTTGTTGTCCTTGTACAACATGTAGTTGTGGAAGTTGCGTTGTCTGTCCTCCTCAGTCCTGCCCCAGTTCTGCTTGGACAGCCAACGCTCAACGAACTTGGAGCGGATCAGCATCTCTGGCCCGTAATGATCGACCAGTTGCTCAAGAAAGATGAAGCACATTTTCTCGGTGATATCCCTCAATGGATAATCGTCCCATCCCTCATTCTCGAGCACCTCCTGCTCCGGGTCGAGGGAGAGCTCGAGGCACCGGACTATGGCGGAGTGTGCTTTCCAGGTGTGAAGCATAGGAAGGACTCCTTATGCTCGTGTTAGTGACTGTGTGATTTTCAAGCATCCTTGGGGCACTCACGGGGAACACAGATGATAGCTAGAGCCCTCAAGTTCTTGACACGCTCGTCATAATCTGGACGGGTGATGCCCCAGAGCAACGTCTCCAGGAGGCCGGGGTCATTTGCAGCCCTGTCACAGATGATCTTGGCAGCCGTCTCCTTGATGGCGTGGTTGTAGTGGCCCAGCAAGGTGTCCAGCGTCTTAAGTTCGAGTGAGTCCTCGGTCTGCTGCGTGATGTACTGCGTCTTTGGCGGATTGGGAGTGACAATGGTCTCGTCTCGCCATCTTGTTAGCCAAGTGTTCATGGCGAAGATGATCAAGCTCGCCGTGACGAAGCCGACGCCGGTGAAAACGACCCTCTCATCTCGGAGAACGGAGGATTGCCAGCCCATCATAATAACGGTATGGTGAAGAATAGACTTGTGTTGTTTCTAGATCACATGGCGACTTTGAGGTTCAAGAGGACTAAATCCTGGGCAGGAGGATGACGATGGAGAGCTTCTGTTCAGTGGAGTGACACGCGCTGTAGAGCTTCATCTTTCAGCAGCTACAGTGTTCTGCTGCCCCTGTCGACATTGACTGCCAAGAATTTCAGGTGGGGCCTACCGATAAGATAAGCACCCTTCACCTCCAAAATTTCTGAGAACCGCCAAAGACAATTGATTGATTGCCGGCCTCGCGATCGAACCCACTTCGCGACGCCATCTCTCTCTCAACACTCCCCTGTCAAGTCGACAATCGAGACATCTCAGCAAACATGGCCGGGTCTCAGCTTAAGAGGCTGAAGGCCTCCCTCAAGGACCAAGGCATCATTGGTCCCCAGAAATCCAAGAAGCAAAAGCGCCAAAACGCCCAGGATGCGAAGGCTTCCACCGACAAGCGACTCCAGCGCCACGAAGCTCTCGCCAGCATCAGAGAGCAGTTCAACCCCTTCCAGTTCAAGACCAACGCCAGAGGACCCAAGTTCGAGGTCACCACCAACAAGCCCCAAAATGACAAATTGGCCAAGGGCATCCAGGGCCGTCCCGGACTCGCAAAGGCCACCGCTGAGCAGAGGGTTCGTCAATTCCATTTCGTTTTTTGAGTTACTGGTTATGTATGTTTGATGCTAACCACGTCATCAACAGCGACGGGAAACTCTCTTGGTCGAGATGCAACGGCGCAACAAGGTCGGCGGTATTGTCGATAGACGTTTCGGCGAGGACGACCCCAACATGACACTGGAGGACAAGATGATGGAGCGTTTCGCGCGCGAGCAGATGAAGAGCCACAAGAAGAACACCGTATTCGATTTGGAGGGTTCCGACGACGAGCAAGAACAGGTCACCCTTACACACGCCGGCAAGACTCTCTTTCTTGACGACATCGAGGCTGGCCGCGACGATTTCGACGAGGACGTTGAAGATATGGAATCCGACGATGAGCGTTCCGCCAGAAAGAAGTTCCTCAAGCGCCTGCGTGCTGAGGAGGAGGCCGCGGAAGGTGAAGGAGAGGATGGACAACCGGAGAGGAAGAAGACCAAGAAGGAAGTCATGGAGGAGGTTATCGCCAAGTCAAAGGCCTTCAAATACGTAAGCACCCCCGCTGAGCCGTCTGCTTCCATTCACCTGCTAAGTATCTTTTCTACAGGAACGACAAGCCGCCAAAGAGGAGGACGACGATCTAAGAGTCGAGCTCGACAAGGAACTAGGAGAAGTGCAGTCCCTACTCTTCCAGATGAAGCCGAAGGAAACAAAGGAACCCAAGGGCCCCGCCGTCATGTCAGGGATCGACCTCGAAACGCTCGAGAAGGAATACAACATGCGCCTCAAGCAGGCAGCGCGTGAAGCCAGGGCTGAGGTTACCGACAGGACAAAGACCGACGAGGAGAAGGCGGAGGAAGGAGTCAAGCGTCTCAAGGAGATGGAGGAGAAGCGGCTCAGGCGCATGCGGGGCGAGATCGTATCGGATGACGAGGAAGAGGAGGAGCAAAAGAAGGGCAAGAAGAAGGGAGACGACCAAGAGGCTCAAGACGAGGCCGATGAGGACGAGTTCGGCCTCGGCAAGGGTATCAAGCTACGAATGACCGCCACCGAGATGGGCTTGGACGACGAAGATGATTTCTTGCTGGAAGACGATCTTATCGCTAGCGGCTCTGAGTTGGATATGGACGAGGACGATATGTCGGATATCGACGGAAGCGACGACGAGGACGCCTATGACCCCGATGAGGACGAGCTCGTGAACGGTGGTGAGGACGGCGAGTCGAAAGAGGTGGCCACAAAACTTCAAGCTCAGTCAAAAGGCGGCGACGAGGACGGCATACCCTATACCTTTACATGTCCCGAGAGTCACGAGCAGCTACTGGAGATCTTGGGAAGCCTTCCCGTGACCAAACTTCCAGTGGCCGTCCAGAGGATCAGAGCTCTCTACCACCCCAAGCTGGACGCAAAGAACAAGGAGCGTCTTGGAAACTTCGCCCAGGCGCTCATTGAGCATATCGCTTACCTTGGCGAAAAGTTCGAGCCCAGCTTATTCCCTACCATTGAGAACTTGATCCGCCACGTCCACTCGCTCGCAAAGACATTTCCAATCGAGGTATCCAAGGCTTACAGGTCACGGCTCGAGGAGATCAAGGAGGAGCGACCATTGGCTCTTACTGTCGGCGACCTTATGCTTCTCACCGCTATTGGCACAACATACCCTACTTCTGATCACTTCCATCAGGTGGTCACCCCTGCGATGCTTTCCATCACCCGTTACTTGGGACAAAAGATTCCCCAGACACTCGCCGACTACTCGATCGGCGCTTACCTTTCGATCCTCGCCCTCCAGTACCAGTCCTTCTCCAAGCGTTACGTACCAGAGTTTATCAACTTCTGCCTCAACACTCTCTACTCGCTCGCTTCTGAGAAGCCCAAGGAGAAGCTTGGTCTGTTCCCCGTCCACGAGCCCGCTGCTGGTATCCGTGTCAAGGGTGCCAGCAAGGTGACCGTCAGAAAGCTCAACTGCGGTGACTGCCAGCAGCCGAAGAGCGCTCGCTCCGCCAGCGAGGAGTCCGCTCTCAAGGTTGCCATCATCAGCACCATCACCTCCGTTCTCAGGACCGCTTCCGAGACGTGGTGCAAGCTCCCCGCGTTCTACGAGACCTTCCAGCCCGCCCAGCGTGTCCTCCAGCACCTGACCACCAAGTCCAACGCCGCCCAGCTCCCCGCGGCCCTCGTCAAGCAGCTCAAGGACACAACAACGAGCATCTCCCGCCTCCTCCAGCTCGCCCAAGTCTCCCGCAGGCCGCTCGAGCTGCACCACCACAAGCCGCTCGCCATTAAGACGTACGTGCCCAAGTTCGAGGACTCGTTCGACCCCAACAAGCACTACGACCCCGACCGCGAGCGCGCCGAGCTGGCCAAGCTGCGGGCCGAGCACAAGAAGGAGCGCAAGGGCGCGCTCAGGGAGCTCCGCAAGGACGCGGCCTTCATGCAGCGCGAGAACCTCAAGGTCAAGAAGGCCAAGGACGAGGCGTACGAGAAGAAGTACACGCGCTTGGTGGCGGAGATCCAGGGATCGGAAGGCCAGGCGGCGAACGAGTACGCGAGGGAGAAGGCGGCGAGACTCAAGAAGAAGAAGAACGCGAGGTAAATGGCTACTTCCTGGAAGGTTCAGGGGTAGAAGCAGTGGGATCGTGGCCGGCGTTGTTATTAGTGCCGTTGCTGTTTGCTGTTGTTCGTTCAGTGCAAGTGCAGTATTGGGATCATGGGTTAGAGATACCATGCCTATTATATCATCTACTAGTAGGAGTTTCAAAATATTTCATTTTCTGCCAAACCTCACTACACTATTCATCCCTGGTGTTCTTGTTTACTTGTGATACTTTACACGACCCAATAATACCAGCTGGGTACTCATCCCGAAGTCGGATGTTTGGCCATCCAGCAATTCGATGAGGCTCCAGGTGACGGCACAGAGCCTCATACAAACCGAGCATGGCGGTCCCGCGGCTACAATTCAAACAAAGGCATTCTTCATCCACTTCTCATCCCCGTGCCACATACTGTAGCTCCAGTGTGTTGGCCCAACGACTAACTACATGTTGGTTACGAACAATGAACGACAACCGCCGCACGTCATCGGTCACTGGACCCTGACGACCCTGAACCGGTGAAAGTACCGCCTAGGTACCAGTCATGGTATTCCATCTTTAACACATTGTATTTAGCCCATTCTAAGTTCCAAACTTCCAACTTGGATTGAATCTTTGTATATATAGGTATCTAGACGCTGTACGCGCTGTTGACGATGGTGTTATGTTGGTCGGGGAGGTCGGGCACTCCTCCATTCTTTCATTCTTTCCCTTACGACACTTTGACTCGTGCGCGCCTTTTTCTTCTGGAGGGGAGAGCAAAGAACATCATCATAGATCAATTCCTCAGCTGATGAGATTTCGCGCGCCAGTTGGTGGCCGGAACTTAAGTCGGGTTGGTTGGTTCCGAGCAAGATCAAGATTCCCGTCCCGTCTTTCAGGGTCCGCGGGTTCCAGGTTTCCGGCGGCCGAAAGAGCCTCACACACGCTCAGATGATCGAAAAACGGGAAGATAGACGCCGGGGCGAAATGTGTTATCACGATCTTGACACATCGATTGCCCTTTGAAGGCATGAATTGCTAGCAGACTGGTAGATTCCCATCATCTTGAAACGCCCGTTCTGGCTTGCTTCATCTCGTTGTTAGCTGCCTTTGATCATGATCACATCAATCATGTGGCAAAGAATTGTAGGGAAGTGAAGAGACAAACGAAGTTGATCTGACAAACCAACCTGATCAAATCTAACCGAACCTGGTTACGGGGTTGGATCTGAAGAGACCACTCGTGAGCAGACCACCAAGGCCGTGAGTGAGTGAGGCCCAGATGAGGCCCAACTGAAGCCCAAACGAGGCCCGGAATGACTTCATTCATCTAACCTCACTGTTCCCACCTCTCGATTGTTCATTCATTATTTTGGATCCACAGAAATAGCACACTGTCCTCGCGGATGTCGCCGCTTGCTCGACATTCGGAGACTTGACCGATATAGACCGATAGACCGACCATCAGACCGTCAAACATTTATGGTCTCATTGCCACTCAGACGGTGAGTGATCCGTTGTTGAGGCCCGGTTGCCTCTTTTTTTTTTTCTCTTCCCGAATAATTCTTGACTGCGTGCTAAAAGAATAAGATGTGACGATTGTGGTGGTGGTGGACTGGAATGTACCTTCCGCTAAAACCCCTTTGCAAAAACCTTGGAAAGCAAAGCAAAACAATCTTATGCGGCATCTCACAAAGCCAATTCAACTCCGTTCGAGGCCTAAGCGCCCTGACAGATATGGCCCCCAGGATGATTGTATGTCTGCAACAGCCCGTGCGTGTTTCCCACAGCCCTCTTGAAGCGCGCGCTTAGAAGCGCATGCGGATGGATCGCCAAAGAGAGGCCTCCTGATGAGGCTCCTCGGCAGTCACTCACATGACATTCCCCAAAAAAACACCCATTCTTTTCTAGAAACTACGTAAGTCTCACTCCTCGTCTCCATGCTCCGAAAGAAAGGGTCGTGAAAATGGGCCACCGCCTTTTGGTTTGTTGTTGAGGCTGTGTTGTTTTGACGTATCTAGTGGGTTTCAAAACATCTGAACGTGCCCCTATTCGCGTGTCAACAAAATCGCCCCACAACAATGACCGAAAGGGGCCAAGGGGAGGGAGTGGGAGTGGTCAAAGACAATGCAATGTGGCCATGGGCAGTGAAGCCATTCGCCATTCAATCCACGATGCAAAAACAACGAGAGGCAGCCATGACTAGGGAAGTGGCTAAGCCAGGAAAAAATATCCACGATTTCTTTCCACAATAGGATAGATGGACAGAAATAGAGGCGAGTAGTCTGAAGAGCCTCAACTTATGAAGCTGAACAGTTGATGACATGTCGTCCTTCCCAGCCTCTCCAGCCTCATGGTATCAGAAATCGGTCAACTTCTGAATAGACAACTGCTGCTGATGCTGCTGCGCCTCTACACCCAAGCTGAATAAACAACTTTTCACCAATATCTTCAAGAGATATCATCGTCCTCCAGCCCAGCTGTTGCGGGCCTCGCTTGCGGAGGCCAGCGGCCTATGGTCATCAGCTTGCGAGCGGCAAAGTGAGGCGCGGAAACCGAACGGGAGTCGGGAACCGTACCACTAGTAGGGTGATCGCCGGCAACTTATGACCGCTGCCATGCTTTTCCTACCGTGCGTGGCCTTCCTATAATCCAGTCCAGAACCTCACTGGCCTCGTCTTAGCGTTTTGAGCCTTTGACTTTTGAGCAGCCTGTGAAGCGACACTTCTTAAGCGGTTTGAAGTAAACATCATCCATAGAGAGTTAGGATGATAGGGTGTCGGATCGGTCATACCAAATAGAATTCGGTAGCGAGATGCTCAGCCGTCCAGCTCCCCGTGCTTCCGGGTTCAATTGTCGTCAGTTCCCTGACCGGTAAACATCTCGCTTGAAGGGTAAAAGCGGGATGAAAATTGACTGCTTTAGCTGTGTGGTGCCGTGCCGTGTTGACGGGCGGGCAAAGCGGGAGGCGCAAATTCAGGGGTCTTTGGGTCTTTTGAATTGATTGTCATAATCAAGATCGTGATGATTCGTGATGATTATCCACACGGATAAGTACGCGTGCTGCTCTTGTTCTGTTCAGTCAACTTGCGAAAATGGGGTGATAGTGACGCAATCTTCAATCAGGTCTTTAGTGTAGAGATCACCCGAGGTTGATGATGATGGCCATGGTCTTGAGGGAGATAGGTATGGATATCCGATTGAAGCCATCACAAACTGGAACTACTAAACCAAATCATCGCCGAGAGCACGACCTCAACCAAATCGACACTCTGACGAGGGAAGCGGCACAGACTCATCTCGCCAAATCTGATCCTCAACCGCGCCAGTCTGGAGCATAGCAGAGACGGGACGGGTGGGACGTACGAAGACGGCACAGCAGTCAAGCGACAGCTTCGAGCTTCGTTCCTTCCCGTCTTCGCACTGCATGCGAACTGCACGTCGACGGCACAGCACAACTTTTTAAGCGCCAAGAAGGCAGGAAGTTGAAACGAAACAGCTGTTTGGAAGGAGAACTGGGAGGTTCCGTCCACTCAGCTTGTGGTGAGGTGCTCCTTCCCCACGAATGTTTGAGTTGTGGTTGTGTGTGAGGTGCACACCAAAGATGTAATGCACCCCACTTAACCATTTTGCGCTCAGACGATCTTATGCTTCGTTCCTTCTTTTTCTTTTTTTCTTTCGGTTCTTCTTAATCGTTGGCGTTGACCGGTGAGGATAGGGGGGTGTAGTAGGCGGGGTGGTTGGATGGGTTGAGGATGGGTGGGTGGTGGTGAAAGAGTGAGAAATCGTCCAAGAGTCGAAAGAGCTTCACATGCGCGCCGCGGCCGTCGTTGACGTTGTCGTAATGGCGATGGTCGGTCGGGGAATAGATATAGGCTAAACCCTACGAACCACGCAAGATTGCTCACCGGATGGATTGATATGGGGAACATTTAAGTTACGTTCGGGAACTTGTTTTTCTGAAAAGAAGTTCCAGTCCGTCTTGGTCCTTCATCGAGGTTACGACGGGACGAAAAAAACAACCTACCCCCACCTAAGGAAACGCAACGCAACACATCCTGCCATCAAGGTACACACACCATCAACCATCATCTTCAAGAGAAACGACACCATCCATGTAAGCAACCATGTTGCATTTGTTGCGCGCCCTCTATTGTTGCAAATAAAGAGAAAAATGCGAGGCAACATGCGGAACGCAATGGTAATGGCAATTGGAAGGAACGGGTGAGATGAACAACCTAAAGCAGAAGGTCTCATCCGGGCAAAAACAAAAACGTTGTGTTGGAGGAGTTTGTTTGTGTTGTGTTGCATGCAATGGTGTTTTCTTGTTCTTTGCTTTTTATCAGTCAGTTGAAAGATCCCGTCGATCCCGTCGTAAGGGCAAAAGTCGCATAGCGGACCCCAACTTCCACAGCTTGCGTCGGTGCCCTCGCAAAAAAAGAGGACGAACTGCTTGACAGAATTGGAACTTGGAAGGGTAAGTAAGGTATTATCGCTCATTCACACTCACAAACTTGGCGTTCGGGTAGGTAAAGTGGGAGTGGTATTGCTGAGCACAATAAGCTGTGATGAATGGATGGGTGCTGAGATTCGCGTCATGATAATACCTACCTACCCCAGACCGAGCAAGTCCCTCCGTCCGAGGCTCTTTTCATGATCATGACCAGAGAGCATTGCACAGGCAGAAGAGTGATGAACAGCGAATGTACTTCTTTAACTTCGTTTGATTTGTTTGAATTCTTTCCATCTTTCCTCCTTCACAGGGTATAATCCTTTCCTTTCCAATCACGTTAAGTTACATGCGTTTTCCCCCTCGTGGTATCCTTTCCGGTCAGCCATGGGTAATGCTACCGCCCGCCCGTCCGCCCGCCGAAGAAACTCCATGTGATATGCAAATCCAAATGCCTCCCTAAAAATGTGTCCCTCCTAAGAGTGGAAAGAAAGAAGAAAAAGTTGCCCAAAATGGGTGGAAGGCCACACAACGCCATTACTCAATTGCAACCCCAGTCCAAAAAGATTTCAAGAGAGCGAAATGGATCATTGCCCTTATCAACCCGTCCTCCCCTCCGTGTCCATCCATCCATCCATCCATTGATCCTATCCAGTGGTGTGTCGTCGTTATTGTAGTAGAAGTCCATTTTCCTCTCTCCGGGTCTCAATTGCCTCGCGGCAACGTCTAAAAAACTCTTTGAGTTCTTGTTGTGTAGAAGTTGGTATAAGAAAAGAAACGTAAAAAGAAATTGAAAAGGAGGCCGATTCCAGCCACCTAAACAGCTTCAAGCATCGCATGCAGATCGGTTGGGTTTCACTTCCCGCCAGTAAGCCAGCCTGGTGAAAAAAGCGGATTTTACTTTGTCGTTGTTTAGATGAGCAAGTAATCCCATCCCTTGATCTGCATGACCTCCCGCCAGCGGACGTAATGTGCGTTGACTTGCTGCTGTTGTTGTGGGGCCTCGGAAGAGGAAGAAGTGCCCGCCGCCGCCTCGGCAGCCGCCAGGATGGCCTCGTACTGCAGCCAGACCTCGCGAAGGAGGACGGTCATGCGGCCGAAGCTGCCCGAGTTGGCCACGTCGCCGAGCTGGGCGACGCGATTCTCGAAGAAGTTGCGGAAAGAAGAGCCGGGCACGCTGACGGATCCACCGATCAGGTAGACCCAGGTGAGCGAGCGGTCGTACCCGTTGACCCCCGAGGGGATCAGCTGGAGGACCGCGGTGAGCTTCTCGACGAGACCCATGCAGCTGGGCTGGGCAGGGTAGAAGCCCGGGACGAGGCTGCAGAGGTAGATGCGAGCAGCAAGACGGAAGGCGGCGGTGATGTTCTTGCTCAGTTGCTTAGGGCTCAGGGTCCCGTTGGTGTTGTAAGGCTCGACGAGCGTGCCCTCGTTGATCTCGGTGTTGCTGATCTCGTCGCCAAGGCCACGGACGTGCTGGCAAAGGGTAATGTCGTCCATGCCCTGGTTCTTGAGCGACTCAAGGCAGGCAATCTCCGAGATGAGATACATAACACGATCCTCACAGCCCATCAGCTCGCGCAAGCCGAGCGAGTGGTTGTTGATCGAAAGATGCTTGTTGCGGTAGGTGTGAGCGAACAAGGGGGAACTGCCCAGCATCGTGGCGCCCAAAATGTCAATCCAAGACGTGAGCGTCATGTTGAAAGGTGTATGGGTCAGTGGCTTGGTGATATCCGAAACAAGTCCGGCAAGATCCAGCTTCTGCACGAGCGATACTACCGCTTGGAAATGCTGGTGCCAGGGGATATCAGGAAGAGTATCCTCAGGACGGCCAACTATGCACTGGAAGAAAATCAAGCCAAGAGTAGCATCAAGAATTGGCTGATGGTTCTCATCGCGATTGAGCGCCTCGCACAGCCAGGTGATGGTGGCATAGCGGTGACGCATGATGTCGTTGTCAATCTCCTCGCTCTGAATACCCGTCGTAGACTTGAAGTGTTGCGCCGCAATGCTCAAGCAGCAGTGCAGGTAACCCTTATTGTTGGCCAGTGATGGAAGAACAAGCTCGGAACTGATTGAGCCGTGCTGGTTGGATTCCAAAATCGGGAAGATGGTCGGAAGAACGTGTTGAACGAAGTGATCGAGGAGCTTCTGATCGCCCTCATCCAGCTCAATTGCCACTTGCGAAGAAGCCATCGCCGGATCGCAGGCAAAGTCGAAGAAGTTCGCATTAAAAGTCTCCTCCGTCAATGACTCCCTCCGCTCCGAGAACACCTGCTCGGTCCATTCACCTTCCAGAGGGAATGACGGGAGAATTGTGCCCGGAGGCGGCGGGGTCTGATATGTGCTGAAGGTTGATACTGTTGATTCACGAAGAGTCGGGACATCGTTGATGAAGATTTGCCGCTCGGTCTTCATATCGATCTCATAAGGAGAGAAGGGTGGGAAGATGAACTCTCCACCATTGAGGTTTATTTGTGGTGTCGCAAATGGTGTGAAATCCTGGACGTTCTGGGGGCTGTTGAAGTTGAAGCCAAAATGCGAGTCGATCGAAGCGGACCTGTTGCGATCAAGCGGGTCTGAAAAGGTCGCTGACGTCGGAAGCGAGTGCGAGAGTCCGGGCGGGGTGTTGATTGAAGTCTGGATGGTGTGCGACGACTTCTCCGAAAGCTTCTTCCTCTTGATGATCATCTTGATATCGTCCTTGTGCTTCCTCCGCATATCATTGTTGCTCCACCACATTGGCCTCTTGTATTCGCAGCAAAGCCCGAGATGCTTGCAAGCGGTGCACATGGGAGAACCCTCGTCGCACTTCTTCCTCCTCAACCTGCATGTGTAACATCCTTCACGTCGTCAAGTCAGCTTTCCCGGCCCAGCGTTGTCGAAGAGATGTGTGTAAGTGATAGTGGTCGTAAAAAAAGGGAAACAAACCTGTCCTTGAGCGGCGATGCATCTGCGTCTTTTGCTTGGGCGCGGCATTGGTGCCGGCCTTTGCGGCCGCCTTGGTCTTGGTTGTTGTCATGGTCGTCATGTTGACTGAGGATGTCTTCGTGATGTCTCCGTGGTGGTTGGGGGGCCGTGTTGACATTTGTACCCTTCTTGTATGAGAAGTACCTCTTTGGGGTGAGTTATGGAGCACAGCACCGGGACCCAGGGGGGTGGTGGGAGGTGCTAGCGGAGAGGGGGTGGTCGGGACCAGGGGTGGTAAACTTCAGCTAGGCCGAGGAAAATGGGCAGAAATGGCCAGGGCCTCTCTATCCTCTCGTCGGTCCAGAAGGTCCAGGGGCAAATCGCTAGGGGGCTTATACCCAAAAACCCTCTCTTGTATCAGATTATTAGATTATTTGTATCGTCGAATGAATGACTGGATCGTGAGCAAGGCCGGCTTGCGTGTGAACTGGGCTCGGAAGTTGGTTCGATGTTGAACTCGTCGAGTCGAGAGACGTTTGACTGGGTAGCGTGAGGTTGAGTGTAATTAAAAGAGAGAGGGAAAAGGTTTGTTGACTGGACTGGACTGGACGACACCTGGATCTCACTATCCTTCTCTTCAATTTTGGCCTGCAGATGAGAAGACCAAACCGGAACGTCGAGAGAGAAGTGGGCAAATTCTTATATCAGGCCCGGTCGATGGGCCAGCGTGTGGTGCAAAGCCGTGTGATTGCTCACCTGTTCTATTTTTGAAAAGCGGGCTAATTCACTGCTTTTCCCGATTTGACCCTCGAGCTGCGTTAGTTGGTGCCCTACTGTACTGCGGTGGTATCGACGGTGGACGGTGGTACCTACGGGAGAACGCTGGTCCATGGCACACAGGCACACGCACACAACCTCACAGGCACACAGGGCTGCTGCTGGCCTGCTGCTGTCCTCACGAGGTTCCGGTTCTTCTTGCTCTCTGGACAGGGGAGGCCAAGGAATCCCGCTCATTGGTGATGGTCGCCCGGAAGGTCTCACTCGGATGTGGGAGGGGACCAGGACGACCCAACAGGACCCCACCGCCGATGGTATCCAGGCCAGGGGGGAAGGAAGGGCAAGGGGTACGGATGAGGGCAAGTGTCGTGTAACTAGCGGCGTGCAAGGGTAGCATCAACGCCAGAGGCAGGGCATGGGGAGGTATTGACAAGGTATCTCGTCCAGGGTACGGAGGCCATTCACGGAAAAAGATGGCTGCAGGGGAAAGCGAAGAAGCTGTTGAGCAACCAAAAGGGCAGCTCATGCGTGCTCGGCGCCGACTTGGCCGGGAGCTCATTGGCACGGGGGTCAGCACGAGTGCAGAAAGAAGGAAGCTCACTGTACCGGCGAGATACATGGGTAGAATCCGGGCAAAATGATCAGACATGCTTGGCTCTCTTTGGCAACTCCCGCCGTCTGATATCAAACTAGGCAAAGCAGAGGGTCCGCTGATCGCCAGACCTGTGACTCTGAACAACTTTTTTTTGTTGTGAGCCCATGGCCGTTATGTCGACGAGATTTGCCATGTATCCGTTGCGAGCAGGCTTTCATGTGAAGAGCCAACAGATTCGTCGCTTAGCCTTGGGATAGGGGCAGCTGAGAGGCTGACGGACAAAAAGACAATGAACTTGTCAAGACCAACAGGGTTTGGTTATCAGAGATGTGACGGACGGTTGGAAGCGAAGAATGACATGCCCGCAACCGAGAAAGCGAGCAACGAGAATTCGTCGACGCCAGGTGGTATTATGGCTGACTGACTGGAACAATGCAGTGGTTGTCCCGTAATGCGCAGTTGTGTCTTGCCTGCTCGACACACCCATCTCTGCCGTCTTCTTGCAACCCTACCTTTTGCTCGGGGACGTCGAATGGCTGCATGTGCATTATTCAACCATTACACCAAATCCATGCCAAGTCTTGAGAGAAGAAGAACCTATTGAGCTCTTCTGAGAAGGGAGCGATTCGAGATGGCTTTTTTTGCGTTCGGTCCTGGGTGGTAGTACTACCGGATGACGGGACGATGGCGGACGGCCAGGTCGCATGCTGGCCCGTATCCGGATCACATACAGAGATGCGGTCCCGGTGATGATGAGTATGATGATGTCTCTCTCTCCCCAGAACCCCAGACATGGTCCGTGGGAAGAGCAATAATTCCCCGTCTCTCAACCTCGCAATCTCGGTGGACGAGCGTCGGCTTTCGGGTTGTGGGAGGGCTTGGGCCTTGGGCCTTG